CCGATGTAAAAAACGAAAAAATATTCCCAATGATTTATAATTAGAATTAGAAAATAAAAGAAATTTATTTCTAATTCAGAAAAAATTACAAGCAAATTTTGTTTTTACTTTATATATATACATATATACAAGAAATTCAGATCAGTGGAAGCAAAAAGCATCGGAACCTGAGCTATTTTCTTAAACGTCTTAAATTCCAACTAATAATTGAGCAGCTGAACGGTTGGGCGGGGAAGCAGGAATTATGCAAATCGCGTTAAATCGAGATCGTATCCTGAGGCCGCGACAAGGAAGGAAAAGGATGATGATGAAGAAGAAGAAGAAGAAAAAAAAAGAAGAAGAAGTAGACGAAGAAGAAGAAGAAGAGCCACGGAAAAAGGAGACGAATGGATCAAGTAAAAAAGAAGGGAGAGACAAGAAGTGAAGTTAAGTGCAAAACTTGCCCCTGCATTGTGATTGTATTGTAGAGGTACCTATGGGCAAAATGTTCAGTCTCTGACCACGAAACAACCAAGCCAAGTCTTAAAACCCCTCTTATATATACCTGTCCCGAAGAATCAACAGGTTGCTCGACCTCCACCTGCCTCTCTCATTTGCGGGCCACTGCATGAAGCACCACTCCTTTCGTATGCTTTTGTAATGTCGTTAGTTCAGACTCCCGAGATGAACTGTTTGGCTTCGAAGCCAAGCAAAAAAAAAAAAAAAAAAAAAAAAAAAAGTAATAAAACACTCCGAAAAAAAAAAATTGTCGATGAATGCCATGCACGCACTTGCTCCTGTCGCCTCGAACTCTGTCTTGATATATCCAGAAGGCAAACATCAGGGTTTCAAAATGGTTTTCGTGGTTGGGTGCATTTAGGCAAAATTTGAATCAGTGGAATTCCAATATCAATGAAATATGATTCCAAATGTTTGAAATAATATATTCAATACTTAATCAGCGATGTTGAAGAAAAATACAACCTAATTCTAGAAACGATTATTTCAAAAAAGCAATTTCTAATATATAATAAAAATACAAAAAATATCTAATTGCTTCTATTTTGGTAATTATTACCGTTTTCATCAGTAACGAACATTGAAGAAAGAGATATGCAAAATAGGTTACTGAAAAAAATTATTTAATTTAAATAATCGATTACTTTACTATTATCAAATAAATATTTATTCGAATCGAAGAATTTATATTTAAATTAAATTAACTGGATTTAAAAAAATAATTTCTTTATTTAAATCAATAATTTCTGTATTTGAAACAATAAAATCGGTATTTATAACAAAAAATATTTAATTTGTCTTCAATAATAATTATTTGGTTCAAGTAAACATTCATTTAGTTTAAGTAAATATTTATTTGATAATATACAAGTAATTATTTGGATCAAATAAATATTTTTTTCAGTGTATTAAAAGATAATTTCGTGAGGTTTAAAAATAAACTGTAAATAAAATTTATTTCATTCAAATAATCCTTCACTTAACTGCTTTCAATTAAATAATTATTTTTATTAAATAATCATTTAATAATAATTATTATTATTTGAGTCAATTAAATGTTATTTATTTCAAATACAGAAATTATTATTCCAAATGCAGTTTATTTAAATAAATAATAAATAAATAAATAGATAATAATGATGATAATAATAATAATACATAAATAATTATCATTTGTTTCAAATACAGAAATTATTAGTCAAAGTACAGTTTATTTAATTCAAAAAAAATATTTAACAAAAGTAAATATTTGATAATACTCAAAGTAACCAATTATTTGAATCAAATTTTTTTCAATGTTATTAACCCTTTTGTAAAAAGAAGTTAATTTTCAAATTTTCTAATAGTAAAACAATTACATATTATAATTGTTTTTGAAAAAAATCACTAACCTCAGTCTGGAGATATATTTTTTGAAGATTATAAATATGCCGGAAACACACGCGCGATTTAAAAAAATTTCGAACTCTCCCGGAACAAAAAATTAAAAAAAAAAACACTTTAATATAGTTTTCAAATTAAAATCGCACAAAAATTACACTCACAATGTGTCTAGACAGGTCAATACGCGAATTACAACTGATTAAATTACCTTTTGGATTTTCCGTTGTGTTATGATTTTATGACTTTAAGGCATTCATTTTCATTTCAATGTAAACACACACACACACAACTCGGTTTTGCGCAGGTATAAAAATTGTTCCAAATATAACTACGAAATTATTATTTTTAAATTTAAATATTTCAATATAATAACATTGAAAAAAAATGTATTTATTTTAAATAATCGATGACTATTATCAAACAAAATATTGAACCAATTATTTGAATTAAATATTCGGATCAATAATTTCCGTTTTTAAAACAAATAAATTGACTCAATAATTATTTAATACAATTTTAATATTTATTTATTAATAGTCGATTATTTGATTCAAATAGATTTTTTTTTATTCATTGTAATTATTTTGAAAAAAAAACAAAATTGTAAGACAAAAGCATTTTTAGATAAATCACAATTTGTAAATTACACACATTTTAAATTATTGATGAAAATTGGAAAGAAAAAAGGATTTTCCAGAATTTACGTATCGTTGATATGCTTCAACGATTGAAACTGTCTTATAAGCAAAAGTCGTGGGTGAAAACGACCAACATCGAGGTGTTTATTCCTCGATAGTGTCACTATATTTAAGTGGATCCACGTGCTTTGTGCGCACGCATATTCTTATAAACGAGAAGAAAAGCTGTGCTGCGGTACAATTTGGAAAATTCCTAAATTTATCCGATTTTTTTTTTTGAAAAAATTAATTTTTTTCCCTTTTGTAAGAAAAAAATTTTATATAAAATATTTTTGAAAAAAAACAAAAGTAAAAAAAGAGCATGTCAAAAAATACAACTAAATTTTTTGTAGGAAAATTTTTCAATAAAATATTTACCTAAATAATGAATTTTCATTTTCAAGAAGATTATTTCAAACTAAATAGTCCTCGGAGATCCCTATTTTCAAGTTAAATTTCCATTCTAGAAAATGTGAAAATTAACCGTAAAAATAGACCGAGTTCTAAAAAGTCTGAAACTGGAGAATCCTATAAATCCTGTGTCCTTAAAATCCTGTGTTCCTTTTTTACTTTTGCCCTTATGTTTGAAGTACGTGACACCATAAGCCATTGAGGATGGAATCTAAAAAAAAAAATTAATATAGAAAGCTGTAAAAAAACAATTTCAAATTTGCCAAAAATGGCATCGATACTAATCCTAAATTAATCGAATACAAAAATCTTGAAAATATGAAAATTGGAAAAGATCATCATGAGGATCATATATAAATATATAATAATAATTATAATATGATATAGTGAACCAGTTTAGAAATTGAATACTACCTTTGATAACATCTTACGGGAGAAATGTAATTAAAAAGAATCATTAGAAAAAAAAAAAGAAAATGAGGAATGAAATTAGTTTCTATTGCCTTCCTTAATTAAATTCTATCAGTTTCAAGTTACACAAGACTACATTCAAGATTGAAGAAGGTTGTTAATTAATTTTTAAACGAAAAGCATCTTTATCGACTGCCATTTTTGGCATGGGTTATATGTGCTCACTGATCTTCGGGACTTGAGTGCAATTTTATTAGTATATATAAGCATACATATATGGTTGATCGCGATCTCAGATTTTTCCTAGACGAGGACAGGGACGTGAAGGTCCTGTGTCGTCAAACGGGTTTCGATATATACTCGAGGTTCTGCACGCATAAATAAATAATAACCGGAGCGACCAATAGAGATGGGAAGACATCAGCTTATCTCAATGTCAATGCTCCTAACTTGTTACATTCATTAGGGTCATTAACATTCGATAGGCGTGGGAGCTAAAATCCTTCACAATTCAATTGTACAAAAAAGAATTTTTTCAAAAAAAAATATCGAGTCTTCTAATTAAGTCCTACAATTTTTAATATTTAATAACATTCAAGAGAAGACATTTGAACGTTAATAAAGATGAAACATAAAATATACATTTTGTCCTGAAAGGTTATGGATCAATAAGAAAATCATAAAAAAAATTTTTTTTTTTACTAAATTGCGTAAGGGAAAAATTATTTTTCGATATATAAAATATAAAAAAAGAAACCTAATATTATAATAAAGTCCTTTGGAAAAATATTAGGAGTTTTTGATTGGTATTTAATATCGCTTTACTTGGCGTCTACTTGTCCGAAGCGGATGCATAAACGAGTCGTTAATGTCTCCAAAGACGTCGTCTTATTCGCGACCCTCGACGCTCTCATTCGCCGTTAATTGGACGACATTTCGCGGTGCTCTTTATATTATGCCGCGCGTGGCCTATCTCAACGCACACGCATAAATTACCACGATTATCGAGACCACGATTTCAGTGTAAATTTCCATCAACTTTTATTTCTTTTTTGCAAACTTCATTTCCATGTATTTTTTTTCAAAAAATGCAAATTCATTATAAAAATTTTTCTAAATTTTCCACGATTTTGTAATAGAAAAAAAAGTAAAGGGTGGGTCAAGATTGAGAACTTTGCTACCGTTCTGTCGGTTCTTTTTCTTCTTCTTCTTCTTTTCGACCCTCACCCATGAAACTTTCTCTCCTACTCTTCCTTTTCCACTGTCGCCTTCTTATCTTCTATCCCTTCTCTACACTTTGTTTTTGAGTTCACTACCTCTTTTCCTCTCTCTACCCATTCTACAAGAATTGTTCGATTGTTTTATTGCTTTTTATAAACGCCGCCACCGCGGGCGCTTCCTTTGTTGCAAAGATTCATTGTTGCACCGCAAGAAAGATGTGAATTTTAATTTGATATTGTCTATAATATTATTTATGTCTGAATATAGTTTTCCATTATATATTATTTAAATAGAATTTTAAAAAAATTTATAATTATAAAATTCGTCGATTCCTTGGAAATGTAGAAGTTTTAAAAAAAATATTCAGACTCCCTATGACTTGCGCACTTGAAACTTTAAATCAATATCCTCGTATATCCAGTTCATCCCTGGAGATGAAAGCATCAGTTACCATTTGTTTCTAGTAAACGATAAAAGTAAATTAACAAAATGTATCTCTATACAAATTTTTGAAATAGTGTAATTTTGTGAATTTTAAATCTTATAATGAATCAGTAAAAAAATAAATCAAACATGGATAAACGTCTTTCACTTGGAATAAATGCCAGTATTCTTCTTGTTTTAATAATATTTTGTGCTCTATTATCTCTGCCTTTAAAATATTTATTTAATACAAATTATAAAGAAACTGAATCAAAAGAATTTGAATTATTGGAAAAAAATGAGGAAATTATTATTGAAGAAAAAAAAGATTTTAAAAAAATGAATATTTGTCCCTTTAACTACGAATTTTGGATGAAATCATTATTTATTACAAATTATGATCAAAATTGTACTGAACAAACAAAAATTAAAGAAGAAATTCAAGTATCCCTTTTTGAAGAAATTGACGAAAATAAAACAGATTTAAAAACCAAAAATAATGAAATTCTTTCTTTGTACGAAACAAAGAAAAAGGAAATAAATAATAATAATAATAATGAACAAATGAATAAATCAATTCCTGTTGCAATACATATTCTTGCAATAATGCTTGTCGTTTCTGTGATTGTGGCAATGGTTGAGGTTGTGAGGATTCGCTTCGCCAGGGATAAGGTACAACGTCGCAACAACATCCGTTAACACAAAAATAATATGGGATTAATATATTTGTCTAAAAAAAAATTAAGGACTTGTCAACAACTGGCAACGTCACTATGAGGAGGGGATCAATTATTAATTTAATGGCTCAAAAGAAGGAAATGCTCAAAAGTCAACGCTCCCTTGATCTTCAAGCAATGCATCGATCAACAAGACTTCTTGGTAGGTTAAAATTAATTTTCACCATATTTTAAATTATTATTTATTTTTTTTTTTAATTTGATTCACTACTACGAAAGAAGAAACCGAAAAACGAAATTTTTAAACATATTATCTCAATTAATAAACCATTGAATGCCTCTAGGAATGAAATCAGTATCATTACAAGGGCGAAGAGGTCACGTACCCCGTGGGCCTCGTGCCTAGGGATTATTAAAACGTAATATAATAATATAATTTCACAAATTTGTTTTACTAATCTTTTTTGTAAAAATATCTGTTTTATACAAAAAAATTATATTGCCCCTTTAAATTCTATATTTTATAATTTATTTCACCATTTCTAGGTTATTTCCATTGTTTACTATTATAAAACACAACCCAAAAAGAAAAATTTTCAACAATTTACATGCATTTATCAATTAAATTATTTACCTGTTTTATACGATGTTTTAATACCAATTTTTGTCGCCACTTATATCCTCTGTATATATCTAACTGGAATTTTCTACTTTTCAAATAAGTAGGAAATAAACGTCCATTTGAAGCACTGAAAAAAATAAAAAAAAAAAAAGTAAGGTTATGAACTTTAGTAACTTGCGGCTAAAAACACAATTGATGCGCGGTATTAAGTAATCCTAACCTCACTTTTATTTTTGCATAATTGTCACACTAAAATGTAAACTATATAACAAATTTAAAAAGTAGAAAATATTCAATGTACATTTTTTCCTCAGCGCCAATGTTCATATATTACACTGTATATTTCCTACACTATTTCCTTGAATATCATTTTTCATTTTTAAAAATCTTTATATTAAAAATATTTTCTAGGTAAGACGTCTTTCTTTCGTCGTTCGTCTTTTCCAATTCAAGATATCACGAAAATTATTCACTCAAACAGAGAATTATCAAAATGGTCCTCCATTGACACGGAAGATGTGATTAGTAATCATCGCGCACATTTAATACGACGTCAATAAGGTAATTTCAATTATTTTCAAAAGAAACCTCGAATTTGACTTTATCTTATTAATCAATTTTGTATAGATTTATTAAAACAAATTACCTTTTGTAGATGATGATTCCAAAATCTTGAAATTATGAATATATCATCGGATCGCGAAATAAGATTGTATTTATTGAATAATATAATGGTAAAAAGAGTTTGCACGAGATTAATAATTATTTGCAATTTCTGCAAAAATTTGAACATTTTCTTTTATTTTCAGGAAAGTAACACTTCATCTTCTACTTGTCAATAATAACAAATACTAATTGCAACTATGCAAATGTCCGTTATTTTGGTGGGATTTCTATCACCCCCCCCCCCCAAACCTTCTCTGATTGGCTGAATTCAAATTCAGTCAAATGCTCTGAACATAGGAATGAATGTTGAGAACCCCTGTTTTGTCACGACAAATCAAAACTCGTTAAATACTTTTAAACTACCTCTACAAATTTTTCAAAAATTAATAATTAATGTTTCAAAACGTAAATAAGTTATATGTTTTTTCTAAATCAATTTACTATATATAATTCTGTGAATAAATGTATATAATAAAAAAATCTCGTAAGAATCAAAAAATTTTATTTTCCTTACTTTTTTTTAAATTTATTATTTATGTATCAAAATTTACTATATTATTACTATTCTACTTTATATTTTTACTTAAAAGAAATTTTTAATTAGAATAATTTTATAAAGAATATAAAATATTTATAAATAAATTTAATTTTACCGCGTTTTCATGTGCTTCGATTTTTTGTTCACAAAAAGATAGAAAGATGGTGCTGTTATCATCGATACAGAGACAGTTGAGTTTCGTTTCTAATATACTGTGTATTTTATGATTTTCTATTATTGAAACGCCGATATAAATTTGATTCATATGTTTAAATCATCAAAAAAAAAAAAAAAATTTGTCATTAAAAATTATTTAAGTGGCGTCGTAATTATTTTTTATTAATTAGTGTTAATAAGTCTACAAGCTCTGCCAGTGATAGTGGCTCAATAACTAAAATTAATTTTTTTTCTTTGTTTATTAAACACACCATTGTTTAAAAAGGACTGATGGCAACGGTCAATTGATGACAAATAAAATAAAAACAAAAATAAAATGGACTTTTCAGTCTTAGGTCACTATGATCCATCATTAGACGCAACTGCCGCTGTTGTTGAACAAGATTTATTGTGTAAGTTCTACTTGCATTGTTTTGATTGATATGTACTTGTTATACAAAATTTGAACAATAGCTTTTTTTTTGTTTTTTTACATGAGAACTCAAGATATTGTTAATAAAATTTATTGTAGATAGAGAGTTTGAATTATATTTTGATTGTGTTTACTTTAAATTTGAATTAAGTTTTTTTAAAGAGGGAAAATTGATTAAAAACTAGTTAAGTAGGGTTAGGTTTTACTTTTCCGTATAAATTTTTTTATTTTTAATAACATTTCTAAATGATGTTTATTATTTATTATAATAGGGCAGGATCAAAATTATGAATTACCTGGAAATGGATTTGTGCCTACATCAGAGCAATTTGGTGAAGAATTTTCAGGAGCCGAATATCAGGAGACACGAACATTTTTGGCTGATGGAGGAGATAGATTTGGAGTGTCTACTATTTCTTTTGATTCAGTGGAAGAACTTTTATGGATGGGGAATCAAGGGGTATTTTAATTATTTATTTTTTTAAAAAACGTAGTTTTTTATTCAATAATTAAACTTTTTTTTACTATAGGGTCACGTAACATCATATTATGGGTCTAATTTACAAAAATATACCTCATTTCAAGTGCATGCAACACAAGAAATTCGTCAAATTCATCCTGTTGATGAGGGAATTTTAGCATTAACACAAAGTATGTTGCGTTGTCAGCTGCGACGTGGTATTCCAATATTTACTCATACGTATGTTCGATCTCAATTTAAATTTACACGATAAAATATTAAATATATAATTTGTTTTGTTTTTTTTTTTTTGTTTTTTTTAATTCTAGATCGACAAATATGATTGATATGCAGTGTATATTACAAATTTCTCCCACAAGATTATTAATGGGTGGTCATCAGGATAAACTTATTGATTTTAATCTCACTAGAGGAAAAGAAACTGGATTAGTAAGTTTAATTGTTAATAATAAAAATTGAAAATTTTAATTTACAAATTTCTTATAGGTCAATGTAGGTGAGAGTGGTTGTGCAATATTGAGACAGCATAACAGACTTATATGCGCTGGTAATCCTGCAGGCAGGATTGATCTCAGGGATCCTAATACTTTGTCGATAGAACATACACTTGATACTCATAGTGGTTCTTTAAGTGATTTTGATGTACAAGGAAATTATCTTGTTACTTGTGGATTCAGTAATAGGTGAGAAATATTTGAGATAGATAATTAATAAGAAATTTTTTTAATTTAAAATATAAATTTAGCCTTCAAGGAATGTCTGTTGATCGTTTTTTGATGGCATATGATTTGAGACAAATGAGAGCATTGAGTCCTGTTCAAACTATGGTTTTTCCATTTTTACTCAAATTTTTACCGAGCTATTCCAGTCGTATTGCTGTTGTGTCACCACTTGGACAAATGCAATTGCTTGACACTATTTATGCGAATGTGCAACCATCAGTGACTTGTTTATATCAGGTAAAAAAAATTAATAATTATTTTATTTGATAATTATTTTCATTTTATAAATTAATTACAGGTTGCCACTGGAGGGGCAATGATATTATCTTTCGATGTTTCTCCCACATCGCAATGTCTTTCATTCGGCGATTCTGTGGGTTCAATTCATCTTATGTCGACAAATAATCCAGAGCCTCAATTTAACACATTCTCAAGGTTAATAAAATATTTCATAAACTTTTTTTTTTGGAAAACATTTAGGAATTTTAATTTTTTTATTTATTTTATATCCTTAGACCTACTGAATTTGCTGATCCAGTTGAAACACTACAGCCTTTTTCATTTGACGATAATGAAACACCATTAAGTTCTATTCCAATGATGTACACTGGTCAAACACTTTTTAGCGATTGGCCTGAGGAATTTATTAAACAAGTATACAGGTAAATGAAACTTTTAATATTAATATAATGTTGTCTTGAATTTTATTTCCCTATTGAATTTTATTTTACAGAAAATCACCGCAGATTGATCAAGAAATTTTGAAAACAATGAAAATGCAAGGACCCATTGGTTATGCGCCGAATCCTCAATCATTTCGGAGAAATCAAGTGAGGAAACAATATTCTCCCACTCTACTACAATATTCTCCACTCCTTCTTGAACATTCATAAATTTTATTTCAACTTTTAAAATTATGTTTGAACCAAATTGAAATTCAATTTTATTTTGTTTTAAAAAATATTTTCTTTTTTTTTTTTTTTTTTTTGTTTATCAATATAAAGATAGTTTAATTTACACTATCTAATTTATCGTTAAATTGTGTGCGTGTGATAAAGCACAAAAATTTTTCCTAATGAACCAAATGTTTACGATAATAAAAATATTCTACTTTTGCAAATGATAGTGAGAAAAAAAAAATTAGTATTGAAAATAGTGCCATTTTCTATTATAGTCACGCAATTAAAGACTGATGTAAAGTATTATGATAATTGAAATTGAGAACGTGATATTATTTTTGTAAGATGATTTATTTTTTTTTTTTTTTCATTGATTCTCCAATTTTCAATTATTAAATAAAATCTCCCGTGATTTACAAGTCAAAAAAATTGTAATTAAAAGTAGATTTCAAATCTAATAGAAAAAAAAAGTTATCTCTTGAAAAAATAAAAATCTAGAGAATAAACAGTTGCATGAAGCAAAAAAAGTTTTAATTATACAATGAAATGAATTACATTTATTTTTGCAATTTTTTTTTTTTTATTTCTATACATATAATTATATTTAGGAATATCGCATAAATAATGTATTAAATAAAGTGTATAAACGAGTGAAATAAAGGTTATATGAGATCGTCATAAACCTGAAGTAGTTAATTTGGTTCTTATTTATTTATTTTTTTTTTAAATTCAATTCCCATGCGACTGTGAATAGGTATTATTTATTTTCTAGATAACTTATCTTTTTTTTTTTTTTTTTTAATGAACAATTTCCAAGTTTTGTGATAAAAATAAATAATACCTTTTTTACAGATTCCATATAATTTGGAAAAGCGGCGAGGTATAGTCACAAAATTATTTGGCAATGATTCACGAGCTAAAATGGATGATGGAACATTTGTGGCTATACCAAAACGATATCGTAAAACAGAAGTAAAATATTCATTAAAATATTATTACGATGAATTTGATTTTGAACAATATAATCGATCGAATTTTTGTGGATTGGAATCAACACTTCCAAATAGTTATTGTAATTCAATGCTTCAAGTAAGTAAACTAATAATAGATATAATATTTTTGGAAAATTGAATTTTTTTTTTTCTACAGATGCTTTATTATTGTGAACCAGTGAGAATATCGTTGCTTTCGCATTTATGTCAGAGAGAATTTTGTCTTTCTTGTGAAATGGGTTTTCTCTTTCATATGTTGGATACTTCAAAAGGAATTCCTTGTCAAGCGGCAAATTTTTTACGAGCTTTTAGAACTGTTCCAGAAGCTTCAGCATTGGGTTTAATATTAAATGATCTTCATCCTGAAGCTAAGAGAAAAGTCAGCTTAATAAGATTAATTCAGGTAAATTTTTAATTTTTTCGTAAAATTTTATTTATATTTTTATTATAATATTTTATATTGCACAGAGTTGGAATAGATTTATTTTACATCAAATGCATTATGAATTGTTGGAAACAAAAAAACGACAACAGGAAAAAGAAGAGGAAACAATGCGTTTAAAAATGGAACCAAAACATAATGCATTTGTTTATAATGAACATGATTTTCCGAGTATTTTACAAGATCTTGGTTCACGATATATAAACAATGAGGAAGATAGAAGAAGAAGACGAAAACAAGATGAGGATGGTAAATATATGTGGATCACATCGAAAGGTAAACACAATTCATGTGTAACCTTTGCATTGGTCACTATTTTGTGTTTATTTTTCAATTTTCCCGCTAATTTTTTTTAAGTGTTTTACCTTTATTATATTTTGTAGAATAAATTGTAGTGATAGAAAACAATTTATCCTGTACTTATGAATTTTTTTTTTGTTATTAGGATTCCTAGCTTTTTTTCTTTTTTTGAAAAAAAAAGAAATAGAAGAAGCCGTTGTAGATGCTATTAAAAAGTTGCTTTGTTTTTTTAAAATATTATTATTTTCTTATTTTACAATCATTTTTATCTATTATTTATTTACAAAAATTTAGATGATAGTGGCAAGAAATCATCAGATGAAAATGAAATCCGTGAAGAGGAATCAGAAATAAGTCGTGTTTTTGGTTCGGAACAAATTCATATACATCGTTGTTTAAAATGTGGACAAGAAGCTTCAAAACATTCCATTATGTTGCTGTGTAATTTAACATATCCTGAGACAGCAAATCCTAGTAAGAATCACATAAATTATAATTTTAATTAACTTGTAATATTTATTAAAAAAAAAAAAATTATTACAAATAGCGGAAGAAGTACCATTTTCAAAAGTTTTGGCTCGGAGTTTAAAACCTGAAAAAGTCACTCCGGCCTGGTGTGATAAATGTCAGAAATTTAATCCCACTTTACAATTACGGCATTTAACAAAATTACCGCAAGTATTAGCGTTAAATTGCGGCTTGGATACACAGCAGGATAAAAAATTTTGGCAAAATCAAATGGACATTGTTGTTAAAAAAGTATTGAATGGTGTTGAAGGTAGCAGTCCAATTTCAAGTCCAATTCCATCAATTGCCAAACCATGTCGTTATGGAATAAATTGTTCTCGTACAGGTTGCCGATTTAGGCATGTCGGTCGACCTCCTGGTAAAAAAATTGTTTTCCTTTTTTTTTTTTTCTTTGGAAAAATTTATTTCAATGTGTTTGTGTTTTTTTTTTCAGAAACATCATCACCATCATCATCTTCTGCTTCTGTATCAAGCCATCTTTATTGCACACATTCCTGGATACCTCAAAATTTAGAGATAACGTTAGATGAAAAACGAAATTTACACGTTACAAAGCTAGACAATAGATTAAATAGTGATTTAGAAGATAAGTCAAAAATATCAAAAGATGATAAAAGTCATATGACAATTCAGTTAGCAATGGGTGAAACAAACGATAAAGAAAACTCCGATTCTCCAAAAGTTCAAAAAGTTAATTACGAATTAAGTGCAGTAATTTGTTATATTAATGATAAAAATAATGAAGATCGACGTAATCTTGTTGCATTAATTCGTGTCGGAGAAAATTATCACGAAAGATCAAATGGAAATTCTTCATTTCAATGGTACATTTTTAATGATTTTTGGTAAGTATTTTTTTTATTTATTTTCAATTTAAAAACAAAAAATGGAAAAAAAAATTTTTTAATTTTATTTACAGTATATCAGCAGTTTCACCACAAGAAGCTGTGTGGTTTAATCTCGATTGGAAAGTTCCGTGCGTTCTTCAATATACAGCCAAATCATCCACTGAATCTGCTCCTTTTATAAGTCCACAATGGACATTTGATGTTTTTGGTGAAGATAAGTGCATTGCCCGAAGTGGTGGAACAAGAGGAATAACATTTACTCCTCTTTCTGCCGATGAAACACCCAAAAAAGGTGATTTAGTGGGAATTGACGCAGAATTCGTTACTTTAAATCAAGAAGAAGCTGAACTACGTAGTGATGGTAAAATTTCTCAAATAAAACCAAGTCACATGTCAGTGGCTCGAGTAACATGCATTCGAGGGTAGGTAATTTATTTTTTTTTTACTAAAATTATTTTCAACTTTATTTTCAATTTTATTTTTATTTTCAGACAAGGTCCACTTGAAGGAACTCCATTTATTGATGATTATATAAGTACACAAGAACAAGTAGTTGATTATTTAACCAAATTCAGTGGAATTCAACCTGGCGATTTAGATGCAAATTTTAGCAGTAAACATCTCACTACGTTGAAGTCAACTTATCAAAAGTTGCGATTTCTTGTTGATAATGGCATTATATTTGTTGGACATGGACTTAAAAATGATTTTCGGTAATTATATATTTTTAATATTACTATTTTATTTTTCTCAATAATTTACTATTATTATTTATTTTTTTTTTTCAGAGTTATCAATTTGGTAGTTCCACCTGAACAAGTTATAGATACTGTTTTATTGTTTCATTTACCACATCATAGAATGGTATCTCTTCGATTTTTGACATGGCATTTTTTAGGTAAAAAAATACAATCGGAAACACATGATTCAGTAGAAGATGCTCGAGCTGCACTTGAACTTTATCAAAAATATAAACAAATTGAAATTCAAGGGAATTTATCGGAATCTCTTAAAGAACTTTATAGTGTTGGTACACAATTGCAGTGGAAAGTAAGTAAATAATGCTTTTCTTTCTTTTTTTTTTTGTTATCAATTGAATTTGAATTGAGAAAACAAAAATTAATTTTTAGGTTCCAGATAGTTGATGTCGAAAAAGAGTTACTGAAAAAAATTCAGTAACAGTCGATGATTGTCGATTACAAGAAAACTCCGTCTTATTGTTAAATATTTAACAAAACAAACAAACAAAAAAAAATGTAAGAGACATTTCTTACTGGCCCATGAATTTTTTCATATTCTAAGAATATTCTAACAGTCTCAGACACAATTTCTGTTCAAGTACAGATTTTTATTATTCAATGTGTCTAATTCTTTTAGATTTTCTTGGCAAAATGTGTGCTGTGTATGTGTTAAGTATCATTGTTTTTTAATATTATTATTATTTTTTTTTTAATATAAGTTCAGATAAAATAGAATTGAACGATAGTGATAATGTTTTGTCAAATGGGGTAATTCTTTACGGGTAATTCTGTCGACCTTAGTTTTAAAGAATTTTTTTAATTTGTTTATCTTTTTTCTATTATTGTGAAATCGCTAATGATAATTTCTTATAAAGGAAAATTAATATCTTTATTAAAGAAATTATTCAAATCAGAATCAGTATAGTACATTGTGAATCGTTAAAAAGTATATCTTTTTAATGATTATGAACTGATGTAATTTGTATGATAGGAAATGAATTTTACAGTAATTTTTTTGTATATATACATTTTTTTCACTTTAACTTGATCTAATTGTAATTTCTTGTTTTAAATGAAATTACTTATTTATATTTACTTTATATCTAGAACTTAAATGAAAAAAAAATAACTACGATTAAAAATTAAAACATTAATTAAAGAATTAACTGGTAATTAATTATTTAATCGGTGCTGAACACCTTAAGATTTTTTTTTTATTATTTTTATAATGTATTTACAGTTTATATACTACTTTTCTATTGAAATGAAGATACACTTAATACTTAATTAAATATTACTTTTACTATTTATATTCTTAATTAATGTTTGTTACGTAATTATTTATATATGTAATTTAAATTGTAAAAAAATATTTTCATGTGATTATACACAACAGAAAAGTCATTAAATTTTTAATATTTTTCTAGAGTCAAGAATATAATTTAAAAATATTTATTCTTTTTCACTGAGTATAAAACATTGATTTTGTGATATATTTTTTGTTTTTTTAACTTAATTTTTGTCTTAATATTTCTTTTCTTTTTATAAACGAAGAATTATATATATATAATGTATACTGAAAATTCAGACGTGTTAACAAAATAGATATATATACGTTGTCTATATTGTGGTAAATGTAAATTTATTTTTTATAAGAATTTTTCATGGAACTGAAATTATTGTTCGTTCAACAGAGACATTTACAAAATTTTTAAAATTCTTTTATTTTGAAGAAAACTAAGTAAAAAAAAAAATATATATATTTTGATACATTAAAAATACACCAAATCATTCTATTACTTTTTATTTTTCTTCATACATAATGTTTTGAAAAATTTTGAAAATGATTATTCATCAAATTAGACTATGTAATCTATATATTTTTTTAATAGGTCAACAAAATGAATTATTCTTATGTATCTTCGTCAATGTAAAATACAAATATTGTAAGGTCGACAAACATTTTTGTATTTTATCGAATTTTATCATTGCGATTTCGCTTTTAATAAACGATTAATGAAGAAAAATTAGAATTTATTATTTTTTAGTTAAAAATATTTAATAATGAAATAGTTATTCTATAATTATTTAAAAAAAATTTTAATAGCCAAAATTTGACATAAGGATATAAGGAGATCATTGAATTAATATTATTTATTTTAATATTAAAACTTAAGTCTGTATATACATGTCATTTTTAAAAGAGACCGAAATTCTTTACTCAGTATTGCATTACATCGTATAAGAGTTTTAGTGATTAATAATTTACAAATTGTACACACATACACATAGGGCATACGAAATATATATAAATATATGTCTATATTTCGAATACACTATATACGAGGCGTTTATACACATGGATTTTTTAAATAAATAATACAATTCTCAATTGAAACTTACAATTGTTATTATCAAGTTAAGTAAAAATGCACTAACAAGAACAAATTTTAATACACAATAATTAAAAGTTGTTTTAGATTAAAGAAAATTATTTTTTAGGCCGAAAATTTATTTGAAATTAGGGTAACTGCACCAGTGGTGGATCAATTAAGCCTACTAAATTTATTATTTTGACTTTAAAGGTGTACAGATTTTTTCAGATGAAAAATATAGGGTAATCTTTACAATAGTATGAATTAACAAGTCTTCCAGGACACTATCGTGTAGTTTTCGACCTGCTTGTAACGTTTACACCCCCTAACACCCACATTCAACAATAAAATGACATTGCTCCAGTCGTGGATCATTTACCCCTTTACACTACACAAAAATAACTTAATGATGTAAATTTTTTTCCAAAAGTATTCTATATGGAAAGAATTGATTACTTTCTACTCTAAAAATTAAAAAAATTTAGACTAAACAATTATTTTTTAAGATTTCATGTGAAAAAGCATAAAATCAACAATTGTTGTATTGCTTTGTTTTCCTAAATATTTTCAAATGATTTTATTTCATAAAACTTATCTATACACCTCCCCTAAACGATTGAAACATTTAGTTCAATTAGAAATAGCTTATTTTAACCTTTTTAACGCTGTTGATCCACCATTGGTGCCTGATCCACCACTGGAGCATTTACCCTAATTTGTCAATTAAATTAATTTTATGATTTATAAATTCAAATATATTATATTAGTTTGTTATTTCTTTTTCGATAATTGATTATTAATTAATAATTAAATTTCAATTATATTAGATATATAAAAGAATTCATCTACAATAATTAAAAAAAAATTCATCTATAAGTACATTTTTAAAAAACTTTCTGTCACTATTATCATTATCATCATCACCATCAACATCATCTTTAAATTAAAGATTAGTAAATGCCTATTGCCCTTTGAAACATAAAAAATAAGTTCACATCACTTGTTCGGTTAAAAAAAAAACAACACTTTATTTGTGGTGTGTTTTTTTTTTTTGTTATATTAATCTCTTAAATATATCACTACATTATTATAATAATAATAAATTTCCATTTCATTGACAATTTTCGTTTGATAACGTCACGCATTCCTGCAACTGACAGTACAAAAATATTATTTACATATAACAACGTCGATAAAGACTTATTGTCATTGTCCCGACAAAGATTCATGACTTAAAAATAAGTAAGTTAAAAAACTGTTTCTGACTAGAAACTTGTAAAATCGAGCTGCAGGAATCGAGAAGAGTATTCATTGGCAGTTTAGCAAGTTGTGTTTTAAAAAAAAAATAAAAACACAAATTTAAAAAAATTTTTTTTTTGTTAATATTTTATACGGATATTAACAATTAGATCGATTACTTTGAAATTTATAATACCTTCACATTCTGTTTTCAACTAATTTTTTTTTAAAATAATAGAAGGTATAATTAATTTGTGCATGTTATGAAGCGCATATGATTTAGTGATTAAAAAGTGCCAATTAATTACTCTTCATTTATGAGTAACATTTAAAGGCACTGTTTCGGTTTTTTTTTTTTTTTCTAAATCAAAGAGCTTAATGATCATCCCCATGGAAATGGCCATTTCGATTTAATGGTTGTCTTTCAGGAGCGTCTGTTGGCCTATTTCTCTTAAAGAAACCACACTGAAAGAAAAAAAAAAAATTAAATTTTTGAGAATAAAAATTTGATTAAATTCTTTATAAACTAGAAAAATTAATTACCTTATGAAGTAAATATATTAATAGCAATAATATGATGACACCTGCACAGGCAGACAGGACAACAACCCAAAGTGGTACAACATCAGCAACTGGCGGCGGTGCAGTGGGTTCAACATTCGTAAATACCTCTTGACTCTTAACATTTTGTTCAGCAACATTATTAAGAGCAGCAAATCTTGTTATTCTCGTTAAAACTTGAGTTGAAACTTGAATTGGTTCTCTATAGGCAACTTTCTTTAAAGTAGCCGCTTTAATTCTAAATTTCAAACTTAAATGTGCCTCTTCTCCTTTCTTTAAAGGACCCAATTCACATTTTATTTGAAAACAACTTGCACGCTTACAAGGATTTTTGGTAATATCATAAGTAACTGGATCTAATTCATTCTTTAATGATAATCCATTAGAATTATCATTCATATCAGTTTCACGTCTATGTCTAATATTTCGTTCATGTGATTCATATTGTGGATTAATCCAACTATCTCTAATCGGTGCTTCACTATTTCTCGTATAAACTTTAGATTGAATTCTTTTTTCATTGGTGCGCATTTCATCATGACTATGTGAACTGTGATATTCCTCTCCAATATCTCTCGAAGATTCTGTACGCCAAGAACTACCCGATGAATGACCATAAATTTGTCCATTTTTATATGGACTATTGTCAAACGACGATTCCTGAGGAGAACTAGTGTAACTATAAGTTCTAACAGTGGAATAAGTGGAAAATCCTTCAAGGGCAAATCTATTGCCATTATTCAATTGAATATAAGCTCTATTACCAGGTCCAGCAATAAGTTCACCATCAACGGGACCAAATCTATGACTCACTGGACTACCAGGATCGGATAATACTCTTTGTCCTAAATTATCCTCAAGGGGAAATTGTGTACCATCTTGAAAGACAATACATTTTTGACCAGTTTTCATTGTACCTATTCTTCCTCGGAAATTAATGAAATTCTTTCCATGTCTATTATAGGCTGAAACTTTGTAGGTACCTCTCGATATATCAGAAAAAAATTGCTCAAGATCTTGTGTTGATGTTATATTTCTCATTCGAATATTAATATCAGATGATCCAATCACTTCCTCACGATCACCACTTATTTCATCATCAAAACGTGAATTAGTCAACACTCCATAACCTTGATGTCTTCGTGATTCTTCTCTATCTTCACCAAAATGACGTTCAGTTCCATAAATTGTACTTCCTCGTGAATTATTATAATCATAATCCTCCTCATCATTCTTCTCCTGTTGTCTAATACGCTCTTCTTCCGCCAATTTTTTTTGATTAATTCTTTTTAATTCGTCAAATTTCTTTTTTTCTTCATACAATTTACGTTTCTCCTCTTCGAGTTCCGCGCGTTGTTTCTCAATTTCCTGTTGTTTTAATAAATCAAAACTTGAACTAACTGGAGAGACGGTAATTTTTCTTTGACCATAGGAATAATGTTTTGAATCATTACGTCCAATATTATCATCTTTTCGATAAGATCCACCGCCAAATCCAGCTGTATTTAAATCATAATTTCTCGAACTCTCAGAAGTGACAAATATTTTCTTTTCTTCACCACCAAGTGTGGTGATTTTATCTTGATAATTATTATTATTTGAATGTCTTATTTGATTGAATTCAGAACTATCGCCAGTATTTACCTCTATTCTTCTTCTATCGTCAGAAGAATCATAACCTTTTTGAACAGCAATACCACCACTTGATTGCTGATAATGATGATCTTGATAATGTTGATGATTATATCCTGAACTACCATATAAAGAAGAATAACGTGTTTTCGCCGAGTCAGTATATTTAAGATGATGATAATTATAATCAGCATTTACACATTTAATTGTTCCTTGTGGTTCCTCCATTAGATAAAGTAAATCATCACCTCCAAGTGTTTTACCCGGCCATGTTACAAATACATCAGCACTTAAGAAATTAGATGGTCCATTATTTCTCACCGTGTAATTATGAACAATTGCTGGTCCAAATTCAACGTCAGTTGTAATATTTTCCGATGTATAATTTTCGGGATTATAAAATAATTCTTTTGGTCTACTTTCACCCTCAACAACAAGTTCAAGATCCACCCAAACGGGTATTTTAATAGCCTCATGATTATCACGTACAGTTGCCGAATTTTCCAAATTTGTTGTATTAACTTCCATTTTAAAATCAAAGGTCGCATTCATATTTTCAGCAACAATTGGTTCGAGTATTGTTTTAAATTTCACCATTTTACCCCTTGGCATTGGATTACCAATATCACAACGTAGAATATTATTTTGATTTGGTGCCAAACATTGCACCAATACGCCAGTATTGTTAAATTGTTCAAAATTTATATACTGAACGTGTGGTGGTAATTGAAGATAAAACATTGCTTCATAAGCATCTTCACCTAAATTTTTAACTGTAACAGTTATATGAAAATCTTGACCAGATCCTAAAAGATATTTCTCAACACTTGCACTTGACGTGAGTTGAAGATCAGGAATACAAATATTATCATCACCACAATTTTTCCTAATGTAGATTGAATCTTTCAAAGATGTTGTTTCCGCCAAAACTGGACGTAAAGGCGTATCAGGACTTCTGGGTCGCATATCTGGTTCTCGATTTTCAGAAAGTGTGAGACGTGCCTCAGCATCAATACCCGTTAATTTATCACGTATATGAGGAGTTACATAGACTCTAAAAATTCTCGACCACTGTACACGACGCTCAAGTGTAACATTCTTAATAGTCATCACATTTCTTCCCTCTTGTTCAATAAAAAACATTCTTGGATTTTTAATCTTAACTGGATCCAAAATTAATTCAATATCAAATGTCTGATGAGAATAATCGGCATCGTATTTTAGAAAAACTTTTAAAAACATACACGATACTCTTTCACTTCCCCTTCTTATTGCACAGTCCTTATTATCAAGATTTATTCCCGACATTTTTGAATGACGTTCAAAAAAATATTCAACTTTACAATCGGCTCGTATTACTGGTCTAGATCTAAAAAATAAAGCCGCATCTGAATCATAAGCTCCAACAACTAAATCAGGATATGTATTTTGATCCAAATCCTGTCCACCAGCAATTGAAAATCCAAAAGTTGCGAGTCTATCCTTAAGATCCGTGGAGAAAATAACTTGGGAATATTTTTCTCCAAGTCCATCTTTTGAACCACGATAAATATAAACTGCTCCTCGACCCTCTGGCCCAGCGTACGGTGCACCAATCGCAATATCTCCATATCCATCGTGATCGGTGTCACCCAAGAAAGCTAAAGAGAGACCAAATCGCCCCCTATTGAATTCTCCATCCCTAAAAAATGAAAATAAAATTTATATTCCCTTTTTTTAAATTATATTAATTATAAAAAAAAAATTTTACCGAAAATCTTTTTTATCGAACAAGGCATTTGATTTAACAGCTCGATATGCAATGTAAACTCTTCCAGTTTCAATGACTTCTAAATTACCCGGCAATGTGAACATTGGTGCACTAATTATCAAATCATCAAATCCATCTCCATTAAGATCACCAGACGCCAAAGCATAACCAAAATATCCTCCCATTTGTTCCCCAGTAATATTTCTATAGTTTTTCATTTGAGAATCAAATAAAGCCACCTGTAAATAAACAAAAAAGAAGATCAATACAAATATGAAATAAAAAAGAAAAATTAGAAAATATTTTTTAGAAACTATATTTCGATTTTCTAAACAATTTCTCTACTTTTAATATACCTACTTGTCCCATAAGATTATTCCCACGTGGAATTCCAACAGCAACATCACTTTTTCCATTTCCTTGATAATCTCCTGAAGTTACTGAATATCCCATATAGCTATCATCGTCTTGTGGGCTTCCTTCTTTCGTCATTAAAACTTTTGTTCGATTGTCCAATCCATTATATGAATACAATTGTCCTGTGAATTAATCAAAATATGTAAAAATAATAAAAAAAAATTATTATTCAATAAAAAATTATCTATTTATGAAACAAGATAGGTTAGAATTTATTCTTATAATTTTCAATTTAAACCATAACAAAAATCACACATTTCATACAAAAAAAAAAGTATAGCATATTTAAATTTTTTAGTTTTTTTTTTTAAATTAATAATAATTCTACAATAAGAATCAAACGCGATAAGCAAAATTACTGAAATCGTAGTTAAAACTAAATAGCACCATGAGCATTATTAAAATGTTAATATTTCGAAAATATACTCCTCTTCGCTATAGGCATATTAATCTAATTAAATAAAATTAATAAACTAATTATATAGGCTCCGATGTTGGTCTCGACATCGTAATGGATTTTTTTTTTTTTTTTTAATATGGTATTATTAATGACAACACTATTAAATTATAAATTATTAAGGTATATTGGTTGTGACGAGACAGATCATATCTCTTTGCTCTCCTTTTAGTTAATCAGCACTGCTTGTTGCGCACGAAGCTGTAATAAGCACGCCAACACCTGTTAGACATGGCCACCCTTTGGCTCACCTGGCAGTCATTACTAATATTCAATAATTACAAATAAAAATAATTTTTTCCGATTTAGTTAATTAAAAAAAAAAAATGCAAACACACAAACTCTTCAGGAGCAAAAAAAAAACAATAAATAATAATTTTTTTTTACTAATCTAAATTTATAATATAAAAAAAATAATTTCAAATTGAAAAAAAATTCTTCTGATTTTTCACTGAAAAATTTGATTAGCAAATGTTAATAACGCTAATCATTGAAAAAAAAAGTATATAAAGCCAAATAAATCCGTTAACAAATTAATCGTTAAAGCAACACTGCCAAGCAAGTAACAGGGTAGAAAATCAAAAAAAAAAAAATGAATATTACATGTTAATATGAAAATGATTTTTAATATCATGATGTAAAAATTAAATAGGACGGGAATTTTTTTTTAAAAAAAGCAATAAAATAACTCAGGGGAGGACCTGTAAACTCATGGTACCTTGAAAAGCACCTAATCGTGTATCATCAGGACAAAATTCGAACTTCGTTTGACTGTCCATTGAATATAGCTGACCTGAAATGTATTTAACATATTTCTAATATATTTTCATTATTATAATTGTCGCATTATTATTTACAATCAGTTCTCCATTTTTCTGGTCTAATAAAAATTAATTCCTATATTTTAATACTTATAATTACTTATATACTATAATATTTAATAATCTAATATATTAATTAATATTTCCATTGAAAAAAATAATACAGATATATTTAAATGGGAAAAATTTTGTTTTTTTTTGAAAATTTATAATTATATGATTTATTATTTTCATTTAATTAATAGACTACTTAAAAAGAGAATATATTAAATAAAAATTACCTTGCCAATACCAACTTCCTGGGGCTCCTATGAAAAGTCTTTTACCATCCTGCAAACAAATAATTATGCCAATTAATTATTATAATCATATATAACTTATTTAAAATTTCAATAATAGTAATAATTATTATATAATAATAAAATGCTTGGTCTGTCAAATTTTGACAATTCTGTTTCTCATTTTTGCCAAAGTTGTATAATTGTGTTTCCAAATTTCGGAATAAGTTTCTTTAAAATTCCAAATTCGAAAATTCAATTCACGAAGCTGAAGTACACAACCTTTATCAACGAAATTTTTTTAAAAGTTGTATATTAATTCAAAAATTGTACAAAAAATTTATGATGAGAAAAAAGATGCGCCAGGAAATTTCGTACAAGATAGTAATTTGAAAAAAATTTATTTTTAAAAATTAATTTTTAAAGTACCAGGGGCCAACGAATACCTATTAAATATTAATTATAAAAACACAGGCCTCGAATCAACTTAAAGACACAAAAAATTCGTTTTAGTCGATTTATATTCCAAAAAAAAGTGAGATTTGTTTTTTATTTTAACAAAAATATTTTACCGATTTTTAAATAAAAATTTTTTTTTTTTAATAATAATCCTTTTCGAAGGGTTAAAGTTGAAATTTTTAGAAATAATTAAATTTCAAAAGATATTGTTAATTTTCAAACAATTATTAAATTTTACAGAACTAAAAATAATTTATCAAACAATTTTTGGGAAAATATTTTTTAAATTTAATTGAATTTTTAAAGATTTAAAATTGAGATTTTTTAAATTAATTTTTTGTAATTAAAATTTTAGATGATTTCACTAAAAATTTATTAGAAAATGCGGACAAAATACAATAATTTGAAAATCATTTTTAATTGAAAAATGGTTTCAGATAGTTGAATTTTCAAAGAATATTATTAAAATAGTTAAAAATAATTGAATTTCCTTAGTTATAATTGAAATTATTAAATTTCAAAAAAAAAAAATTTTCGATGGAAAATTTTAGAAATAATTAAATTTTTGATGCTTTTAAATTCAAATTATTAAAAATTCAATTAATTTTGAATTCAAATTTTTGGGAATAATGAAATTTTATTTGATTTTAAATTTGGAAAATAATTGAATTTCAGTTCATTTTGAATTGAAAATTTTGGAAAATAATTGAATTTTAATTGAAATTTAGGATAATAATTTAATTTAAGTTCATTTTTGATTGAAAATTTGGATAATTAATTTTGAACAGAAATTTTAGAAAATAATTGAATTTTATTTCATTTTAAATTGAAAACTTGGTAAATAATTAAATTTTAAATTGAAAATTTTTGATAATTATTGGATTTTTCATTGATTTTGAATTAAAATTTCGGGTAATAATTGAATTTTAGTTTATTTTGAATTGAAATTTTTAAAAAATAATTCAATTTTATTGTGACATTTTTAATTGAAAAATGGTTTCAGATAGTTGAAATTTCAAAGAATATTATTAAAATAGTTAAAAATAATTGAATTTCCTTAGAGTTATAATTGAAATTATTAAATTTCAAAAAAAAAAAATTTTCGATGGAAAATTTTAGAAATAATTAAATTTTTAATGCTTTTAAATTCAAATTATTAAAAATTCAATTAATTTTGAATTCAAATTTTTGAGAATAATTAAATTTTATTTGATTTTAAATTTGGAAAATAATTGAATTTCAGTTCATTTTGAATTGAAAATTTTGGAAAATAATTGAATTTTAATTGAAATTTTGGATAATAATTTAATTTAAGTTCATTTTTGTTTGAAAATTTGGATAATTAATTTTGAATATAAATTTTAGAAAATAATTGAATTTTATTTCATTTTAAATTGAAAACTTGGTAAATAATTAAATTTTAAATTGAAAATTTTGGATTTTTAATTGATTTTGAATTAAAATTTCGGGTAATAATTGAATTTTAGTTGATTTTGATTTGAAATTTTTAAAAAATAATTCAATTTTATTGTGATATTTTTTTTTTTAATTATAAACAATTGTTAAATTTCATAAAAATTTTAATTGAAAAATAATTTTAATATAATTGAATTTGTGATGTATTTCATTAAAATTATTAAAAATAATTAATTTAGTGAAGAATCATTTTAGTTCAAAATTTGTTAAATAATTGAATTGAAGAAGATCTGAAGAAGATCTACATTTTATACTAAAAAAAATGTATTTTATTTACATTTTTTTCAAATGTAAAAAAAAATGTCGCATTTTATTAAAATAAGTCGATGAAAGTCGTATTTTTGAAAAAAGTCGGAAAAAGTCGTATAATCCGAGGCCTGTAAACATATAATTTTCATTATTATCATCTAATATGTAATAATATTCTAATAAATTAAATTATTATTGATAATATTAATCTTTAATTTCTTTATAATAAACAATTAAATACTCAATTTGGTGCGCTTGCGCGCATTTAATTTTGCTAGTTTAATAAATAATTTTCAGTGACCTAAAAAGCCAAAAATTTGAAAAATTATTTACGAATATTAATATGAGCATATTGTATAGAAATTGAGGGGGAAAAAAATAGAAGATGAAAGAGTAAGGTGTAAGGGAAATGAAAAGTTGAGAAAATAAGAAGAAAAAAAGTTTGTAACTCTTAAGATCGAGTGAACATTGAAAAAGATTGTTTTACTCTGCTTATCATGAGAAATGCCAGTCGTTTATAAAACGATGCAAAGAACGAGAGAAGAACGGGACCACCGGGCGCGTAGGTGGTCCCTGCAAGTAGGGAACAGTGACAGAACGAAATGTCCCATCCTTAAATGGCAGTTTGAAACTTTGTCTCTATACAATATAATACAGCAAAAGGCACCCTCTGTTCTTGTTCACGCACATCATGTATACATATTGTGTACCATTAAGCATACTTTATTTTCTTTTAAAAAAAATTATTAATTTTCATATTTTATTTCAAAAATTATTATTTTATTATCATGTTTAAAAAATTAATATATTCTATTATTCCTGTACTCGCAAATAAAAATAAATTTCGAATTTAATTTATTTTAAAATAAAATATATATATATATATTTTTAATGAAAATAAGGTATTCCTAATTTTAGAATAATTATTCTCCTTCAAGAATATTAATATTTTTTTTAGACATTCTTCTCATGAATTAATATTAAATTACTTTTGAAAAACCTTATTTATTAAAAGATTAAGAGCGACCCCCATTAGTAGTTAAATATTCTTTTTTTTTCGAAAGCATAATGGAAGATAAAAATTAATTGTTTACAATATAAAAAGAAGAAGAAGAAGAAGAAGAAAGTAGAATGTTGAAAAGGTATGAAAGGCACCTGCGTTCTTTCAAGTGGCGCCAAGTCAGTCGTGGGTCGCTTATTTTCGACCCTCATATTATTTATCGCCAGGCACGAATATTATTTGTGCATCTTGCTGCCGTTCGCACGGGCCCAAACAATGGTCGTCACTGGCAAAAACATGAATGCAACAAACCGTGACTTCTGTTCCGGCGCAAACTTACTACTCGCGATATAAAAAAAAAAAAAATGAGAGAAACCAAAAAGGCGTTGTCACTCACAAAATATTTTTAATTTAAAAAATTAGAAAGTTTTTCTTAGAAAAATCAAATTTTGAAAATCGTCATTCTTTGGTTTAAAAGAAAAAAAGAATTTTCTTGATTATAAAAAAAAAAAAAAAAAAAAAAAAAAAAAATTGTTTACATTAAATAAATGTGAACAAGCGACAAGATTCTGGTCCTTAGGCGATGCAGTTGCTTCATACGACACAAGACTTGATACCCCCTACTGTGCAGTAGTTTTTACATGAAAAAAAATTTGCAACCGGAACAATAGGTCCCGTCTGCCAGGAAACACGATCAGCACGAATGTCTTCTGGCGCCGATCGACTATGAAAAATAGGTGCGTTTGTCAAAATAATATCTTTAAAGATATTTTTTGGAATATTAACAAAATATTTGATTTGCAAAAAATATTAATTATTAAAAAAAAAAACCTTAAAAGTCATTAAGTTTTTTCCTATATACGTGTCTCGTTGGTTTACGAATATACATATAATTGTGAGTATATAAAAGCGCGGGGGAGGGAAAAAAGGGGGGGTATTAACATTGAATACTGTGAGCCAGTTTAGAGCATCGCCGGACATGCATTAAACATCCCAGACAATTCTGAATTATACATCCGTGAGATAGTTGCCTGAGTGTCTGTGGATTGTCCCACTATTTCTTTGGCGGCGATATTAAACCAATCGGAAGCAAAATTGAGAAGAACAAAAAAAAAAAAAATTAGTTTCAATCCTTGTTCCGCCTATAGAAAATAAAAAAAGAATATTAAAAACTGTGAAAATACAAAAGAAATTTTATTTTCTTTTACAAGAGAATTTATTTTTCTTTTTTTCAAAAACTATTTTTCTTCTTAATAAAAATTTACTCAAATATATAGAAATTATTGGTCAATTTAATTGCAAATAAAAATTATTTAGTGCAAATATTATTATTTGTTAATAAAATAACCGATTATTTGAATCAAATAATTTTTTTCCAGTGTGGTAATTGTAATTAAAAAAATTATTTTTTTATTTATAATTTATTTTTCAAGAAATTCTATTCCGTTGATTTCAATTGCATTGGCAATAAAGAATTGAACAAAAAAAAATCTGATTTTTTTTTTTTTTTTTGGTTTCAAATTAACGTATAAATTTTGAACGAAAGATAATGCAAAATCCGCTTTGGCCAAGTTAAAGGGTTAAGTAAGTATACGTATATATATATATAGGAAGAATTCGCATTCCTGGCCATATTCGGTACGCACTGTATTCATGGATACAACCGCTTGTCCGGAAAGGTACTATATATATACCACCTCTATCAGAGTGCAAGAGAGGCATTCGGATAAATAACAGTCACACATTTATTCTTTTAGCGGTTCTTTTTTTTTTTGCACAAATTTTTTGTTTTTGCTTTTTTTTATTCTACTTTATATATATATATAAAGCTTTCAGCTTGAATCAATCAATAAAAATTTGTGTCTCAAAAGAAAGAACAAAAAAAATGAATTAATTTTTTGGAAAAATAGTTTGTTTTTTTTTTTGAAAAAAAGTAAAATAAAAAAATTTAGATCTCACCTTGGATACGGATGCTCCCAGTCCTGCTTGACATGAACCCTGTAGATTGTAGCCCTGTTTTCCTGAAACGGAAATGCGTAATTATTGTATATGTATATATATATATATTGTCCGCCTATTCAGTCGAATAAAAACATCACTCGTCATATCTAGTCTATTGTATTTCATACGATGACAAATAATATATAACGATTAAAATTTAACATTTTACCTTTTGTTTAAAATTATTACTTATATAAATTTTTCTAGAAATTATATTTCTATTTTTATTTACCTATTTATTATTATAATTTATTTTCATAATTTATAATTATAATTTATTATTATAATTTATTATTATAATTTATTATAATAATCTGTTATTTTTTAAAAATTATTTTGTCAAAAAATAATAAATTTGTAAAAAAAAAGGAGCAAGTTCCATTTCATTAAAAAAAATTGTATTATTCATCATCTTACGAATTTATTTATTTATTTATTTTTTTTTATTTGAATGTTTATATTTCTTTAAAGCAGGAAATAACGACTTCACGCTTTATAAATCCCGCCTCGCAATGATATGATGCCCTTTACGGAAATGTTAACGCGTTTTGAGTACTGTGCGATGATATTTCAGAAGGAAATGAGATTCTTTAAAATTTAAACGTAGTTATCATATATATGCAACGTTTATTTAATTAAATATATATAAAATTATAATTATACCATTTTTATTATAATATTAACATATTATTCAAATTTTTATTTACATTTAGAATTTTCATTAATCCACAAGAATTCTCTAAATGTAAATGTCTCACTATAAAAAATGACCTAAATTATAATATTATAAGAATTTTTTTCTATTTAAAAAATTTAAGACTAGCTTTTTTTTTATTTATTTAATGTCGGTTATGTAATTGATTTAAATGTAAATAAACGACGGTGAAATTAAATAGTGATTCGTGGTACTATTTAATTAAATTAATTACGTGACCCTTGGATTAATCAAAAGCGGGTAGGGTATATATATATTCAGTCATCAGAGGTAGCAAATTAATTAGAAAAGGAGTGTTTAAAAATAAACCGAACCCGATTTATATAAAAGCTCATTATAAAAGTTTAGATCTGATACTAGAGCTGTGACTATGTTTTATCTTTCATTCAAAAGTTTTTAAAAACATTTTATAACTTTTTTTTTGTATATTTTTTATTTTTTTTTGATACTTTATATATTTTTTAATATTAATTTTGTATGTTAAAATTAAAAATGGCTAAAAATAAAAAGATATGAATGTTTATAATTTAATATTTCTTCACTTTATTCTGCTTATATTTATACTACCGAATTATAAATTAAATGCGTTTAAATAAATTTTGATTACTCAACATAAAAGCAAAAATATGCAATATTGAACAAAAGTGTATTTTATTATTGTATATAAAAAAAATTGAAGTTAAAAGCATTTCAAGTGAATAAAAAAAAAAACCGATTGTATAAAACCCGTATTTATTTTCAATCTTTTGATTTCACTTTACGTAATTTCTTTTCTAATTTATTATATGTTTAATTTTTCAAACAATATATATATATTGTTAATTAGAATTCTAAAATTTTTATATAGAACTCTATAAAATTTACCAACATTAATGTGATGTAATTGATATACATAAATCTTAATACGAGAAAATGACACGTCAACCATGCAGTTGCGTCTTGTGAAAGTGTACCAATTTATTTTGATTGAATTTACACATTTAATTTATTTCAGCGCATTTTGATTTCAGACAAAAAATAAAAAATCTAATAAAATGCCACCTATTTATTTTCAATAAATTATTATTTATCAATTAGTTCTAAATGTAAACTAAGAAAAAAATTTTATTTTGTTTCAAATAATTCATTACTTGTACAAATAAAAATTATATTTGGTTCGAATAAAAATTATATTTGGTACAAATAAAAATTACATTTTGTCCAAATAAATGTTTTATTTGATAATACTCATAAGTAACTGATTATTTAAATCAAATATATTTTTCCAGTGAATATGTGATTTTTTTTTTTATTCATACTTTGGAATCTTATTTTATAATTTGAAATATAACTTTTATATATTAATTCAAGATAATATAAAGTACTGAGTTTTCTGTTAAAAAAAAAAAGGGAAAAAAAATTATATTCGGAGAATTTCGAGTACCACGAGTTTCTCTGTCAGTCTGCTAATCGCCCCGTTTAATTTGCCGACGTTCGCAAGTCGAATAGTCAGGTCGAGATAGATAAACGGCAGACAGAAAGAGGTACTTGAAAGACGGACAAGCTGACAAGACAAACGGAATTTTATCCAGAAAATGTTTGTATACGCGTGTTAAATAATATATATCCTTTACAATATATATGTGATCGAACTCGATTTCTAAACACTTTAAACACGACATTAAATTTATTTTAATCAAAAAGTATTTCAATAAAATAATTTAAAATGTATTTTTTTTTTTTTTGTGAAAAAATAGCTTTTTATATTATTTAATTTTTTGTAAAAAAGATATTTTTAAAATAAAATAAAAAATAAAATAAAATTATAATGACGTATAAAATATTTGTCATATTGTAAATTCTAACGGTATTGTTTTAATTATGCTATTGCATTGAAATGAAGAAATAGTAAAAAAAAATTGTATTAGTACAATTTCTCAGGAAATATAATTATTTTATCGCTTGACACAGACATGCGCTCATAATTAGCAAAAGAGGCAGTCGAACATCACCGGGTCTTCGACCGCGCTGTTGCAGATTAACTATATAGATGACACTATATAAGAAACGTTTGATTGGTTCAAGTGCTTTTAACATAAAACCTAGAAAATGTATTTCCTTCATTTTATAAAACTGACGCCACGCATCTATAAAATATTAAAAATGCAAAATTAAGACGATGTCAAAATCATAAATAAAAGTTGTTTCAATTTATCCATTACTGTAAAAAAAAAACTCCCATTTTAAATAGTATCGCAATTAAATCTTAGATGAAAATTCCAGAAATATCAAATTCTCCTATAAAATAAAATAGTCATTTTTATAGTGAGACTGGAAGTAATGACATCATTTTTTTTATTGATCTTTTTTTAAAAAACCATTCTTCTATTTATTATAAAAAAAATTTTTTTCGCAAAAAAAAAATTTAATTTAAATATTTTTTATATACAACTCACCTGTTCGACAAGGAGAAAATTCCAGCGGTTGGCTAACGAAATTTGTCAACCAACATGTGCCAACTGGCTCTCTTTTGTCTGCACCAGAATGTCCTTTCGACACTTGTTTACCATACCACAAATATCTCGGTGCACATGCCTGTAAAAAAAAATTCTTATTAATTAATAAATTCATCAATTTTTTAATAAAAATTATAATTGATTTTAAAAATTGAAAAAAAAAATAATCTCAAATTTATATAATGAAAATTGAAATGCACACGATAATATAAATAGAGCATGACATAAGAACATGTGTGTATATATTATATATTCTTCTTCTGCAAATTGCGAGGGCCACCAATTGAACAAATAAATGTTCTCAATAAGTATATTTAAATCAGTCAAGCACGACACAAATTACACAAATTTATCTTTATTGTCATATTCTTCTTTCTCAATGTGAATCAGAGTATCTTAATATATGAAACAATAAATAACTTCAATTTTAATTTTTTAAAAATTATTTTATTCAAATAAAAATTATTTAATTCAAATAAATATATATTTATTAAATAACGGATTATTTGAATAAAAAATTTTTTTTTTATTCATTTCGAAAATAATTATTTCACTGATAAAAATCAGTGATTTAATTATATTGATTGAAATCAAGCAGTGGAATTTCCATTAAGATTTCATTGATTTAATCGTATATTATAGAAAATGAACTGAAATATATATATATATATATATATGTATAGGGCTCTTGAAATCATTCAGAGGTCTCAAAGATCCCTTTGTTAATAATAATAATCATCTTTACATCGAGTTAATGATCCGTTGTGGATGAAGGGGTCAAAAGTCATATGACAATGACCTCAATTACATATTATATTACGTAACCACCACCCTATATGAAAGGTTACATATGGGACCAGATTTAATTTATGACAAAAGCTATATAAACATTACTTAATTTAAATAGCAATCATCTTATTTAAAAAATACAAATAATACTTTACACACCTGCAACAACGAAACGAAACGAAAAAAAAATAATAATAATCACTGACTCAAAAAATTCTTTTTTTAAAATTCAAATATTAACAAAAATCCTTAATTTTTTGACGTAAGTCTTTTGAAAAAGGTATCAATTGAAAAAACAATGGAAGAATTTCCGTAAAGTTTCTTATCTTCAATGACCTCGACAGTGGATCTTATCACATCCTCTATAACATTGATAAATATGCAAAACATATAATTTCAGTAATTAGCATAATAACAATTATGATTCAATATATATTTCGAATTTGATTATTCAATATTTTGAATATTGATAATTATTAAATAATTTTTATTTTTCCAAATCAGTTTATTAAAAAACAAAACAAGTTTATCAAAATGTATAGGAAAAAGTTGAAGAAGAAAATGTATGGGAAAAAAAAATTGTAGCTAAATTACAAGAAGAAGATAAAGCATCTTGGCGAAAAAGGGGGAAAGTAAATTGAATGTAACGACAACTTGACAGTATATTTCACTCATGTACCACACTTAAGAGAGATGCATTATAAGAATAGAAAGAGTATATATAAACACAAGGAGAAGAATTGAATAAAGTATATAGTAATTTTTTCCATTTAGCTATACTTTATAATAATACAAAAAATATTCGATTTAGTAATATTTTTTTTTTTAGTGAAAAATGAATAGAATTTTTGATTCGTTCAATTTAGTAGACAATTTTTTTTTTTACTATTTACTAAAATTTTAGTGAAAAAAAAGGACTAAAAATTAATTTGAAATTTTCATTAAAATTTCGATTACAATTCAAATTCAGAGATTATTATTGAAGAAATTGTATTTAAAATGAGACAAAAGAGATAAAAAGAGAGTGTGAGAAACAAAATCCGAAAATTCTATGGTCCAGAAGAGATTAAATGTATCCCTCCTACATATACAGTACGATTGGAATAATCGATGAACAGTCATGGACATTAAACTTCTGGCAAGTAAATCCATTGGCTTGCTCGACTTAAAATGCAGTGAACAGCTGCAGGAGACTCGTGCATATGGCATTTAAACGCGCACGTACGTTCAAATATATATATAAGTCCAGGGAACTTTTTCCAAAGAAGTTTAATTTATTTCAAAAAAAAAAAAATAAAAGCTCCTATCACAAAATAACATAATTGCATTTTATAAATCTCAAATAAAAAAATTATTAAATCTCTCAAGCTATCATAATATTTATATGTGGATTTAAATATTAAATTAAATATTTATATTAATATAAATAAATTAAATATTTATATTAATATAAATAAATTAATATAATATAATAATATAAAATATTGTTACATAAAATATTCAATAAATCAGGGGAACACGTCACTGGTATAATAAATTACGGAATGTAATCCTACTAATTATATCGAAAAAAAACTGGTCGCATAATTTAAAAAAAAAAAAATTCTTGCCCTTCTGTCGGCGCAATACGAAAATATTTCACACGAGATATTGTGTCTCTAAAGTAAAAAGGAAAAAATAACAGCATCCAAAAAGTTGCTTAAGGTTTGGCGTAATAGGCTTTGGTAATCACTGCAGTCATAAACTGTCAAGAAATATACGCTATACATACATATATATATATAATATGCAACACGCGCGTCTCTTTCGACGAGACATTTTATTTATTTTCAAATTACACCAATGAGTGTCCCAAAAAATTGAAGAGAAAGCATGCGCACTTTAAAAAAAAAAATAATAAAAAAAAGAGAAAATAAAAAAAGAAAATTGTAAGACCTTTCGCATCACCTTTACGATGATTGTCGACCGTATATTACATTCATGAGCTCAATGCGCTGTGTTTTATATATATATATATATAGTAGTAGGTTTAATCTTCTTATGAGTTAGTGTATATACAAACACCTCATACACTATATATGGAGGGAGAGGCAAACTATGACAAGTTACGGCCACTTTTTAAGAAGCCATATTTTGCCAATCTTGACAAGTTTGTGCACTCTTGATAAATTTATGTCATTCCTTGTTAAAATTCAGGTCTTTAGAAAAGGTGAAATGTTTACGTTAAAGTTCAGACTTTTCATTACTCTGAAAAAAAAAATATATTTCATTAAAATAATCAGTTATACTAAATATAATAAATAATAATACATAATAATAATAAATTATCAAATAAATATTTGATAATAATCAAATAACTGATTAAATTTTTTTTCAGTCTACTTTTTTTTAAAAATTATTTATTTAAAATTTTGCTTCAAGTAATTTTTTAAACAAATTTGTCGAAAGAAAATTTTATTGTATATAATTTATATCCATTGAATTGATAGTGGTCATTGGTTCATAGGTCAAGTTGAACTCTATAGGCATTATGGTATATACAGAAGATGCAACCAAACAATATAAGTTCTATTAAAGGTGCTTCTACAATCAGAAACGAAAAATTTAAAATAAAAAAATACATTTATATTATCAAATAAATAATTTTATTTACTTATAATAATTTTATTTATTTTTCATTTGAAAAAAAATTGTAAATAAAAAAATTTGAAATGATTTCTATAATTTTTGAAACAAAATTGACTCAAATAATAATTTAGTAAATATTTATTAATAAATAAGTAATAAAGTTTTATTTATTGTTTTATTGAATGAAAATTTTTTTCCTCTCTTATTGTAGAAGCACCTGTAATTTTTTTTTACGATCCCTAATAAATACGGTTCTGAACAGAAGCTAACACAGTGAAAAGATAAACTTTACTATATCGAAATCGAACATGGTATATATATATTTTCTTTTATTTCTTATACTCTCTTCAATATATCTGATAGTAAATGAAATTATTGCTCTTGTACTTATAGTCGTGCCTATAATTTCAATACAATAATAATTCAACCACATATATATGCTCCTAATCTACATCAATGATATTATATCCTACTTTGAGACTCATCTTTGATTTTAAAATTCCATTGTTTCAATAAATTTTTTTTTTTTTTATCCCAGTATAGTCAATTATGGAAACTGTGAAATAATCAGTTTTGTGGTGATAATCTCGTATATTATGGAGAATATTATTATGGTCAACTCTGGATAAAAGAGAAAAAGAGGGAGAATAAAACTAGTCAGAAACTCTTGATGTGAAACGACCCGCTTCTGGCGATTGTCTTAAAAGACAAGACCGCCAAAGCAAAAAAAGAGCCGTTTAGCGGGCGTTGCAATTTGTCCCATGGACAAAACACACACTTGGAATGCGTATTGTCTACCGTTGGATTATCTTTCCTCTCTTTGTCATATATACTCACTCAAAGAAAGATCTCCCCAACCCGTCACAATTGTTATAATAAGCAAAAAAACAAAACAAAAGAGAAAATTAAAAAAAAGCTCAGAAAAATTGGTTCGAAAAATACGAAAGTTAAAATTGAACCTGCTCTAAAAGGGACTCATGATTATTTCATAAAATTATTTTCATTTCAGAGAATTTTCTTAAATATATTAATAATTAATTTTCAAAACGAATTTTCATTTTTTGAATTTAAATACAAAGAAAACTGAAAATTCGTGTAAAAAATTATTTAATAAAATTCCTTTTTTAAAAAAAATTAATAATTTCTATGGAACAATAATTTTTTTTTGTACACTAAACAGGTGATTTGAAGATTTATATTATTATTTATTGATATTGACAATCAAAAAAATGTTTTCCCTTTTTTTGATGAACGAAAAAGGAGAGCAAAAAGAATATATATTTGAAATTCTTGGAATAAATGGGAATCACTTATATTCTGATTGAGAAAGGGTGGATATGTGTAAAAGGAAAGAGATGTATATATATATAGAAGAGTCCAGTGGCAAAAACATCGTGGATATATCTGCGGCGGCGGCGCGCAGGAGAAGAAGAATATAGCGAAAGAACAATCGCCCGTAAAATATGGGCTAGTCTTCACGATCTAGTGGCGGCAGCTTCTTCGCGGCAGTTGTCGTCGTCGGCAAAAGACGCGCATCGATTAAAATGGAAAGAAAAGGCCACGACGGGCCATGCCCAAGCAAAGGACAATCACGACCTCAATGACCTCTGTATATAGCGAGAAAGAGAGAGAAATCCTTGTACAAAACTTCTCTTTTGCCTTTAAGATTAAGATTCACGGGAACGCCATCACCGCAGCCTCTCAGCTAAAGTGCAAAAAACAATCCTTCATTCCTAAAGAAAATAAAAAATATATTAGAATTTTCATTTATTAAAATTTTATTAAATAAATTTTCATTGAGTCGAATTTTTTTTTATCTCAAAACCAATTATTAAATTAGAAAATCTAAGAATAAAAATGAAATTTAATAACCGTATACAAAAAAAAAAATTGAATATACGAAGCATGTAATCGACAATTTAATTTTTAATGGACCTTTTGTATTTATCATCATAATTTGTCTGCCCCTTAAAAAAAAAAAAAGAAAAGAAACTTGAAAAATATATATCTATTTGCTAAATAAATACATAATTTTAATTTGTCAAATTGTTCTGAACGTATTTATAAAACCTTTTAAGGTGTGTACATAAATGCTTTCTTCATATATATATATATATAAATACAGCGGGACCGAACCGCGTATCGACACGTGAGGCGAATAATTGCGCACACACAACACATTATATACTGTTATAAGCAAGGCAAACAATTCACTTTGGTATTATATCTTCAACCATTAAAGAAATCACGAACTTTTCAAATATCGATTTCTATTCAAATTTCGTCCTATATATTTACGATTTTTTCATTTCCATTTAATTTAAAAATATACATTTTTTTAAAAAATTAATATACCAAAAGTATTTATAATACAAAAAAAATTCGTTTCAAATAAAATTTTCCGAAAAAAAATGCTCCGTTAGTATCTATATAGATTGAAAATAAGGGTTAAATATATTGTATGCATACATCTGCACTGACATGTGCGCAAATATTCACGAGCAATAAAGATTATATCTTTATATATTCAATGTTCACATTTGCCCTTATGATTATTTTATGCCTAGCCACGCACTGAATATATATTTTATTCGCTTAATTTGTCTGATTCTTTTGTCATTGAACGCATAATCGAGCACGCATGAAAAATTCTATAAATATATATTAAATTATATTACATAATTCGAAAAATTTTTAATTACAAAAAATTTATTTAAATAAATAATAATGTAATCTTTTTCTAAATTTTTATATTACACTTTTTGGCTGAAATTTCGATTTATATTGAATAATTTCAATAATTATTTCAAATAATGTCTGTGATAATCTTAATTAATAATAAACAAATGTTTGATTATCTTTAAAGACCAGGAAAATATCATTCATTCACTGTTCATTTTAAACTTCAGAGTAGTGTTAAATTTTGCTTGTTTTGAAATAGTCCGAAAATAGAAGCAGTCGCGTTTCGTATACGTGAGGCACACGTTTTATACTCGGTAGAAGATTTGAAAAGCTTGTGCTTCTTTAGAGTAAGAAAAGTTATATAAAAATTTACATTATTAATTATTAATCATTAAATATAAATAAATTTCTAAATATTATAATTACTGTGAGAATAAATATTTCTTTGAATTAAATCTATTTTTTTCAGTTTTTATTTCTATTTTGGAAAATATTTAGTAAAAATAAGAAAAAAATTTCTAAATGGGCATTTCAATTTTCAGGATAATTTTGAGTAGTACTTACAAGCAATGGTCCACCGTCCACTTTGGAAGATGAAACTGTTGCTCCAAACCATTGTCCAGATTTGTTATCAACTTGTACGAAACCATGACTTGTATTTGTAACACTATTTCCTGTAAAAAAGAAAAAAAAATATTTAAAAACTGAATCTTATCACAAGTTATATCAATCATCTTTCAATCATTTTCACTATTGAAAAAGAAATATTTTTTTTTTTTCAAGAAAATGGCTATTATCATTATTTTATCAAGTCACGCCCATCAAGAAATGATCTAAATCTAATCAATTTACCACACCCAAGAGTGGCCTATTTCTGACAATCTTAAAAGGGCCACGCCTCTCATTATTTTTGAGTAAAAAATTTTCATTACGTTAATTATTAACGATTTTTTTTTTTTTACTAAAAATTAATTTTTCGTTTTAATAACAGAATTGAAATTCTTTTTTTGTATTCGAAATATTTTTTGATGAAATTCGAATTCATTTTTCAAAGTAATCACTGTTAAAGGCTTTTGCTTTCCAATATATATATATGTGCGTGGTGCCAGTATATAGTTCCAGTTTAACCAGTGCCAACAATGTATGAACTGGCAAATGCCCAACTTGATGGCAGAGAACATGTCATGGATGGACTTACGGTTCTCTGTATTAGGCATTGCAGGTTCTTGTGGACTTTTCGATTCCACGTAGGAAGTTCATCGCCTATGGTCTGCAAAGACGACCATCTCACAGGGTGTAGCGACCTGCGATGAGAAGAAAACCTGAACCAACTTTTATATCTGGCAAGTATGAGTGAGTGAGTGACCTCTAAGGCCATCACTATAAGTTCATGCGTCTTCGTTTCCTCATACGCAACAAGAATCTCGATCAACAAATCTTCAAGAATCTCACAGTTGATATTAATCATATTATATGTGAGAATTTTCTTTTTTAAAAAAAAAATTAAATTCAACTTGATCAACGATTTAGACGCATTTTACATTCAATTAACACTTGGCTGGCCTTCTTCGTTTATATAGAAATGCGTATATGGCAATTGAACTTGATTGGAATTAATTATTCATCTAAAACACTTGTCACTAGATTCCATTGCCAAGTAGAAAATTATCTGAAAATATTTAAAAAAAAAAAATTTAATTACTTTTTTTATAAATATTAAATAAAAAAACAAAATTAAATCTGTTTTCAATGGGCTATTTTTTTTAAATCAATTAATCGAAATTATAACGAAAACTTGAATAATAGTATATATATCTTTAAGGAAAATTACGCAAGGAATTATTGTTTCTACATCAGAAAACAGGTTACTGACTTTCATTCTCTTTATCACAAATGGGACTTTATCAATTCTTAAAATAATGCAAAAGACTAATCACTTCTGAAAACTTCATCTACTGCAAATAATACTGTTATATGCATAATATTTGTTCTTTGAAATAATATCAAAATGAAAGAATTTTTCATAATTTAAAAATAATCCAATATATAAAAATCCAAAATTAGAAAAAAAATTGCAATTTCAATATTAACTGAAAAAATAATTAAAAATAAATAAATAATAAATAATAATAATAATAATAATAATAATAATAATAATAAATAATTAAAATTATTTTGTCGAATTAAATATTATTTAGACCAAAAAAAAAATATATTATTCACTCCAAAATATATTATTTAGTCCAAATAAATATTATTCAGTTCAAAAAAATATTATTCAGTTTAAAAAAATATATTTTTCATTCCAAAAAAATATTTATTTGCTAATAACAAGTAGTAACCGATTATTTAAATAAAAAAAAAAAATAAAAATTTCAGTGTAACAGAAAATTGCGTGAACAATATATATATTGCAGGATCTTGTATTTATTTTTTTTTGATATTGAAGAGTATAATCTTTTGTGCACAACAACTATAAAATTGTTTATGGGATGTACAATGGACATTCACAGGACGGTAATTGGCAAGAATCGAGAGCCTTCTGGTCACCTGTGGTGTAGAGCAAGTATTCGCGCACCTTCAGGAATAAACAACACAACTAGTTTCGAGCTAGTTTATACCTAATTGGACAAGATCACACACAAAATCGCAAAACGACGTTTATATACATTGATGGCTAATTCTTATTACTATAATCATGTTTTCTTATTTATTTCATTAAAAAAGAAAAGAAAAAAATTACAAAAAAAAAGGGCGAGAAATAAATAAAAGAATATTACCTTTTTTTTCAGTATAGACGTATTAATACATGATTAAAATCATGTTAACGACAAATTATTATTATCCAATGAAGAATTGATTTAATAATGAAAATAAATTGTATATAATGATATCGAGAGAAACGTAAATCACTTGAAAGTTCAGGTCGCTAGTTTTCAGATGAAGATAAGAGCCCATATAATACTGCAATTTCAGCAATACGTATCATAGCATTCTACTGTAATGGGGCTTCTTCTTCTTCTTCTTCTTTTTCTTCTATTTCTTTTTCTCCTTCTTCTTCTTCTTCTTCCTTTTTCTCCTTTTTCTCTTTTCTATATCCTTTCTTCTGATCTTTGCCATTATCACCTTCTTCATTCTCCCCTGTAACCTCATATCAAATGTTCGCACAGTGATTTCAGGTAATTGTGGATTATTCGAATATAACTTCCAGCAAGCGAGAGAGAATTGTCAATTATTCACTGGGTATTCTACTAAATTGCTGATGGTAAATCACCACCCTTCAAGTCGTTGAACCTGTTTTTTTTCCCCACAATGTAACATTTACCGTTATTGTAATGGTCCCTTAATTTTTGGTAAAAAAAAATAAAAGTCGTTTGATTAATGAATTCAAAATTTCCGTAATAAAAAATTTAATACACTTTGAGAGATTATATAACAAATTTTCTAAAAATCAGTTGAATCAATTTAATACTAATTTTTATAGAAATTAAATTTTTTTCCATAAAAAAAACAAAAATTGTTTCAACTTTGGAATTCGCGAAAAATTCCTTACGTTAAATCCACAATGACTTGACCAAATTCCCGGGGGAGAGATTTTTAAGACCGGTCTCGTGCGGCGAGAAATGTTTAAGATTTTATTGAGATCTTTCTTTTTGCATTTATCTGTTTATCCAACGAATTAGATATAGATTATACGAATTAAATATACTGAAAAAAAAATTTATTTCGTTCAAATAATCTTTTTAAAATAAATATTTGTGTTACATAATTTTTATTTGAATCGAATAAATTTTTTTTTTAGTGTAATATTTTAATTATAATATAAAAATACGTAATATCACTCACCATTTCTTGTGTCAAATCGAACAACATGGCAACTGTCATCTTGACTAATGTCACATTTAAATACCGAGCCTCCACGAATTATATCCTTTTGATTCGTTTCCGCCGCTGGTGCTCCAACAATTACTCTGCAAAAAAAAAATTGGAAAAATGTAATTTATAATCTAAAATAAGATACAAAATTTAAAATAAAAAATATCCTAAGAATTCTGGTTATTCTAATAATTAGAATTTGTTTTTTTTTTAGTTTTTTTTCAGTTTTCGAAATTGAGGTCAGTAGTCCAAAAGTTATTTTCAAGTGTTTACGTCAGAGTTTCGCTAGTTTTTTTTTTTCTTTTTTTTTAATAACGCAGCTATTATAATAGTTTTCGTCTGACTTTTAATAAAAAAAAAAATTCAAAGATCATTAAATAATTTAAATGATGCGCAAATGCAGTATATAACAAGGGTCGGTCCAATTTATTTAGAGATTGCACAAATAGCGTGCTGAATAGGCCATTAGCATTATTGACTCGAGGTTCAACCATCTTCATGCACTTCTTATTCGCCTTTAAAAATTATTCTTTATAATATTACTAGATTTATGAGTTAGATAATGTATACTGTTGTCAACAATAATTTACACTTTTTTTAATTAAAAATTTTTTTTTTCAGTAAACCAATTAAAATAAATATATGTACATATATGTAAATTTCACATTATAATTATATAATTACAAATTCCCTATAGTACAGACAGGTGATATATCCACCATGCAATTATATTAAAAGTAGTTCTTGAAATTTTAATTTATTTCTATAATAGAAATTTTATTTTTATCACTAAAAAAAAAAAAAATTGCTTTCAATTTGAATCATATAGCAGATATAAACTACTACTGTGAAGAACCGACATCATTCTGTGGTTTACCATTGATTCAAGATGTTATAAATACAGCAGAATTGAGCACACAAGTCTTTTTTTTTTTTGTAGCAATATCCCCTTTTATCAGCATTTAGATCTTTATAATAAAATTACTTGAAATTTTACTCTAAAACCAAAGTATACCCATTTTACTAATTTCAACAATTTGATTTCATCAATCTAATGGATTGAAAAAAAAAAAAAAAAATTCCGGAGGTAAAAATAAAAAAACCTGTTAATGTAAAAAAAAAATCAGTGCAAAAAATCTGAAATTATAAATCACTATGTGTAATTTCCTGTATGTATTTAAAATGTATCAAAAAAAAAAAAAAAAAAAGTTATCAAAAGCATTAGTTTCTTAAAATGGTAAATGCTTTTAGCAATAATAATATCATCTTTTAAAGTACGTTTTCTTTATCACAGAAAAGAATAATTTATATACAATGACTATCAAAAGTTTTTTGAGATTGGGGTTATCGACTAAAAGCGTTTCAGGATATTGCCACATTTGCGGATGTTATTTATATATGTCTTATTTCCGTAACATAGAGGATTTATAAAGAGATTAATTTTCCAGCATATATGATGATCGATAAAATGCAAAATAGTAAAAATGAAAATATAATACTTTCTCATAATAATAAATAATAAATAACAATAAATAATTATAAATATTGTAAAAATTGTAAAAATAATTGTAAAAATAATTGTAAAAATAATTTTAAAAATAAATTTGCAAAAAACGAAGCTGAAGTACTCAACGTTTATGATAAACAATTTTTAAAAAAATAATTTTTTAAAATGAAAAATTTTATAATTTTTTGCGTAAAAAATATTTTTTGTATTTTTAATTAATCAACAAATTATTTAAAAAAAAAAGTTTTAGGCAAAAAATTATAGAATTTCTCATTTTAAAAAATTATTTCTGTAAAAATCGTTTATCATAAACGTTGCGTACTTCAACTTCGTTGCAAAAATTCAAAAATAACAATATAATGTTAAATGAAATGTTTGAGACTTTTTAATAATTTCATTCATGTCAATCAAATATTTATCGATGAATGCCTTTTTGATTTTCATTTGAACCGCTTTAATCATTAACAGATATTTTTTTTTTTTAACTCGATGAATAAATTAAAGCTATTCAAAACGCAATATGTGAATTCATATGTATACATATATTTCTTTAATTTGACGAGTCATCGAAATCATATATACATCTCCTAAGGATATAATCTTCCCCATTGCAATTTACACAGTTAATAAAAAAATAAATTTTAAATCATCTATTTTTTCATTTCGTTTATATATATATATATATATGCAAATAATAATTGTATAGGCTAATTGTAGGTAGATATAATATTGACGTTTCATGAAGGATAATTTTTTTTTATACGCTTTAAACTTATATTTATGTAAATCTAACGGAACAAGACTGTAAAACTTGAATGTTTTCTATATAGATATAAATTAAGACATTTATCCAATTATGTCTATTATTAAATGCATGAATTTTTCCTCCTGAAAATGAAGAATTTATATAGTTAACAATTTTGATTAACTTTTTTTTTCAGAGATTCAATTTTCTAAATTTTTATAAATATTCTGAATATTTCCTCATATATTTAACGAGAAAACTTTGAATATATTTTATCACGTGCGACAAAACAGTCACATGTCCTTAAAGTTTTCTCAATAGAGAAAAAATAACGTGGGTCGTCGTCGTCAAAGCCAATGGTGTCTCAAACTCGCCCACTTTAAAACAACAGTATATATACCTGCATTTAGCATACGAATCTTTGCAGAGGCGAACCGGTCTCTATAATACAAAATTACGATAATTTTCAATGTTAAAAAAAAAAGTTATTGATTTCATAAGATTATTGTATTATAGAAAGTGGATTTTGGTTGATTGTGTATACAAATTAACATTTTCATTTATACTTTTACAAATGGACAATTTTAATTATTTTTCAGACCTTGGAAATTATTTTCTATATAAATACAAATTTATTATTTTTTTGATTTAGAATTTTGGTTGTTACGTTAGAGAAATTTTTGTATATCCCTCTCTTGTATACAACTAAATCTGGTCTCAAAGACACGGGCCTACGTAAAGTACGCGGCCCACCTTTATATTCACTTAGGAACGACTGTATTGACTTATTATTGCAACACGATACTGGACAGACGCGCATTTATAATCCCTTATTTGGCAAAATCGGACGGCTCCATCGTACGGTCGCGCCATACTTGGCGAATTGCTCAATGCCATCGTCCAGATCCCGCGCAATCGGACAATTCCATCTCTCTCTCTCTCTCTCCTTTTTTTTCCAACCTGAATTTCTCTCTTACTTTCGACTCCTTTCTCCAATACAGAAATTGTTTGTTTTTCATCATTTTCATTTTTTTTCTTTATCGTCAAAATCAATATCTCGATTAAGATTATAGGCGATGAAAACAAATTTTTGTAACAATAAAAGCTTTTATCAGAATTTCGCCGAGTTCAGCGAACTTGAAAACAGCAAGTCCATCTGTACGTATATGTTAATGAGGGTGCGTGCTGAGAAATTTCAAGCGGGAGCAGTAAGTCTTCTTCTCTCTTTCTTTCTCTCTCTCTAAAGCAAGGATTCACGCCACGAACGGATTCGTTGATAGGGCCTCGAAGCGAAGTATTTATACTTTGTAAACGCGACCGACGTACTTATACGCAGGATGTTAACCACAAGTTCAGAACATCCTATAGACTTCATGTTATGGGACATGAAACGTGTGCGAGCTTTGACGTTTGTACATTGTACACTTGTTCAATCAGACACGACCATCTTATATATAGTCTCTACACGAACTTTCCTTATCCTGACAAATGTGTATATACCTTTGAATCAGTAAAATCATTTTTCTTAATTCATTATTGCTACTGCGAAAACTTTTTCTTTTTTTCTTCATTATTATCTTCTTTTCTGTCAAATATCTTAATGCACGTGCAAACTTTCCTTGATATATAGTGAATGTAATTTGAAATGCGTGAGCATGTGTTCAAACCGCAATGACGCAATGCAAACATCGTCATCACGAGGCTCCACTACTTTATAAGGAGCACCTACTCACAAATACCATTCCCTCCTCTCTTTTTTAACATTGGTAAATAGAATTCCCTTGTATCACACACGAAGTATACAGAAACCCCTCGAGAGAGAGAGAGAGAATGTGGATCAAATTTACTGTCAACTAAACATTCAAATATATGTAAATACACTATTTATAAACACTATCAACACTAATTATACACTCGAAATACAGTAAACCTATTCTTTTGGATAACTTTTTTAAATACCTTCTTTATTCTTTTTCAATTTTTAAACTGATCAACTATTTAAAACTTTAAATTAATTTAAAACTTTAAAATAAAGATAAACTGTCAGAAATTGTATAAAAGGTTAGGTTACACTATTATTATGGTGCATTTACATTTATTTTTTTTACGAAATAAAAAACCTTGATTGGTTGATCGTAATTAATCAGATTTTTGAACAACCAATCAGGTTCGCGCATTTCGAAAAATGCAAAAAAACAAATAGAAATCTTAACCTCAATTTTTTGTTTGTAAACAATGACAGTTCGACAGTTGTATAAAAATGACAGATCATTTCTTTCAGCGATTTATATAAAAGTACATATTATAGAAAAAAAAGTATTATACTAGAATTTAATTCGGAAAATGGTTTACCTGATTCATTATTCATTATCATTGATTAAACAAATATTAATCTTTATGAATCATACGAACATACAGGGACTCGATTAAGTTCAAGGTCAGTAATTTTACAGTAGACATTTTTCAGATGGTACAAATATGAAGAAGAAAAAAAAAAACTAAAGAAAAAGAAGTATATATGCAGTTAAGAGGCGCATATGTTGCTTCCAAGTTTGGTCATATAATACAAATTCTACAAAAGGCAGAAAACACGTGCGGATGCCATCATTCTGGCAACCATATGGCTGCCAGAACACTACTGTTAATACATCGACACACTGTACGCACGTACAGAAGAGGAAGGAAGTGTTTTTCTGCTAACTAAAGTCACTTATAGGCCATCCATGTCACATCAAGTAAAATTCTCAGATTTTCATTTATATCCACAATTATAATAGAAATAATTACATATATAAATAATTTTTTTTCTCTATTTTATTTTACAGAAATATTCTCTTCAAACTTACAATTTGCATAAGCATTAAAAATCATGAAAAAAAAATTCCAACTATTAATAATTCTAAGAATAGTAAATTATTCCATATTTACGATGAGGATCACTTTTAGTAGATATTACATTGATCTTAATATTCTCGTATATACGTATATTAATTACGTCATGTACTGTAAGTGAAAAACACTATGTATCTACCACCTGACCTATATTTATTTGCAATTACGCGATAAAAAAAAATGACTTTACAAAACGAATTCGTTTTCAAAAAAAAAAAAAACTTGAGAATAAAAATATCTATTTATAAACAGAAAAACAAGGGGAAAACAAATTTAGTGCAAGAATAAGGGTTAATTATTCTTTTCTGACTATTTAAAGAATTTTAAAATTAAATTCCCGATGTTTTAAAATATTAATAATTTATATTTTTATAAAGAAATTTATCAAGAAATACAAACTAGATATAAGACAGTACTAGTGCCAAAGAGAATATTGTCCTCCATCTCCTACATACCTATCACTATACTGTACTATAAATAAAACTTAACTTTTTCGTTGATGAGAGTAAGCTCGTACTATTTTTATATTTTTTTTTTTTATTAGACTATAAAAATCAAGGGTCAACTTTTATTGAAAAAAATATAAAAATAGCAAAAAGCAGTTTTTATAAAACTCATAATAATGAGTTAAAAAAAAAAAGTTTACTCATTTGTTTCGAGTGCATATGGAAAAAAGGGAGAATTTTCATTTTAACGAGATACCTAACTGACCTGAGCCCGCATAGACGTTGAGTTTGAAACTTGTATATCATTTCATATATATATAGGTATACGCACTCTCATGTAGACGTAGAGGCGTGTAAAACTGATTTGCCTGAGGCGACTGACTCTTCCGTATAATGATAGAGCCTGAGGTTCCGACACGTGCCTCACGCGATCCTCATTACCTCCTTCTATTACTATATCCTCTTTTTTTCATTTTCTTTTGCCTCCGCAATCTCTTTTCATTCACAATTTTACAGATTTAAAAAATTTTTTTTTTCCTTTATTATTAATTCTATTCATCACCTGTCGATTATATTTTCAAATTATGTCTGTTTTTTTTTAACATTTTCAATTTCTTTTTAGGTATATGGATAATCCAATTATGGTTGTACAATAAAATTTTTCATATATGGAGCGCCACTCATTGTATTTCCACATTATTATCATTTTCGGAAAAGGAAAAAAAAAAAATTAATAATGTCGAGTAATTTAAAATATTTTCTCCTCATATATAGACGTAGGATGAAAATTCATTCATGGATTATTCATTCATCAACGGTTTGTATACATGCGATTATATACCCTGTTTTACAAATATTATGCAATTATGTGTATGATGTCATTTTATTTTTAGCTGCAAGGGCGTATAGATTCTTTGAGATTATTAAAGATTATAAAAATTTAAGTCCTCGCACTGTTTTCGATATTTCTATAATTAATATATATATATATATAATAACGAGAATAAACGAGATGAAAAATAAAAACGAAAGGAATATTATAATCAAAACCGCCTACATGAAGAAAAAAAAAACCATAAGTAATATTGCAGCAATGACCTTATGCAAGTTAAATGAAAAATAAAACCTCGTACACTGTATATATATATACAATTCTTTACAACTTTCATGGAAAAATTAACATACCAGATTTGAAAATATTTATTCTTTTAATATCCTTATATGAAGTTTTAATAATTTTTCAATGAAAAACAAATTTTTCAAAATCAATTTATTAAAATGAAAAATATTTGTTATAATAAACATAGTAATTAATTTTTAATTGCAGTTGAAATGGATATTATATAAATGGTCATTGCAAATAATCAGGATGACAATTCTACGAAACTTGATCATCAATTATAAATATCCCTTAGTTGAGTATCTATTTTGGGAATTAATGCTAAGCGCAGACAAGACCGGTAGTGGTACATATGTATATATATATATATACTAGTGCAGAGTTGGTCGAGACGCACACGTGAAATTAATGGAAGCGTTGCTCGTAAAGCTCCTACAAGGTGGCCTAAATATACGCCTAGAATGATATTTCTAATACAAGCAATCGTATACAACTTCCGGTATAATCCTATAATTTCATCAAAAATTCAAATTTGATTTTTTAATCCTTAAACCACAGTGTTTACATTATAACAATTGATACTTTTTATAAAATTTGAAAAAATAAATTTTTTATTAATAACAACAACAATAATAATAATAATAATAATAATAATAAAATTAATAAAAATAATTTATTTACAAGATACAATAACATTTGTTTAAACCGTTAAAAATAGATAATTTTCGTTTGTTCTATACAAAATTTAGAAAAACGAGACGCCAATTGTTTGACCCTTGAAATTTTCTTTGATTTTTTATTTTCAACATCTGGTACATGCACCACTTGAAAAACTTTAATGCTCTTTAAATGCCAAGAGAGTGATCGAGTTGTGAAAGCAAATCTTTTTATTCATAAAAGCATTTCTTTTATCAAAAATCTTTCAAGTATACTTCTTGTTGACACTTGTAAGATTTCAGCTTAATATACCTTTCAAAAAAAATTAATTTTATAATAAATATATAACAATAAAATTAATATACAATTAGAAAATTTAATTTTACTATAATCAATAAAAAAAACAAATGTTATTGTCGCAGTTGTGTAATTTAGTTATTTTAATTTTTCATCAGCTACAAAAATATTTTTTGATAAATGTTAATAAAGAAATAATTTTTTTTTGATAAATTTTAATAAAAAAAAAATATTTTTTATAATATCGTTTTTCGCGGTATTATTTATACATGGTTTCCAAAGAGTTAGGGTTGCAAAGTTTATTCGTGGCCTGTCGTGAACGTGAGTCACGAGGCAATGGGAACGCAAGATCAGTCGTTATGATGCTCCAGATTAAGTCTGGTGCTCAAAACATCAGTGACATTAAACAAATAATATTTCTAAAAAAAAAAAAAAAAATAAATCACATTAACAAAATGCGTGTGAAAAGAAATTAAATTAATCATTTGCTAAACAATAATAATATTATTATTATTACTATTATTATTGTTATTATTATTACTATTATTGTTACTATTATTTTTATAATTTTTATAATTTTTATTATTGTTATTATTATTATTAAATAAAAAAAATGATATGCTGATTATGTATGCACATTAAAATTCAAGTTGCACTGACGTATACAAAACAATGTCCTGGAGATGAAGTACCTATTGTTTCTCGCATGGACCGACACACAGTCTCAAGTGATAAGCAAACAAAGTCGTATAAGGTCTATCGCAAGTATATATATGTGTACAAAATAGAAAAATGTTTGTCATCTCTTTGCCCTTTAACTTTTTAATCATTTTCAAATTTTTTTTTTTTTTTGCTTTTCTAAATTATTAATTTATTTTTTTAATTAATGATTATTATTAATTTATTTTTTTAATTAATGATTATTATTAATTTTTTAATTGTTATTAAAAAGTTGTCTCATAAATTTATATTAAATTTGTCCTTCATTAAAAAAAAATATATGAAAACAAAATTAAATATTTTATATATCAAAGTGTTTATAAAATAATTCTGATCATTGAGAGAAGAGAAAATATTTTTCTCCCATATCATCAACAGACAGAAAGAGAGGCGTGACATTAAAAGTATAATTTGCAACAGATCGATATAGGGGCAATTTGAAAATAAGACCCCCTCAACAGAAATATATATATATATATATATATATATATATATATACATTCACAACAACTGCACGTGTATTTCAGTTCAATATAATAGAAGTGGGAGTCATATATAGTATACAGAAACTAAACCGAAAGCTTTGGCAGGATTAGCCCAATGTATTAGTCAGAAAACTCGATTCATCGAAAAAATAGAAATTACGACTTGCAGGTGACCATTACGTCATCGCAATTTTATATTAAGGAAAAAAAAATAATTTTTCGCTTCACTTGATTCTGGGAAAAAAAAAAAATCTCTAACACTTATACGAAAGAAACTTATTCTCTTTTCAAAAACTATAAATAATTTTATAGCAAATAAAATTTTTGCGACAAAGAAATAAAAAATAATTAAAATTTAGAAAAAGTTCTACACTGAAAAGAAAGTGTTCTTAAGTAAAAAAAAAAAAATTATTTGATTCAAATAATCGATTGATTATTATCAAATAAATATTTATTTGAATTAAATAAACTGTATTTGAACAAATAATTTTTGCATTAACTCAAATAATAATTATTCAAATACGAATAAATATTTATTAGCCAAGTAACCGATTATTTGAATAAAATAAAATTTTTTCAGTGCATTATCTTGATATAAGTAATTTGACTGAGTGTATACATTGTTTATTTTAATTACTTGAATTCAGAGAACTAATTTCTATACAAAGAAAATCTTGATTCAACTTTTATAATAAACCAAATAAGAACAAAAAAAAAACAGAAGTAAAAACAATTTTTTTATAAATTTAATTTGAAATTTTAATAAATATTCTCATCTACAGAGATAAAAAAAAGAAATAAAAAAAAAAATTTGTCTTATTAGTTCACGATTATTTTTGCAATCCGCGAGTATAATGTCATCCCTTATTCTTTATGCACTCAATTTGACTATCAACAGGAAGATCCATTCGCACTTGAGCGGTTGTGACATCGAGTCATTAGCATAGTTATCCGGAAGCTGATAATTATTATTTAACGCAAACCGTTACACTTTTTACACAATATATGCACATGGCAATATTATGAATCTATATATTAATTATCTCTATACCAAAATAAAATTATAAAATAAAAAATAAATCTTTTTTTATAAATTTATTTTTATATTTGCAATTTTTTATATTTCATTTTAGGAGGGAAAAATTTCAAAAATCCGAAAAATGTATTTGTTTTGTTTAAAAAAAATTATTTAGAGAAAATTTTTTTATTTAAAAACTACTTACGATCCTCGACCTACAGAATCTCGATATTCAGCGACAGAAAATCCAAACATGGACTGACGAAACGATTTATAAAGTGTATAATGTTTAGTCTCTACATTAAAAGCAGTAATTTTCCAATTTGAAAAACTTCCAAAATAGGCAATTAGCCCTAATAGAAGCCAAAAGAGCTCCATTTCTTTTTTTTTTTTTAAATCACTTTCACTATTTCACAAAAAAAAAAGTGATTAAAAAACACAAATCGTTATCTATTCATGTTCATTGCAAATAAATTGCAATTTATAATTAGAATTTTAAAAAAATATTTAAGCAAGACAAAAAAAAAGATGTCTTGCTAAATTTTAATACTTTTTCAAAAATATTGTTTTTTTTTAATAACCGGGGATTATAAAGGACATGTGCTGAAAAAGCACGAGGTGAACGGAAGCAACGAAAGTTGCTTTGGCAAAGACGGCTTGACGAACGGTCGCGGACAGACTGAACTTCTAACTAACTGACTGAAGTGGAAGAGTGGAACTCAGTTCTGTTCAGCTCCCACCCACTGCACTACATATGCTACCATGCAATATTCCTCTTCATCTCATTTCGATTTTAATCGAATTATTTTAATTATTACGATTATACTTTTATAAAAATAAAAATATAAATTATTATCCTCTAAAGCTCGATTTTTCTACTTGTCAAAAAAAAAACTAAATTTTCCTTTTAAAAGAAAATTTTTTTTAATATCATTAGAACAAATGGTTTTAGAATAAAAAATACAAATTAAAATTTCATTGTTAGATAATTTTTATTATTAAAGAATTTTTTAATTATTAATACTAAAACGATACATAAATGCGATGTTTAATTTATAAATTTAATTCCTCTATCATTTTTTTTACACCTTCAACTGATGATTCATCTTCATTCTCTGGCACATTTTGTTCAACTGTATTTTCAGTAACGTCAATTTTTTCTTCTTCAAAATTCTCAACTCTATTTTGCATAATCATATTACTTATTGAATTTACCATTACAAAACTTCCATCGGCTTTTCCAAGTCTTGTTTTTTGTAATAAATTCATTGCTTCTTGATATGGAGGTGCTATTGGAGATTGAATTGGTTTACAATATTCAAATGATGTCCCTTCAAACTAAAAATATAAAAAATACAGTTTTTTTTTTATTAAAAATTATTTTCTAAGAACAAATTGTCGATAATATAGATTTCTATATACGATTAAACATAAAAGTTAAAATTTCTTTCTTACTATTTATTTATTAAATAAATAAAAAGTATTTATTTTTTAAAATTATAATTCTACTTACATCTAATGGATACGATGTATCTGAATCAGGTCCATTAAGATCTCCACAAACAACAAAAGGAACAATAGATTTATTAATTCCTTCTAAATCTTGAAAACTACACTTTTCATATGTTAATAATGGATTCATCATATGTGGTTTATAACCATCGGGTGGTGAATAATTTTTACAAACAACAAATGCTTCAAAGCTGGAATTACGCGAACTAGGTGGTTTTGTAACAATGACGGAGGAGAAAAATATTTTCAATTGTGAATAAAGAAGAGACATGTCATCGGCTCGAAAAATTTTTGCCACAAATGTTCCCATTGGCTTAAGAATATGTGTTGTTATATTCAATGCAGCTAAAAGTAGCTGTGACTGAACAAATACGTCCATATCATGTAGTCCAGTGACTAAAATCATTCAGTCTTAAATGATTTTAACTATTAAAAACTAAAATACTATAAAGAACGTGTCTTAAAAAAAAAAAACTTACCATCAGGTGCTCCATCGCAGACAACTAAATCGGCATTTTCATTTCCAAAATGTGATATAATTTCCTCTGCCACTGATACTTTAGTGATATCACCTTGTATTTGTGTTACACCTTCTATCGGTGACATTGCCTGAAGATCGACTGATATAATTTTTGGTGATAGAATATCATTTCCCTTCTCTGATTTTTCTTTGAAAACTTCACTGAAAAAATTATTTTTATCGTTTTAAAATTCATTAAATTTAATTAAAATAATGATTTTTTAACTTACTTTAATCTTTTGGATAATACTTGACTCCAACTACCAGGAGCAGCACATAAGTCAACAGCTTTTGAAACATCTAGAAAAATAAATAATCATTTAAAACAAATTATTTTCAAAACCTAATATTAAAAAAAAACAAATAATAAATATATATATACCTTCAAAAATGTTAAACTTATTGTCAATGTGAAGAAGTTTATATGCACTGCGTGCTCTATATCCTTCCTCTTTTGCTTTTCTATAGTAAATGTCACGTTTATCTTTCGTTGTTTTGCCCATTTTTTATATATAAGAAAAACACTATAAATGATTATTTTGCAAATAAAAACTTTTCTTGCAACTTTCCGGCTATCAGTCAAGTTCTTGAGGTTATGTCTCAAAAAACGATTGTACCAACATGAAGGACAGACTTATGCGCGCGCAATGAAATAGAGAAAGATAAAATAGTTTGTCCAAAATGTTGTGAACCAACCCTTAAACACTAAAACCGATTCTGCAATGGATTCACCCTCCATCGGTGTGTCACATTTCGGATCATCGATATTAAACATCCAACTTCTCTCTGTAGGTGTTATATGAACGGTACTTTAAGTTAAGCAATGTGTGTTTTTCAGTGTATGAGTCAAAGTAAGTGAGTGTGTGTGTGTGTGCAGTTGAGATGTACCGAAAGGTGTTCTGCACTTGGTTTTTTATCTGCATTTGTTAGATAATTCATACATACAGACAATTTTTAAAAAATTATCTACGAACTGATAATATTCGTATTGAAATAATACCTATAAAAAAGAGAAAGTACTGTGGAGATTATTGCAAAATCATTTTCGATTTGCAGATGGTCCGTAAATGAGAGGAAGTCATCCGATTTCCATCAATTATATTTATAGTGTCTAAGGTTTATTTTTACGTTTGGAAGTCGACAAATAAAGTATCATGTACACGTTCATCAGTTAAAGAGATAATACACCTGTAAGTAAATAAATTTTTATAATATTAAAAATTTTAAATACAACAAAACAAATTTACTATGTCACTGATATTTGTACATCGTCTTTTGTGTATGTCTCATGCGGTGGGTGTATGACCATAGGTGCAATGTGTCGTTTTTTTTGCTGATTGTTTTATGTGTAAAGTTACACGTACATGTTTTTTTTCCTTATACTATTCATATATCTATTCATATACTCATTCTAGGTGCAATATTTCGAATTGTCAATAAATTTTCTTCCAGCCATTTCGCAATGTCTATATAAGGTATTTAGAGGTAATTTTAAAAATAAGTTTTTTTTTTTTTTTTTCTTCTTCATCTCGTCCTCTTTATATAGTGATTACAAAAATTATTTTTAAGTGAAATTCATTGACGTTTATTTTACTATGTTATTAAAATATTAAAAGAATTTTTATATATCTACAATATTGTAATTTAGAGTACAATATATTATATTTAATCAAAAAATTTTTCTGAAAAGTATAATTAAGTCGCAGAACGATTTTAGATATATGAATTATACAATTAATTTTGTACCATTTGATCATTTCTAATTATGTATTTTCAAAAAAGGTATATTACCATTTTTGCCTATACATGAGCTGTTCAAAGTCCATATACAAGAAATCTATGACATTTCCGTCAGAGGTCTCATCGTATTACCCTGACAAAACTGTTTCCAGAAAATCATCAACTCCAATGGGAAATAATAATAAATTTACGATATTTTGACATTTAGAAATCAACTGAGATGAATTTATATTTCATAATTATTTGATATATATATTTCTGACAAAGTAGTAATAATTTTAAATTAAAATAGAAAAAAATATAATAATTATTATAGATAACATTAATTGTTTCAATATTGCATAAAAGTTATTGTGACATATTTTCCTTGAAATATCGTTTTACTTGACTAAACAAATTCTATTCATCGTAGCCAACGAAAATTTGGATTATATTGCTGTTGAACGTTGTGGTACCTTATATAGAGAGAGGTGATGCGACCAAATCTTGGATTAAATATATCAATTGCAACGTTTTTTGTAAATTAAGAAAAAATAAAAGAAAAAAAAAATGGAATCATCTGTAGCGGGACGAAGACGAACTGCCACAAGGCATTCTGCTGAAGATCAAGCTTTGGATCAAATTGCCAAAGAGGTATTATTTAAATTAAATTTCTTTAAGCTTGCATCATCGTTATTACACAATTATATCATAATTTTGTTAAAATCGAAAAATTATTTTTCGAATGATTCCTTTTTTTGTTCCCGAATGTTAGGGGGGGATTTGTATATGTTCAGTTTTGCTTTTTTGTGTTCTGTCTTTATTGTATTTGTATATTGTTATATTTGTATTTAGGTGAATGTTTATTTGTATTAATTTAAAAATAGTTTTAAAAACTTTTTTTTTTCTATATTATTTATTAATACTTTACTTCTACTTTAAAGCAGGTAGTTGATAAAAATTAATTATTTATTAACATTAATAATTAATTACAGGCAGAAGCGAGATTAGCAGCTAGAAGACAAGCTAGAGCCGAAGCTAGAGAAATTCGAATGCGTGAATTAGAGAGACAACAAAAGGAAGCTGAAGAAAACGCAGACCGTGTATACGATATGTGTACAGGTATTAATATTTATTTTAAAACAAAAAATTTTGAAAGTGAACTTTATTTTATTTTTTTTCCTTATATTTTTTTCAGCTGACAGTAATCGCACAATGAGAGTTACACCAGATCCTATCAGAACATCTCGTCTTCTTGCAAATTCAAATAATTTTCAGTCTAGTCGAAGATCATCTGAAGATTCATTAGAAGATGCTGGTCTTGGCAGAGATCCTAGGGTAATTATTTTCAATTTATTTTTCGTATTACATCGACGAATAATTTCTTATATTTTTTTTTCTACATTTACAGGTGGAATTGAAAGAGTTTGAGGAAAAATTTAGAAAAGCAATGATTGCAAATGCTCAATTGGATAATGAGAAATCGTCTTATGCTTATCAAGTGGATTTATTAAAAGATAAATTAGAGGAGTTAGAGGAGACGGTTGCCCAATTACGAAGAGAATTGAGAGAAAAAAATCGAGACGCTGAACATTTGAAACGTGTTAGTCAAAGGTTGAAAGAAGATTTAGATTTATGTAGAGCTCAATTAATAGAAAGAGATACTTTAATTCAGGTAATTTGCAAAGAAAAATGAATTCAAATTTAATTTATAATAAAATTATTAAAATTTAATTTTTTTTCATCTTTAGGAAAATGGTTTAGTAATAGTAGAAGATGAAGGAAGTGACAGTGAAGAAGTGGAAGGAGAAAATGGTCTTCGTTCAAGGAAAAGAGTTTTAGTTAGTACAGAAGCTGCAGAAGTATTGCAAAATGCTGGAGAAGGTTCTTTAGGTTTGTTTTCTTTTTTTTTATATATTTATTTCAGTATAATTGTAATTTATTTATAAATCCATGTAAATAATTTAGATGTCCGGTTAAGAAAGTTTGCGTCAGAGAAAAAGGAATTACAGGATGAAATTCGACATCTGAGGTTAGAAGTTGAAGAAGCTCGAAGTCGCATGAGGCCAGAAAGAACTGCAGGTTTAATGTTAGGTAAAAAAAAATTTAAATCATTCATATTTTTTATTTAAAATATAAAATATAATTTATAACAGTTTAATAATAAATTAATTATTGTATTTTCTCGCAGGTGGATTTTCCGATTCAGAAGATATTCAACGAGAGGCCAATAAATTGATTGCTGATTATAAATTTAAACTTCAAAAAGCCGAACAAGATATGTCAACATTACAGGCAACAGTTGCTAGGCTAGAGAGTCAAGTTATTCGTTATAAATCAGCTGCGGAAGCATCGGAAAAAGCCGAAGATGAATTAAAAGTAGAAAAGAGAAAATTACAAAGAGAAGTAAGTTATTATTAATTAATTGAAAATAAATTATTTTTATTTGATTAAAATAAAAATTCCTATTTTTCATAGTTCAGAGAATCTCAAGGACGTGTTGAAGAATTGGAAACTGCCAACACCCATTTACAACGAAGATTAGATAAGTTGAAAAATGCAAGGTCTACTCTTTTAAAGGAAATTTGATAAGTAAAAATTGTTTTTAAAAATGGTGGAATATTTAAACATGAAACTTGAATTCAAGTTCAATATATAAATATATATATATATAAATATATTATATATATAGACTTATAAACTGGTTGTATCGTAACTTATAGATAAGAGCAATATTATCGTTTTTACGTTATTCGTATTTAGAAGGAAAAAAAAAAAGGCAAACTTGATTTTATTAGAATAAAGTGTTAAAATGACAACGTACTCAGTAAAATGCCAAAGCATTAATAAAAAAAAAAAAATATGGAAATCGTTACCCTTAAAGAATCTTGTTGAAGTTGAAATCAGTTCATGACGAATAACATGATATTAATTTTATCCATGAATTATGAAACACCATTTTATATACATTTATATTAAAACAAAACAAAAAAAAATTTTATATATACATTTATGACTCTGGAAACTATAATTAATTTAAACATTTGCATAATTAAACAAAAATTTCCAGTGAAATTTTTTCCCATTTTTCTGCTTTTGAAATTAATTTTTAAAATATTTGTTTGTAATCGTTTTTCTACGTACACACGTAAACATTTATATTTTCATATCTTATTTTATAAAAGTAATCTTAATGTTATACAATCCGTTAGTGCAAAATATGATTTTAAACATTTAATAAGAAACAAATTTTAACACCTCTTTTTTTTATAAATAAAATGTTTCTATCTAGATATTTCAAAATTAAACTTTTGTTTATAAAAAAAAAAAATTGTTTTTAAAAATAATACTTAAAATGCAGTTTTTACAATTATAAATTATTCTAAACATGTTAAAAACTCTTGTAAGCATTTTATAAAATATTTTTATAGTTGATTGTATTTATTCTAAAAAAAAAAATTAAATATAACGCAGAATCATAATTACCGTTTTTTTTTAAATATATTTGAAAAAATTCTGTAATAAAAAAATGTTTGTAGTTTTTATAATATTGCTAATACATAAACGAACACATGCATTTGATAAATATTAATTATCTATCATTTATGATAGTTCCTGTATGAGAGGATTCTATTGTACGAGCGATTAGTTCTTGTTTATATGACTGAACACATAAATTTTGAAAATTTATAAATATTATTATTCTTTACTTGTTTTTTGTAATTAGTAATGAATTAAATAAAAATTAAATTGTTCTTTGAAATCTTTTTAATTTATAGAATTCTAAGCTACTTGTGTGAAACATTACTTTTATTTAAAAAAAAACTGAATTAAATGATTTAGTAAATAAAAGTTATTTATTAAAACATGAATTTCTCATTAAATTTAAATATTTATATTTTAAGCAATTTTATTAATATCTGTTAAAAGTTTTACAAAACAATAATATATCAAAAAAAAAAAAAAAGTAGAATAATGAAATTTCTATGCAGTTATATTTTTTTATGCTTGTGGGCCCAAGCAGGACTTTGTGGATCAGTCAAAATTTTTGTCGATTTAATTATAGCAAGTGGTTTAAATTTTGGCACTGGTCTTGCTTTTGTCTCCATTATTTTACGTAGTTCAGCAATTTCCTCTTTTTCACGAATTAAGCGTTCCTGTTCGAGATTTTTGCGAATTTCCTCTTCCTTGAGTTCTTTCATCCTAACACGATCTTCATACTCTTTTCTCTCTCTTGCTCTTTTGTCAGTGTTTAATTTTAATTCACCAAGAATTGCTGTTTTCTTAATACCATTATTTAGATTTAATTTTTCACTAGATACTGACTTGTAAAATTGTTTGCCATTTGGCTCTTTATTTTCTTGATTGCTTATTATTTTTGGAAAAAGAGTTTTTTTAATATGACAAATTTGTGGTGCTGATGTAACTTTATTTGTTTTATCATTTTTCTCTGGTGTTTTTTCATTATTAATGCGTAAATTTTCACGCGATCTACCGCGCACAATTACAGGACGAATTACAGGTACGGGATTAGCATGAAATTCACGTCCTTTCCTTTCTTTTTCATGTGTCTCTTTAATTAAATCCTCTTTTTTCTTGATCAATTGCTTGTCCCTTTCTTCGAAACTAAATGGACGTGGTGTTGTTTTTTTAGCTGATGATATTTCTCGGGGATTTTTTAATGGTGTTATTTTCTTTTTCAAAAATTCTTTTGTATCTTTATTTGATTGAGATGGCAAAATAATTTTCTTTTCCACTTCTTGTAATTTTAATGGTATTATTTTCTTTTTGAGAATAATAGAATCTTTTGAATTTTTACATGATCCTGGCAAATCGATTTTCTTCTCTAATTCTTGTAATTGTTTTTTCTTTAATTGAAGTTCTTTCTTTTGTTGCAATTCTTTGTTTCGAATTTCAAAATTAAAAGGCATTGTACGAGTGATTTTTTTTTGTTTATGAGTTGTGTCGGTGGGTATTCCAAAGTGTCCAATTTCAACTTCTTTGACAGCGAGTTTAGCGTCATCGGTTGATACAATTGTTGGTACAACTTTTTTTTGTACTGGATGATCGATTTTGAAATGCTGTGAATCGTGAAGATTTGTTGATGACAAGGATTCAGTTGATGAAGAATGTCCCTTTTTTGATTGAAAATTTTCTATTTTAATATTTTTTTTTGTTTGCTTTAATTTAGGTGGAATAGTCACTTTTGGATCGGCCTTAACGGGTCCATTGCGAAGATTTTTTAGTGTTGAATTACTTGTTATTGTGTCTAGTGGTTTAATTGGACGAATTCGACTTTTTGATGTTAATTTGGGAGAAATTGGTCGTGTAATTTTCATTGTGGATTGTTTTGTTGTTATTGGTTTAGCATTTTTAACAGGAACCGAATGAAATCGTTTTGGTGTTTCTTTTTGAAATTTAGAAACTGATTCAGCTAATGTTTTATATTGATCGTTCGATTTCAGTTTCATTATACTTTTCCTTCGAATGGAGTCTGCTATTACTTGAGGTCGTTTTTTGGGTGCTGGAATCTTTAATTTTTTCGTTTCTTTTGAATCGTTGATTTTCTTTGTGTTGGGTTTTGACCATGATAAAACAAATTTGCTAGGCTTCAATTTAGAGTTATTTAATAGAGTGTCATTTTCATCAATATTTTTTGATGTTGAGGCCTTTGGTTCATCATTTAATGAATCATTAAAATTACTGCTCTGATCAATTGAATTTGCTACTACTTCACTATTCTGTTTTGTTGTTTCTTCATTTTCTTCACTCTTAGAAGTCACAATTCTATCGGTTAATAATTGAATATCTGATTCTTCTTCAGTTTCATTTATTTCTTGTGAATCCAATGGCTGTTGCTTAGCACTTTCAATTGTTATTGTTGTCTTGGTACATTCAATTTTTGCAATATCGTTGAGAATATTTTTTGAAATTCTTTTACATTGTGTTTCTACTTGAGATTCATTTGATTGAACATCTATTGAAATATTTTCATAATTCACACTCGTCTTCATTGATCTGGTAATTCTTTTATCAGTCATCTGTGGAGTCTTAAATGTGTTTATCGATGAATTAGATGCACTTTGATTTAAACGTTTTTTCTTTGTTGAAACTTCAAGATTGTTCATTGCCTCAAGTAAAAGATTGCCAACAGTTGTTTCTTTTGTTACTTTTTCATCTTTATGAGATTTATTTGGCGAAAGAACTTTTATTGGAGTAATTTGTACTTTATCCAAGATATTTTCAAATCCACTCTCATCATCAGTTAAAAAAAGTGGAGTTTCTTTATATTTTTTTGTACGACCTTGTTTATGTGGATTATATTCCAATTCATGCTCTGGATGTAGTCGACTAAAGAAATCGTCTGATATCTAAAAATAAATGAATATAAAATAATAAATTAAATTCGAAATAGAAAAATAATACAAATTTTTCAATTTTTTTCATTATTTGAAAATAAAATAATAATAATAGTAACTAACCTGGGGACTGGAAGTAAAATCCGTCCACTGGGGAGCGTCAAAACCATCCATGACAGATTTATTGGTATTCATTATTTAATGATACTTTTAATCCTTAGTTAATTAAAAACGTTAGCGATTCACTTAAATAATTCTCATAAAAATTAAAAACATTATCTAAAACAATAAATAATTTATATATAATTAAAATAATTATATGACGAAATATTATATTTATAAACAGTAAAGACAAATTTGATATGACTGTACTTACCTAGGTTATACAAATAACATAGTATTTATAATTGAAAGCAGAAATTTATATTCGTTATTCTACTTTAATGAAAACTTATTATTACTTTTAATTGCTCTTTTGACAAAATATTCGCTGTAATTATAATCAACACTAACGCAGATACATAGCGTGTTTTCCAGTTTGAAAGTATTCAAATGACAAACGGTTAAAATCAGAGATGGGCAACTATGAAGCATAAAATTATTAAGGTTAAATCGCATGTCTTTCCAATCTAAATACAAACAGCCAATCAAATTTGTTTCTTTCAATGACGTCATTTGAGTACAAAATTTTCATTGGTTATTTATTTTATATACCAACAGGGTTCATTCATTCGAATTTGTGCCTTTCTATTACATTTACATTTCCAATGTTTTTTTTAAGTCACATAATTTTTTTTTTATTTTTGTAGAGAATAATTGTTTAAAAAAAATTAATTAAACATTTATCTTTCTGAAAATTAAGGTTTCCTTACTGAAAACTACAAAAATAACCTGTTTCCTATCATATATAGATATATATATAACACGTGTTTTGTTATTGAGGTTATGTGGTGCGTGGTGTCAAAAACATTTTAAATTAAATATTAGTATACACGTGTAGAAATATTTTAAATATAAAAATGACATCTATAGAAGAATCTGTTAATAATGAAACTTCAAAAGAGAGTGTAAAAAATAATCTTTATTCTTATTTACAAAGAGATGATTTTACTTCTGAAAAATATAAAATAGAAGTAAGAGGACTACCAAAATTTTACGGTATTGGTGAATTTAAAAAGTTATTAAGTGATAAATTGGAATTGAATTTTTGTAAAGTAAAACCACCAAGAAGAGGCAGTGGATGGTTATATGTTTGTTTAAGAAGTGAAGAAGATAGAAATCGTGCTATTTCATTGCTCGATGGTATTTCTTGGAAAAATTCAAAACTCACTGCTCATGTAAGAATTAAATTAATTTACTGATTTTAATTCAAGGTAAAAAGCAAGATTAAAATTTTATTATTTTAATAGGCTGCAGCACCAGCTCCTGATCCATTTATTAAAAGAAAAATGGAAAAAGAAGAAGCTGCGAATAAAAAATGCAAAATAGATGATAATGATGAACAAATTTCCCTAGAAGATCGTGTAAAAAATACGACTATTCCTCTATGGAATATGCCTTATGATAATCAGGTAAAAATGTCTTTAAAAATAATGTAAATTTAATGAATTCAATTATTTAATATTTAATTATATAATTAATTATTTATTTTATTACTCTTTCAGTTAGAATTCAAACAAAAGGAAATGAAAGCAATTTTAATTAAATTGGGACAACAAATGTTGAAGGAAAATAAAAATTTAAATGAATGGTTAACTATTCAGAAAAATAAATATGATGGTTTACCTTGTGAATTGCAATCAATTCTTAGTGCAGATATAAAAGAGGGTTATCGAAATAAATGTGAATTCACAATAGGTATGAAAAATTATAACCCTAATTTGAATTTATGTTTAAAAAATCATTTTTCTACTTGTAGGTAGAAATACCGATGGAAATAAAATAATTGGCTTTCGCTTATCGAGTTATGCTGCTGGATCAACTGCCGTTGGTCCCATTGACGATCTTATTCATATTCCAAAAATTATGAAATCTGCTGTTAAGGTTCAATTTTTTTATTAGCTTTTTTTGTTAATTTTTTTTACAATAATGAAACATTTTAAAATATTAATTTTAATTTTCAGCTTTTGGAAGAATTCATTCACAGTTCAGAATTAGATGTGTTTAATCCTGTAGATCATAGTGGTAATTGGAGACAAGTTACGGGAAGGACAACTCGTTTAAATCATCTAATGTTGATAATTGGTGTTCATCCACAAAATTTAAGTTCAGATGATTTAAATAAATTGAAAGATGAATTAAAAAACTTTTTTGAAAATGGTAAAGGAAAAGAAGCAAATGTTACATCATTATATTTTCAAATTTTAGATAGAAAGTTAGTATTATTAATATAAAAATTATATATATATATTTAATAGAAAATATAATAATGTATCTTTTATTTTATTGTATTAACGTTGAATTAATGTATAGAACTGGAAGAAGTGAGGATAATTGTACATTGGAGCATCTTAGTGGTACACATTTTATAGAAGACATTTTATTAGGAATGACATTTCGTATTTCACCTCAAGCATTTTTCCAAGTAAATACTTCGGGAGCAGAGGTTTTATATCAAGCAGCTATAGATTTGGTACAGCCTACAGAAGATACAGCTTTACTTGATGTTTGTTGTGGAACTGGAACAATAGGACTTGCATTTTCAAAGGTAAAAAGATTTTTTTTGTAAATTTGAGTTTAGTTCTAATCCTTTTCTTTTTTTGGATTTAAATTAGCATTGTGGCGAGGTATTAGGTTTGGAAATGATACCGGAAGCAATACAAGACGCAAGGGAAAATGCCGTGAAAAATGGTGTTAAAAATTGTGAATTTTTCGCTGGAAAAGCTGAAGATATTTTATCGCCTGTTATTCATCGATCGACAAAACCAACTTTAGTAGCGGTTGTCGATCCACCTAGAGCAGGTTTACGTGAGTTTTTTCGAATATTTTTCTTAATTACTTTTTAAATATATATATATATATATATATATATATATATATATTTAGAATAAATTATAAATAATTAAAATTTCTTTTTCAATAAATGAAAATTTCACAGATCAACGAGCACTTTTGGCGTTGCGAAAAGCAAAAAATTTAAACAGACTCGTTTATATATCTTGCGATCCAAAAGCTGCAATTAAAAATTTGGTTGATCTGGCAAGAGCAAACTCGAAACATTATTCCGGAGAGCCTTTGGTTCCTGTAAAAGCTGTACCTGTTGATATGTTTCCATTTACAAGACACTGTGAATTAATTATTTATTTAGAACGGCTAGCAAAATCCGATTCAAATTAAATAATTTCATAAAAATCATTTAAAAGAATAATAAATATCAATAAATATTTAATTTTATAATAATTTTAATAGTAAAAATATATAAATAAATATATAAATAATTTGATTAAATTGAAATTAATTAATAATTTTTTTTTAAATTAAAAAAATATTACAAAAATAATTATTCAAAAAAAAATTAAGATTTAAATTAGCCGCGATTGATGATCTATACTTTTTTCCGGAAGCACGTGCTGCCATCTTTTTTTCGACACGTATTTATATGAATGAGTGGTGCTCAACCAGCCTACTGTCAAATTGTATATATAATTTTCTAAACTTTGGACTCTGGAATATTGTGCTCAAGGGGAATTGTCCTCAAATAAATTATTTGACCTAATTTAATTGTTGTACAAATTACAATAATTAAATATATTATTTTCAACAATGTTTTCAACATGTTCAAGAGTTTTAAAAACAAATGCCAATGTGAGTATTTCGTTTGTTTCAAAAATATATTTTATTTTTTATTAATATGACATTTATATATCTATAGTATTATTTATTCTGTAAATTATATAATTCTCTTTAATTTTCATATAAATATTAATTATTTTATTTTTCTTATTTCATTTATTAATTATTATTAAGAGAATTCTTTATTTTTATTTTATAAAATCATGTTAATTTTTTTTTTAACCTTTCTACTTGACATATACACAACTTTTACGTAATTTATTATTATATCTAAATAATAAAATTTGTCAACTCTTTTTTTGATATTCTCTGAATTATTTTTCAGTTGTCTTCCATTTTACATCGTTTTGAATCAACATTGGTGATTGCAGAGCACAATAATGAAATTCTTTCTCCAATTACACAAAATGCATTAGCGGCAGCTACAAAAATCGGTGGTGATATTACTGTTTTGGTAGCTGGTACAAAATGTGGTCCAGCATCGGAAGCAGTGAGTAAAACACCAGGAATTGCTAAAGTAATAATTGCTGAAAGCGATGCTTTTAAAGGATTTACTCCAGAATCAATTACTCCACTTGTTTTGGCAACTCATAAACAATTAAACTTCAGTCATATTGTAGCGGGTGCTAGTGCCTTTGGTAAAGCATTACTACCACGAGTATGTATTATTTATAATTAATATTTTATTAACTATAGGATTATAAGAAAATTATTTATTTTGTATTTTTTAGGTTGCTGCTAAATTGGACGTATCTCCAGCCAGTGATGTTATTGATATTAAATCGTCAGATACATTTGTACGTACAATATACGCGGGTAATGCAGTGCAAACAATTAAAATGAAGGATAGCGTGAAAATAATATCCGTTCGAGGAACCGCATTTAAACCCACCTCAATCGAGGGTGGTAGTGCAAAAATTGAAACAGCGCCCACAGGCGATTACAAAACAAATTTAGTTGAATTTATTAAACAAGAATTGAGCAAATCTGACAGACCAGAACTCGCGTCGGCCAAGGTCGTTGTATCAGGTGGTCGAGGTCTTAAATCTGGTGAAAACTTTCAAATTTTATATACATTGGCTGATAAATTAAATGCTGCTGTAGGTGCTTCTCGTGCTGCAGTCGATGCAGGCTACGTACCCAATGACATGCAAGTTGGACAAACTGGAAAAATTGTTGCTCCAGTAAGTTTGTATAATTTTGCAAAAGCTATTCTAATTCTATTAATATTTCACTTGAAAAAAATGCGCGACCATTTTTTTGAAAAAATAGCGAATAACGATTTTATTTTACAAATAAAAAAAAATAAGTGCACTTTTTTAGGATCTATACATAGCAGTGGGAATATCTGGTGCTATTCAACATTTAGCGGGAATGAAAGATTCAAAAACAATTGTGGCTATAAACAAGGATCCAGACGCACCAATTTTCCAAGTTGCTGATTATGGTTTAGTTGCTGATCTCTTTAAAGTTGTGCCCGAGATGAATGAGAAACTTTAAAAACATGAGAATTTCTAGTAAGCAAGCATTTTTATGGACATAAATAATTAAATTCAGTGAATAATTTCAAATAATTTTAAATAATTTTTGATAAACTTGAAAGAATGTATTAGAAATTAAATTTTATACTCTGTAAATAGTATACATATATATACTCAGATTTAATAACGTGAATTTTCAGTTAGTAGCAAATTTACTACGATAATAATTTTTAATATTGTTACAAATTTGCAAATTGCTGCGAAATTTTTTCCTATCTTTTGATAATTTATAAAAAATAATTCAAATGAATTTAAAACATAATTTTTAAATTTTTTCAAATTTAAATTTCTTTTTATTAGATAAAAATTGATATTTTTTATAGTGAAATTGTAACTTACAGTTTTTGTAAGTTTTAATAAAAATTTATTGTTATTAAATTTTGTATTTATTTGTACTTCAAGTAATTTTACTTTTCAGTACATCTAGAAGAATAATATTTAAAGAAAAAATTTTTTTTAATGAAACTTATTTTTTTAAATAATTTTCTAAAGAATTTGTTTATTTTCAATGATTTAAAAATGAATTTACAAAAATTGCAAAAATGACAGTGAACGAAAATGGTATTTTTAAAAAAAAAAAAAAAGATTCAACGGTTAAGAAATTGCATTTATTTGTGGACTTTTGACTCTTTGTTCATGAGAGCATTTACTAAAACTCGTCAATGCCATCAAGTTTTGCACACATCTTTGATTAAAGTCTATGTGTGATGATGACGTGCTTGTGTGCCCGGTCATGCTTAACAGAATGACTTAACATGAGACCAAGCCTCATGCGGCAATTCAGTTGATTTAAAATCTAAAGAAAGGGAAAGCGCATGTAACACCCGCTCGAACTTAAAGTCAGTCTCGTAAGCGCGTTCCGCGCAGTAGTCTTGTTATCAAATAAACCAACTGGATGTTTATTAGGTACTTATAATTTTGAAAAAAATATATTCAATTTTTTCTTATTTCCTTCAAAATTCATCAGTTTTTCTTATTAAAAAATTTATATTATGGTTTTTATTTTGAATTTTACTTTTTGTTATATTAAAAACCGGTTGAATCGAGCATCAAGTGGTTGTGAACTCTAGTGATTGTGAAATATTTAATAATTTTTCCGATTGCTTTGAAAAAAAAATTGTTTAAATTTTTAAAAAAATTTTTTAAAGTGGAACGTATTTTCTGTCATGTCTCAAGACATTTGAAAATGTCGAGATTTCGTTTTAATTGAGCGAGTTTAGTTGCAAAGTGTGTGGTAGGCCTTGACAGGATCAACTATTTACGTCACAGGATTTAATTTACCTAGTTGATTTTTGGTCGTGGAATTCTTAAATTTAATTTTCAAATTATTTTACAGTTTTTATTACAATTAATTAATTAATTAATTTTTATTACTTTTTTAATTTGATAAATATTATTGAATGAACATGATGATTAATAAAATTATTCATTTATTTGTAAATTTTTTAATAAGAAATCGTAAATTCCTGATCTGGAGTAATCCTGACATAATATTTAATGAAAATGTAATGTCATGTATGTAACATAATGGGCATTGAATTCTCGTCTAGTACTTTCTCAATCATTAATAGTAACTTACTTGCGTAATTTATTTATTTATGTAATTTGTCAATTTTTTCTTTTCACATTTTTTTTTATTAATAATGAGTTCATATAATTTATAATTATTAATTTCTATATTTTTGAAAATATTTGTTTTTTAATTTCATAATAGCAAATATTTTGCAGTAATACTCGAAATTAATGGTAATTACAAAAATTTATTTTTATGTTATAGTTCTTTATTAAGTTTTGTAGGTCATGGTATCATACATATGTAAAGTTATACTTTCATTACGTGCTTCATGAATCCTTTCGTTATTCAAGGTCAAGCGCCTAATATTATGAAAGTAAAAGTTCTTGTTGATCGTCCATTAATTTCAAAATTCACACAAATTTTTGTACAATTTTTTTTTTTTATCAGATTAAATATAAATTTATCCTTTACGATTACAAAATGTATAAAAAATATATTTTTATAAGAAGAAATAAAATTTAAAGTATGACGAAATTTTTCTGTAAAAACTACGAGGTTTTTGAAAAATAGTCACGAATAATGTTTTTAACCGCGAAATTAATTTACTAACAAGGAAGTATGATAATAATTGTTGACTTGCAGAAAATTTTTTCCTTTGTAATTCAAACACTAAAATTTAAGTCTTCCAAGAATGCAACAATTTATAAGAGTTAAAAATGATAAAATAAATTTAAAAAAAAAAACATTTAATTAAATCAAACAATTGACATAAATTTTATTGATAACTATAAACAATAAAAAATATTTAAAGAGAAAAACTTGAAAAATAATTAAATTCCACTTTTTGGAATTTTTACATTTGCGTCTAATTTGTGATTGAAAATGAAAATTTTTTAAAGTTCATTTTATTTGAACCAGAAACAAATAAATTTAGTTCACATGACAGTGAGTTGTACTTATAAAACTTGAATAATTTTATGTTTACCATTTCATAATCATTTTAACAATGAGTTTACAAATTTTATTATGACATAACGTACTTTAATTTACATCACCGTTATTTCAAAATTGTAACGTGATCCCGTTACTTAAAAATATAATTTCAGAAAGGCAAATGAACCAGAAAAAAAATGTTCTTCGAACAATAATAATATTAGTATTAATATTTTGAAAAAAATTTCAATTATTGATAAAGTTTTTAAAAAAAATTAATAGGACCATTTTCCATTAAGTATACAGAATTAGGTGTAGAACCAGTAATACAATAAGTAGTTGAATAATCCCATTATGTTATATACCGGTATTATGCAATGAAGAAAATTTCACTTTTCAACCTGTAATCAGTACAAACGGAAAGATGTGCATGTAAACCTGATAGACAAGTTTTTCATCGTATCACATTTTTTATATTCATTATATATATATAATACGTCATTTTGCGGTAATTATAAAGTATTCCATTAATTCAACATTTAATAAAGTACACTTAATAAAATTATTATAGCGCGAGAGATTTGATTTCATCAATAATTATGAATCAAACTATAGAAAGTCACTGACTTGAAAGTATAAGTGTGTTACTATGCTTCAAACATAGATTATTTTTTTTTTATTAAATATATAAAATTAAAATCAAAATTATCGTAACAAAAATAATAATAGTAATTGAATTTTTTTTTTACAAAATTAATTATTTATTTTAAAAAAATCCAATCAAAAAATGTGTTTTTGAAAACAAAATAAAATTGTTTACTTTGTGGGGAAAAATTATTTAAATCAAAACTATGAATATTTTATTATTTATAGATATTTTTATATACCGTTACAAATAATGATGCGCATAATTTTAATGTTTTATTCATTATCATAAAAAAAAAAACACTCGCGATAAAACTTTTATTTATTCAATCAAATCCTGGCGTTTCTATTTATTCAAATTGAAAGGGAACTTTTTTTATATATAAGATTTATAATTTAATTTCTAGATTTATAATTAATAATTATTTCGAAAAAATTCAAAATGGAATTTTGTTAGTAAATTAGAAACACTTAAAACGCTTTTATAAGTAAAAAAAAATTGAGTTACAAAAGTTTCTAAATTTTTTTTTTTTTTTTTTTTTATTTTATATAAATGTGTCGAAAATTTTTTTTTTCTCACTAAAGTTACGTTACTTGCACATGGCATTTCACAATTATTTTAAAGCAACAACTACACGGGAATAAAAGACATTATGCGCGCGCAAAAATTCACGTTTTAAAATAAATAATATATTACACGCACTTATTGTGGAATACTTAAAAAAAACAAATCCGTTATTCCATAACAGCGTAAAATGAGATTACTGTATCATTTGACACACACAACGTATACTTGCATTGTACTTCCTGTTATGGGAGACAATAACTGTTTTTCTCCGTGGGCGCAAAATGTAACATCGGGTCAGGTCAAATGAGAGCAACCACACACATGGTGAGATAAAGTAGAATGAATAGTAAAATATGAATCATATGTAAATAATCATGTCAGTTGAAATAAAGCAAAAGTGGGTCGAGTTTGGAGCATTAAGACGAGATAGATAAATCATATATGCTCAATGAAAAGTGGAATGAAAAATAAAGTAGGATTAGGTCAAGAGAAATTTTAAGGGATAATGGAAATCTGTATAAAATTTTGATTTTGATCAATATAGAGTTTTGTTTATTTTACACATTTTCATATTCGAAATATTTGAATTACAAATTTTTTTAATTCATATAAACAAAATAAATATAGAAAAAGAAATTTTTTTTAACAAAATAAAATGATAGAATTTTTTTTTTTGAAATTAAGAAAGAAAAAAATGTTTTTAATTCTTTTGTTCAATAACTAATTTTGTTTGAATTAATTTTTCTAGATTGCGCGGATCGCTGATACAGAAAAATGAGAAACAAATCATCAAACGACTTTTGCCTTGATAAACTTTTTGCTCACCGGGTCTTCGGATGAGGCGGTGACCACCTTTGCCTCAACGAAGAAGTTAAGGATGACAATTCTAGAACCAATCCTGGGGATTTCGCCAATTTTATGGCTATTGATATATGCCAGCTTAATTCTTTTACTATCGCCATTAGTATTAGTGATGGTTGTGTTCTTGCCAAATTTTCCGATATTGCTTTTACGAAGAATGTGCACAATTCCTATTGAATCTATTTAAAAAAAAAAAAAAAATTGATTCTCAGAGGCCAAAGAACAATATCACCAAAGAGCTGTGCTCAATCAATGTTAAAACACATTTCTAAAATAGAAATCGCCCCTAAAAAATTTAATTTCAATTTAAAATAAAATCTATACAAATAGATTTTATAAAATTTATTGGGAAATTAATTCATTTAGTAATATTAATATTAATTTCATTTAATTATATTGTCATTTAAGTGGAAAAGCAATAGCCTGCCATAAAATTGTTTAGTTTTTTTTTTTTTCTGAAGTTTGCTTTAAATATATTGGGCCTGAACATATTTTTATATGTTTTGGTTGTGGTTTTTTTTATAGCTTCCGTCTATTTCCCGAGAATAAACGCGGTTGACCGAAAAAAAAGAGTTTTAATTCTTTTTTCAAGTTATAAAATAATTTTTACGATTTCCTTCTTGATTAAATGAATTTTGACACACAAGGAAAAAAGCAATAATGTAAAAAAAATTATGTAAATAACAAATTGATATAAAAAATTTCCTAAATCTGTAATTTTCTAATAAAACATTCAAAAATAATTTTTTTTTTAATTTTATCCTTAATTTTTCAAATTAAGACAAAATTTTTGTCTCTTAAAAAAAGTACAAGAATTAAATCAATTTCAAAATTTTAGAAATATATATTAAAGAAAAAAAGGCTGTTTTAATTTTTAATTTAATTGAAAATTATTACTATAGATATTTTTTTTTTTTTTCTTAAAAATCTCAGTAATAAATATTCGAAAAAATACGACAAAAATTAAGGTAATTGAAATTTATTATTTATAATTAATGATAACATTTTTGCTTGTTTTGTATTAAAAATGTGAATTGTTTTTTTTTTCAACAGAATTGTTAGCAGCTATGTGTGTGTGGGTATAAATAATTGGCACCATTTAATATATATACGTTGTGGATAAATACAGTTGAACCCTATAAGTAACGATCAGGGAGTACTTTCGCCAAGGTATAAAGTGGGAGGTGAGACTTGAACTCTGAGATTCATGGCCCATATATATTTACTCTACCGGCACATGTACCTCTCTTACTTACTCGTGACGCTGAGCGTGTAATACAGAAAGGATCAGAAAGGATAATTGTCATAAACACAAGGCAAGTACAACAATCTCGAAATTATTGCATTAATTTGTCAATCAATTTTATTTACTAAAAAAAGTAATTTTTTTTTTTAAATAAGTATTTTATAAAAAAAATTATCTCCTATCAATTTATTTTCGACTCTTTCTTTTTATAACTGTTAAATTGATTTTTTTATTTCCAATTATTTAAAAAAAAATTTTTTTTTTAAAACATTTTATTGTTTATTAAATTTCGCCGGTAAATAATTAGTAATATTGATTTTAAACTGATTGATCAATTAAAAATAGAAAGAAAATAAAATAATTGTTTTTATATTGAAGATAAATTGATGAAAAGTATGAAATCTGACATTAATAGATTTAATCGTGTAAAAACGGAAGATATTAAATTGAAATTATATTTTCAAGGTTGAATACAGTTCTTTGTTTGAATGGGAGTTAGAAGAATGGCATTATGGAATTTTTATACATACTCTCGATTGAACGTAGAGGTCAAGTTACGCAATTCAAAAAAGAAGTGATACAACTTTTTACAGAAATTATTTATAAATTTTTTTTTTTCTAATAAAATTGATTCAAACAAAAATTAATTGTATCGAAAATTACATTTTTTCGTGGATATTTTTAAATTTTTGATTTGAATAATTTGTTTGTTTTTTTTTTTTTTGAAACTGTTAAATGTAGTTTTAAAAGCGAAAAGAATTTCGAAAGTACAATCTGAAATGAAGTCAGTGATGGTTGTAAACCTTGATTTTTTTTTTGTAGGATGTATGCTTGTTAATAAGTCAGCTTCGGGGCATTTTTTTTTTTTTTTATTAAACTTAAAATAATTCAAGTATTTTAGAAAAAAAAAAAATGTATAACTTTAGTTTTGATATAAAAAATATTCCTTATACAAAAAAAAGTAGAAAAAAAATTGAAAATTCATTTCTCAGTTTTTGTACATAGTTTTAGATCTCGGTGTTATTAATAGATCCAAATAAGGTAACTATCAATTATTTACTTTTAAGAGAATTCATCTTGAGAAGCAGAGATAGAATTTTCAAACGACCGTTACAATAACCGTTCTTCGATAATCGTTGTTACAGTCTGCATGGTCCGCTGCACGCAATAATACACCAAAGTTTGTGCAGAAATCAGGTCCCCCGTCGAATTCGTTTACAAACAAAAAAAAAAAACTTAACTTTATATACAAAAATTTAATTTTTACAAAAAAATATTTTTAATAAAATTTTAATTTAAAAAATTTTTTTATATTTACAGATGCGATTTATGCTGATGCTGTTTTTGCTTGTTTTGGTAACACTCGCTCTTGGATTAAGAAAAGTGCCAAAAGTTTACAATGCATTAATTACAACTGATCAAAATTTATTACCATCGCGAGCTTTTCCTGTTCTTCAGCCTGTTATTCACAAGACCACCGTGGGATATGTTCCACCGTATTATTATACACAAATTGCACCGCAATTTACACCGGAATTTGTACAAATTTCACAAGGAATAGCACAGGGAAATTCTGCTCATCAAGAGGCAGGGAAAAAAATACCAAATTCATCAAAAACAGAAAATAATAGAAAAGAAGACAATCAACAAATTCCATTACGATTCTATCCAAATTATCATTCATTCTATTATGATCCTTATTTTTACACATACAATGGTTACGATTCACATTTGGCACCATCGGCTTATCAGGAAAATGGTTCTGTTGAACCACTTCCTCCGCAAAATTTCCAAAATCTCCCACAACACTTACTACCAAGTCTTCATGACGAGAAAAATATGATGAGAAATATTTATCATGAAAAGAAAAAAGATATTCCAGATGTTCCTCCACCTCCGGTACCAACGAAAGTTACAAAAAGTTCGTAGGTTTTGTATATAATTATCATTTTATAGACAAAAAAATTTTCAAACAAATTGTAAATTTCAATTTAAAAAAAATCATATGAGCTTTGTTTTAACTTATAGAAATTAATTATTTTCTTTAAGAAAAAGATTTAATTAATTGTTATTTAATTGATTAAGGGGAGGGACCGCTGAAATTTTAACACATCAAAATTAAAGCTGTTTAAGGGTGGTCAATTTTTTTTCTGACAATATTAATTATTTAAATGTATAATATATCATGAAAAATTGAAAAACTATAAATTTGTTAATAATTTTTAAAATCAAATTCAAAATTCTCGAAAATTTAAAATTTAAACTTCTCTCACAATTTTAATTATTTTTGACTGCCGATTTTTTTATACGCTTGTTTCATGATTCTAAACAATCAAGCGTATGGATTTTGAAAAATTTCAATTTTTTCAAAAAATGAAAATTTTGAAAAATAAAAATATTTGTAAAATTGTTAAAAATTACCTTTTGTTGTTTTTCTCAGTAGAATAAGATTTTTGGTTGAAAAAAAATGTTGAAAAAAATTATTACCCCTAAACAAGATCAATTTTGATTGCTTTCAATTTTAGTGGTAATTTTGAAAAAAATTCAACTACTTCCACAATTTTCATTATTTTTTATTGTCGAATTTTTTTTACGCTTTTTTCACGATTTTAAACAATCAATCGTATGGAATTTAAAGAAATTTAATTTTTCCAAAAAATAAATTTTCTAAAATGGCTAAAAAAATTTTTTTTTAAATTTTAATAATTTATAATAATTTTGGATCCTAAATTATGCCAGAAAAAAAATTGACACTCTTTAACAATAATAACTTCAGTAGGCTGAAATTTCACCGGTCCCTCCCCTTAATTAAATATTATAACAATGATATGAAAAAAATGTCATTGACAAGAACAAGAAATGTGATTTGAACGCAAGTTTCAATTATATATATATATATATTTTTTAATCTATATTAGTTTTTATATATCTATTTAATTAATTACCATAGGTATAAAAATTCAAGTATTGTTATTAAAATTGCCTTGTGCAATTATTTTTATACCACAAAATTATATTTATTTCTTTTTACAAACAATTAAAATTAATTTACAAATTTTTTCTATTAATATTTTATTAACATTTTTCTCCGACTCCCCAAACTTTTAATAAATATGCAAAATCAAAATTTTTATTTAATTCCTCAAAATTTAATGAAATATTTGACTCTCCTGGACCACCGGAAATTATTTTCAATTTTATTTCTCTGTTATTTTTTGATTTTATTTCAATACAAGTAATGCATATTCCTTCTAAATTAATTTCTAGCAAATATCCATTTGTTGATCTATAATTGGCACCAGTGATAAGAATATTTTGATTGTAAATTATTTCACCTCTACATTCACCTATTTTCATGTATTTTTTATCATTCAAATTAATCTGTAATTTTATAAATTATAACATTAAGTTTTTTTTTATTTAATTAATTCTTAATATTTAAATTGATAATTTAACTGAATAATTTTAAATGAAGGAAATATTAATAGAGAATCGTCAGCCAATGGAATGGTGGCGCGAACTTCAAATTTTCAAATATTTAAAGTTCGCTCCACTATGTGATTGGTGGAACAAAATAAGACATTCTGCGCAAGCGCTTGGCTGTGCGCATTTGCCGCGTCTATTTTTTCTACAGTGTTACCGGCTTTTCATCACGTGTTTATGATTTTAATCAAAGTTTTAATTAAATGTTCTATAAATTGTTGTCTGTGAGTTATAAAATGTGAAAAAATAATGTTTCGGAGGAGATTAAACATTAAACATCAGTTAAAAATCAAGGCAAATGTTAATTACAAGATATCAATGCAAACGAAATTTGACACTTAACCTAAAAACATTCTTCAAATCACGTCGAAAGATAATGAATGCTAATTTATATCAAATGCTGATAATAAATAAAAGGTATGTATAATTTAATTGTAATAATTATTATTTATAGATGATTTAATTGCAATAAATATTTTAAAGCATTTTTTCTTGCACCAAATATGTAAAAAAAAAAAAAAAGTATACATCTCGTACACAAAAAAATATTTTCCGTTTATCAAAACAAATTAAATAATAATATTTATATATCCTACCTCAGTATTTTGAATTCCAGTGGTAAAATTGTTGGTTAAATTTGCATTATTTAATGGTATATTAATATTCTGATCCGAATGTTCGATTGGGAAAGAGTCTAATAAATTAGTATTTAGTTTATTTGGTGAATTATAATCAGAAATATTTGTGTCTATATTCCTCAAGGTTGAAGTATTATTTGAATCGAGGGCTTTTTGAATCGCGTCATATTCTTGTCTTAATTTTTTTCGTTCTTGATAATATTCATTTAAATGTCCAATATCATTTCTGTGATAATAAATCTGTTCTTTAGGAATATTTTCTCTTAATTCTTGATCTGATAAAGTTTTCTGTGAAATAAAAATCTATATTATTAATGTATATAATTTTTAAATAATTATCATTTTTCAATATAAAAAATTAACAAACAAAAAAAAAAATTGTTACAATTTTTTTTTAGTAATTGCGTTCATCTTACTTTTCGATTTTTTGTCACAAAAAATTCTTCACTGAAGGACGTAATAATTAGAAGTATCGTAAAATGTAGAGAATAATTACAATTACCGAGTATCATCCTTGAAATGAGAAAGCTTTTAATGTGTGCAAAACTGCGACAATTCTTCCGCGATTATGTTTAAACTAGAATATAATTCTCAACCTAGAGTGACCCCACTTATCAGTGAGTATAATGTCGATATATCAAATAACATGAAATTTATGCTGAAAAATGTTTTATTTATTTGATATATTTTTTTACATTGTACAATTTATATGAATTATACTAAATTAATTCTAATAGGATATATGTTTTAATAGAAAAATTCTTTTAAAATGAAAAAAATAAACTTAAAATATAACATTTCTATTTACATAATTTTTTTTTTCTAATTTTTCGATTTTCTTACAAGATTCTGTTTCAATATTAATTTACGTATTTATTTGTTTATTTTTAAATTTCAATTTAGAGAATTTACAATAGTGAAAGAAAATTATGGTGGAATTTTTTATTTTTACTCTAATGCATCGACTGTAACAGAATCTTCATTACGTTCAGTGGAATTTTCCTCGGATTTTTTTTTATCTTCTGGCTTTTTTTTATCTTCTTCTGGTTTTTTGGGTTTTTTATCATTTTTATTTTTCTTTTTTTCATCATTTTTATCTAATTTTTCAATTTTGTCGTCTTCATCTTCATCGCCATTTTCAGTATCTTTATCAGGATCTTCTTTATCTTCTTTGTCGTCTTTCTTATTCTTCTTGTCTTTTTTAGATTTGTCTTTTGGCGATGGATCTTCGGGTCCAGGAATCTGAGGTGGCGGTAGTGGATATACTGGTCTTCCTCCAATATAAAACTGAAAAAGTAAAATAAATATTTAGAAAATTATTAAATTAATATTTAATAATATTAATTTAAAAAAAAAATTGAAATATAAATAATTATTAAACTAAAAGAAAATACCTGTACTGGTGGATATCGATAGTCGTATACAGGAGTGTAACTATAAACTGGATAATTAGGATAACCATTTGGATAAGTAGCAGCGGGAAATGGTTTAATTCCAGTGTTTATCTGAAAATATTATTTTTTTTTTTTTTGTAAAAAATGCATTTAGACTTAAATATAACTTTTTACGAATTTAATAATTCAGAAAAAGTTATTTCATTACATTAGAATTATTAGCGTAATTTTCTATATCAAATATATAATAGTGTATTAAAAAAAGAGTTTTAATTACCCTGTAGCTATCATAATAGGCATATGGTGTATAAGGTTGTTGCATTGGTGGAAAACGAAAAAATTGAGGCTGATATATTCCATAAGTTGACGTAACTGGAGTGCAAGTTACACCCAACATAAGAAAAAAAGCGATGATCTTAAATTTCTATAAATAAGACATTAATTTTTTTTTTTTAATAAATTAAATAATAAAATATATTTTTTTTTCTCAAATGGTAGAAAAAAATACTACTTTAAAAACTAAAATATTGAATTTGCAATAAAAATGCATTTTAGTCTATTATTATTTATTTAACATAAAATATTTTCTAATTTACTAATAGAAAAAATTCTTGCAATATAATATTTATATATGGATATGGAATATATAATGTTTTTATTTGCAAATCTTGCGCAAGAAAATAAAAAAGAGGATTCATTAGTGTTAATTGGACAAATTGATATATTTGATTTTTAATAAAAAAATTGTATATTTTACACAAATCTTTGTCAATTTCATATTATTTCGATAATAATGATTATTATATCGCCAATTAATGTTACAATAATATTGTAATATTTTTATTATTACAAATGATTATATAAAGAGCGCACATTCTTTTTCCTTTGCAAAAACTCATATATAATACAGAGATGATATATATTTTATAATATTAACGTAATTAAATTTTCCTGTTGTAAGAAATAATTTTTTGTTTTCTTAACCTTGGTAGAGATTTAAATAATAATTTGCACTCTTAAAACTGTGCTTTAATACTATTTTTCTATTTCTATTTGTTTGTAATTGAAATTTTATAAATACCATCAATTAAAATGTAGAAGTCAGTTTGCAAAGTGTAAATGAAATTTATGGATTAAAAGTATAGGTTGTAATGTATAAATTTTTTTAAGCAATTATAACAATTTTTTTGTATGTATATTTATTATTTTTCATATACATAATAATTATTCTCTTTTCTAATTAATATTTTTTTGTTGTCTTAACAAAAGAGTTAAATAAATTTAATTTTTTTTTTTTAATTTCATTCGAAACAAAAATAATTTTAATCAAAATATTGATGAGACAGGTAAAAATTTAGGATTTATAAAAAATAAGATTTGGAAACTGATAGAAATTGACAAAGATTGGATTATATTTGCATCAAAAAAAGAAAATAAATTAAAAAAAAAAAATTTATGTAGATAAAAAATAAATATTTTTTTTTCTAATTTATAATTTGCAAATAATTCTATAATAGATATTTTTAAATTCAATTTCTATACTATAATTTTGATGGGATATGGATTTATTTACTTAATTTATTTGAAAATTTGTAAAATAATATAACGGTAATTTAATGGTATTTTTTTTTTTTTTTTTTTTATTGAACTCACGTCCATGGTGACAGCTTTCGCATAGAATCAGACAACGTGCACTAAACTGTGAGTTTTAGCGTTATTCACCACTTATATATGTTTACCGTGGAATCAAAATCCCCACCAGAAATTATAGTACACAATTTTTCTTTGCTAGAAGTGTTTATTTTTTCACTTAAAATTGAAAAAAAGAACAATTATATAATATTTTAAACTTTAAAAATTAAAAGAAAATTCTTTTTTAACTCCATTATTAAATATTAATGCAAACTCATAATTTATCAAATTAAAAAAAAATCAAATTAAAATCAAATTAATCAAATCAAATTAAAAATAAACATTGATAAAATGATACAAAATTTATAAATTAAAAAAAAGGGTTTAAATAAATATACATTGTTCTCCAAAAATACGTTTCCTAGTGTGTTAAATTAAAAAATTATTTTTTTTTGTTCACGCAATTTTTTGTTTGCAAATCAATTATGTTTTGTTATTAACTGAGAGGAATTTTAAAGTGCAAATATATAGTTTCTGTGTAATAAGAGATTTATATATGTTTAACGTGATTATAAGAAATTATTGAGAAAAAGAGAATAAATCTGACACAGTCACTCAAGTTGAAGGTGGTGTAAAAAAATATTCATCAAAGAGATGAACGGATGTTATTTAAAGACATTAAATAAGCAGTTATAATACATAATATATTAACCGGTTAGCATTGACGAAATTCAAGATTAGATCAAAAATAAAGGGCGTGGCTCGATTTTTTTTTTGCCATAATTCAAATTTGCATTTTGAATACTTGATTGACAAAATATAATACCAACTTTCATATAGCATCGAAAACTCGAAAGTAGTTCATTAGTTAGAAATTTATTAAATGTTTGCAATAAAAATCATTTATCAAATTGTTTAATAGCATACAATTTTGTCTATACTGATTTATCATAATCGACTAATTAATAATCAAAATTTTTGTTTGTTTCAGATTTTTCTTTCAATCAACTAAGATAAAACAATTTATAATTAACAAAACAACTTCATGCAGCACAATTTTTAATGAGTCTCGGACAATTTACTGCCTGTTTATTTTAAATTCTCCTAAATATTAATAAAATGTTCGACGTGGAAAACGAGTGCAAGGACAAAAAATCTAGTGAGAATAATAATTGGTAGTTACTTTTCTTATATTATTATAATTTCCAAGTTTTATTTATTTCTAGTGTCATTATAACGTCCTTTATCGTTAATTTTTATTTTCCATGAGAAATTTACGTTTATTTGAATTTGATTGCAAAATATAATTTACATAAAGTAATTTTAAAAATTATAGAAAGTAGATGAGGAAAACAATAATTTTTATCTAAATATCGAAGTTTAATTTAAGAAATATTTAAATTTTATTTTTACTTAAAGAATAATTATTTACTTATTAAATCTTAGTCTGAAAAACTTCATTTGAAGTGTATCAGGCAAGAAAATGCAAAAAAAAAAAAAAACGATTTTGAAATTAAAAATCTCATATAATCCCAAATTTATTTAATGGATTTAATTATTATTTTCATTTATTTGCAAAAATATTGCAATTGCGCTCAGAGTTTAATTTTCAATGCAATTTTCGTTGCATATATATATATATATATTTCTAAAATCGATAACGGTAAAGTTCGTAAGGTGTCGAGAAAATTCGTGAAAGTTCGCACTACTTCCAATCAATCTGCAACCAGTTATCGTGTTTGTCAACAATACTCAAGCATCTTCTTACTCACGAATCCAGTATATCACAATATCAAATTAGAAACACGAAAGTCGTGTTTGCAAAGTCATTTTATCCATCACGCGTGTATATATTTATTTTCGCGAATTAATGTCAGTTGTCATTTGTTCTTTTTCACTCATAATTGAATTGTCACAAGTTTATTTGAATTTTTTAAACTTAATATTACATATTTTTATTTAAAATTTTTAGTGAAATTAGAAACAAAAAATATTCGTTACAAGAAATGACCTTAAAGTTGACTTCATTTCCAGGTAAAAATGTGTAAAAAAAAAAAATTAATTTTTTTGTATTGTTTTTGAAAATTTTTTTATTATTCACATTTAATTTGTCTGTTTACAAGTTTTATAACAAAAATTTTAATGTAAAATTTAAATAGACAAAATTTGTTTAAACTTTAATTATTCCATTTAAATAAATATTTGGTCAATTTTTTATTTAAAGAAAGAATTTGGTTGCGTTAACTAAATTTTTGTTTGATCCTGATGAAGCAACCAAAGTTTTATTTATTTGGTTAATTAAATTAAATAATTAAAATGAATTTTTTTTAAGTTATAGTTGATGCAACTAGAGTTTTGTTTAGAAAACAAAATTAGAATTAAGATTTAAATAAAAAAAATTACTTGCTAGTTGTGGTAACTTCACGCTTGGAGATTAGACGTTTTACACGTTTTATAAAACATTGGCGCAGGTTTTGATATATTTCCATCTGTCACGATAGGGTTGAGATTATAGAGTAAAAGACGTGAAGATTATAGATAAGTTTGAATTACTGCATATTGAAGCAATAAAAAATGAGTTTCACAATAATAGTTTAATTTCCTCTCAGCAAAGATGTTTAACTTTTTTTTTTCTGCAATATATGTTAATTTTCATAAATTTAAAATTAACTTCCCTTACGTGAAAAATTATTTATTAATTATAAAATTTATTAATTTTTAATAAATAAATATACTTCTATATTTTTCTTATAAAAAAAAGAGTTTAAATAATATAAAACGATATGTATTTTTGGCAGAGGACCAATTTTAGAAGTGCTAATTTTCCAAAAAAAAAATGGGTATATAATTTTCTAAGTTATTTAACATAATAATTTTGCGATATGACATAAAGTTTAGTTTAGTTACTTTTGTAAGAAATATTAATTTGACGTAAATTTTGAATATGTCAGAAGCGATTTCATTTTTTGACAAATGTCCAAAGAATAATAATGAAAAACGTTTGCACGATATTAAGAGAGATAACGCGTTCTCTCTATTTCAAATATTAATCCGGGAAGATTTTTGAATTTAAATAATTTTAATAAACGGGAAGTACATTTGCATATTTTGGCTGGGTTCGCTATTTTTTACTGACGTTACACGTTATCATAATTATTATTTTAATATTTATATTAAATAGAAATTTATATCCTATAAAAAATAATTTTGATGAATTAATTTAATTTCTAAAGATTTCTTCTCTTTATTATCAGTTTTATATTTTAGTGAGCGAAAATAATTCTAAATTTTATAATAAATTTTGCCAGATCCTATTACAAATTTAAGATTTTCACTTCCTGGATCTATAAGTATTATTGTAACAATTTTATTATGTATAGATATAAATTTAATTTACCATCTTCTATGAAAAAATGAAATTTTTATTTTAAAAATCTTTAATATAAATATTTACCTTTTTTACATAATTATAACTAATAATAATAATTTATTCTTTACAATTTGTAACTCTTTGTTTCAAATACAAATTGTTATTTAAAGCAGGTAAATAGGATTTTTTTTTTCATCCAAAGAAATAAAACATTTGTTTGAAATAAAAATTTTTTCGTTTTTACAATTAAAATTTTATTGATTTTTGTCAAATAATTGTTATATTTTTAATAAAGTGGTAAAGAGTATAGTGAAAGAAACGATTTTCGGAAAGCCCGCCCCATTTATAAATAGTGGGGCCGCGTGCGTGCGTACTTGGGATTTAAACATAGTTTTTTGGCAGCGGGAAACGTCAAACCGTCAAGGAGTGGCAAAGCGCGTGGTTTCTTGTCACATTAATAAGCACAAAATTTTTTCCTAAAGCTGTAAAATCATTTTCTTTTATTCCATTGTCATTTATATATAGGTACAGAATATTAAAGTTTTCCTTAAATTTCATCGTTTTCTTTATTACAAAACAAAAATTAGTTTAGGCAATAATTCAATTTTATTCTATTTTGTCAGAAAATGTAGCCGGACTTTTTTTTTATATAATCCGCAAAAAATAATTTTTGTAAATAAAGTGAATCTCTTTTTTTTACTTTATATAATCAGTGATAAGAAGTGAATTTTATTTAAAAAAAAAGAAAACATGTGAAAATTACAAAGAAAACGGAGAAAAATAATAATAAACTCTTTTTTTCAAATTAAAAATATATATATATTAAAAACTTATTTAAAAAAACTGATTTTTATTTAATAATTATTAATCGTTGATTATAAATTTAATGAAAATATGGAGCCATGTAAGATGAATTTAATAAATGAGAGGCAAAACAGACTGAAATTGTGTAATGATAGGGAAAATAAAGAAAATTGGCTTCCATTACTGGATGAGGATGAGTAATTAATTATTCATAAAAATTTTAATAAGAGTGATGCTTGAACATGAAAATGCATTTTGTAATTGTAATATAATTTTATAGCTATATGACACAGCAGAGGATAAATTTTTTTTTATTAACCAAAGATTTTTAATTTACGCTGTTAAAAAAAGCCAATAACTGCTTATTGATAATAATTTGGTTTATGTGAAATAGTAATATTTTTTTTATCCCATATACAGATTTTCCTTTCACATATGTATTTATACAATAATTAACATTTAATGTAATTAAAAAGTGTATATTTTTTTTTAATTTACAGTGTAATGTCACCAAACAATAAAATTACGGATGAAGCAGTAATTGATGTTTTATTGGAAAAATTAAGGGATATTGCAATCAATAAAGAATCCACAGATACGTTAAGATCGATCACAGCAAAAATTCATGGACGTCTCACATCTTCTGGTAAATTTTTTATTTATATTATTTAAAAATTAAAAAATTAAAAAATTAAATTAAATTTAAAAATTTACAAATATTTCGTATAGTAATATTTCATGATTTTAATTAGTGATTTATGGAAATATTATTACAAGTAGTTGAAATCGTGTGAGATTATTAGTCACTGAAATATGAATGTAATTACAAACTTTTTCACTTATTTAAAGTAACAAAAAACAGTAATTTTCTTTTTTTTAATCATTATTAATGTTTCAAAATAATTTTTTTACTATTTAGACATATTTTAAAAAAACTTTAAATTTATTTTTAGACAAACGTATTAACTTAAATAGTTTTGTTCGTTAATCGCTAAAGCTTGCACGATTAAGCAGCTCACCGCAAAGCAGTGTTTTAGATGTAATCGTGCAAACTTTACCATTTTCAGATCGATTACCTTCAAAAATTGCATTAAAAAACTTTTTAACTAAAAGAAGAATTTTTTAATTTAATAATAATATTTTATTTATTTATAATAATTTTTTATATATGAAATATTGTTTCATTATCTAATATAATAATTAAGTTTGAATTTTTAATATATTAAATAAATTTTATTAATTTTATTTGCAAATTTTATAATGTAAACAAATATGGGCAAACTTATTTTGTAATAAGAATGGTATAAATTACTTCGGAGACAAGATAATGGATGGCACACGAATGTAGCGTCAAATTAGCTGTAGTTTCAAATGTCCAATTTCTAGTAATTATTTTGCCAAGATTTGTTTTTATTTTATTCAAAATTCTTTTGCTTTATATGTTTAAAATAAAAAAAATTTCTTATTAAAATGCAAATTTAAAAAGTTATGAAAAAAAATTGTTTATTTAATGATTAGAATAATTTTTGATTTTATCAAAATTCATAATTTTGGGGAAACAAATACATTTTTTACTTTCTTTTTTCTTAAGATCTTGTAAATCGCGTGAATATTGTTTTTCATGAATTTTGGCAAAATTCACTAGAATTTGTTCAATTTTCCCACTACTGGCAGGTTCATGACTTTAGAATCGATTTGATCTGTCAACTTTAAAATACGAACTGCATTACTTTGCCAAAAGTATGTGAATCTTATCTTTGTTCTCTATCTGGACAAAGTTCTTATATTTCAAGTTCGAGGTTTACTAAAATATTTATATATTTGTTCTAAGTTAAAAACTGAAAAAATATTTTGTCACTAATTGTTAAAAATTAAATTTTTATTCTCTTTATATTTTAAAATGATTTTTTATTACAATATATATGATTAATTAAATATTCTGATTTTTTTTAGATCGTAAAACACGGGAGCGAATGCTTGAGAAATTATGGAAAAAAAATTCCGGATCGATGGGAATTCTCCTGGCATCACTTGAGGTAATAATAATTTTTATAAGTATTTGATAAAATTTTATTCTATTTTTAATAATTGATTAAAAAAAATTTGTAATGTAAATTTGTTATTTTCACTGAGTATTCGAAATACAACTAATTTAATCAGTAATTAATTATATGTAATCAATTAATATTAATGGAATTGTTGAAATAATTAAAGTGATAATAAATCTGAAGAAAATGCCAAAATGTTTGTGCGAAAAATTTGTCCGCTATTCAAATAAATTAAATTTTAAGAAAAATAGAAAACGTTCCAAGAATGATTGTGTACACTTCTTTTGTACTTATAAATAAAAATTGCGGAAATTGTTTTTTGAAATTTTCTCAGTAATCTCGCCAACAAAAAAGAGAAAAAAAAAAAAAATTCAAAAAATATATTTTTTAATTTGAAATTTATATTTTAATTTGCAAAATATGATGTCAAGGCTCGTAAATGTGAGAGCATTGAACTGATTCTAAAAATACATTAGTCTTTTAGTCTGAATGTGATTTCCACGTTTCACTATAAAGTTTTTGCTGCAAATTTAATTAGGACACTTGCCCTATTTAATTAAAGGATCGACCTTGAGGTAAAAGGAATCTAATTTCAATAAGCGAGAAGGATTAATAATAATAATTCACATAATTTTAGCACTTTATATTGTTTTTTTTTTTTTTTGTTTTAATAAGGTAGAAGAGATTTTTTTCGACTTTTGGAAATTGGATTTATTTCCTATCAGTCGTAGGATTTAAAATCTTTTTGGTTCAATGTACGCGATTTTTTGGCACTCGAAACTTATGATAATCCTTGAAGAGAAAGAGTGTAATTTATCCGTTCCAATTTCCGGTTGGTTTCGTATTGTTGCAGGCACGAAACCTAGAAATATCATTTATTACGTCAGAATAGTGCGACATGAATCCAGATTTGTTGGCCTACCAACTGCGTCAATAATAGATCTAACATAATAACTGCGCTTCTTCTATACTTTTTCAGATTTTATTACAGTATAAAAATTTCTTATCGTTAATTTAAAAAAATAGCCGAAAATGATTATTTAAATTTTTTGTTTAGAATTGTAAAGACAACATTACCAATTGCACATTGGTTGGGATTCTTCGTGAATGTATATCGCCAAAAATTCCAAAGACAAAGGCAAAGGCATCAAAAAGCAAAAATGATTTACGTGAGAAAGAGAAATTTAACATTTATTTTGAAAACTTTGTCATCATTAGTGATAAATTTATATTTATTTTTTTAACAAACTTTTTTAGGAGCAAATAGCAGGTTGGCGCTTAGTAAGTTGATAAATTTGGGTGGCACAGAAGTTTTGATAAAACATTTAATAAATTCACAACATGCGGACCCTGTAATGATTGAAGTACTTGTCCAAGAGGTGCTCTGGTTATTAGGTCAGGTAATATATTTTCCCTTTTTTTCCTTCTTTAATAAATTAATTTTAAAAATCGATAATTTTTTTTTTTAAAATGCTTAAAAATAATTTTAAAAAATAGATAGAAAGTTAACCGTGATTATTTTACAGATTCAAAAAAATATTCGTTTCCTTGAAAAAAAAATTGAATTTAAACGGAAATTATTAGTCTTCTAAGAAAGTTAAATTTAATTTAATTCAAATTGTGTTTCACACAAATTATTAACAAAAGTGTAGAAGCGCAAGTTTTGCGATTTTTTTTTTTTATCGAAAGCTATTATTATATTGAAATTGGCGTGATTTAAGGTTGAGATATTACCTTGAAATGTTCAAACTACTAGATTATTGTTTCTATGAAATTCATACTCTTGTACAGATTGCCCAGAAGGATAAAAATTTTGCTATGAAGGTGAAGAATCTTAATTCCTTGAAGCTCTTCCATAATTTGTTGAAGCAACATTTTAATCAAAACAAAACACTATTGCCTCTGTTGTTGATTTTCAAAAATTTATCAAAAAATTGTAAGTTTTTGTAAATTAATATTGTTATTATTAATTTATAATTATTTGTTAAGTATTATTTATAAATTAAACATTTTTTTACAGGTATTTCTCAACAATTTTTGCTGAGAGACGGTGTTGTTCATACTTTAGAGAAAACTTTTGTTTATCTCGGTTATTCACCCCATTTGAAACTTGGAACATTAATGGATTGTTTTAAATATTTTAGCGCGAGCAGTAAGTAGGAAATTAAAAAAAATTGTATTCTTTGTTTTAAATTTATAAACTATTAAAATATTTTTTATAGAACTCTGCTGTACAAAGTTTATAAAAATTGGAATTGTTCATCTGCTGATGCGTTTATTTGAAAGATGGGAAAGATTTGATGGACAACTCAGACTGAAAATTTGCAACAGTGCTCTTAGTACTCTCCAGCATCTTTGTGTTCTAAGTAAATATATATATATATTTTAAAAATAATTTATTATAATTAATTATGAAATTAATTAATTTCATAGATACTGGAAAAAAAGCGATTAAGGCAAATGGAGGCTTGCAACTTCTTTATAGATTTTGTACAAATTTTCCGGATAACAAAATATATGATTCGCTTTTATCGAGAGTTTGCGACATCATCAATCAATGCCTTGAGAAAAGAGAACTTCCAGTTTCAAAAATTTCACCTGCCAGGTAAATTAAATTAAATTTCTCGATTAAATAATTTAATAGTGGAATGAATTAAAATATTTGTTTATAAAAAAAAAAAAATGTTTAATAGATTTATATTGCCTGGAACAAATGTGAAAACTTACAGTGTGGACAGTATTAGTGACGCCGATAGTCAGGTGAGAATGAACATTTACAATATTTTTTTTTATAAAATGAGAAACAAAAAACCAATTTTTTTGTTTTGAAATCAGGTCTTAGGCTCTTACAGTGATGTAGAATCTGGAGAAGAAGAAGACAGTCATGTCTTTAGAAATTTGCGAGATCCCAAATCTGATGACATTGACGAAAATAAATTTTTTGCCGGTGTTATTACATCACAGAGGTCTGAAGAAGATCTCCTTGGGTAAATAAATAAATGAATTCCTATTTCAGTTTCTTTATTAGTCATAAATATTGACGGTGGGATCTATTTTAAAATTTTATCTCCTAGTTATATGAGGGACTGACTTAAAAAAAAACGCTATCAATTTTTTATTTTTAAGGAAAGAATAATTTAATTTCGAAATTCTATTAGAAAATAAGATATTCTTTAGTAAATGAAATAATATATTTTTTTAATTTTCAGTTACAATGTCTTTTTCAAAGAATTAGGAAGCTTAAAAAATCAGTTATCAATTGGAAAAATTTGTGCAAATCAAGAAATTGAGGTACTTCATCTTCCAAATGACAAACAGTGTTCGAAATTCGTGAAATTGGACAAGCATAGAAATTCCATGGAATCAATGAAACCTTTCTCTTCAAAATCGTCGAATTTAAATTCATCTTTTGTTGTAAATGAATTGAAATCTTTAGATGCTTTATCTGCAAATGCAACCGATCAATATGCATATTGTGCAATAGCCAGTAAAGTGAAAAGTATAATAAAATTTGTCAAAGTTGCCTATCCGGATCTACTTGGTGGTGATGGTTTAGGAAAATTAGAACCTCTTAACAGCAAAGACAGAAGAGTTTGTAGATCTAAACTTCTGATTTCCGTGGATCGTGGTCTTCATCCAGGAAATATTTTACATGAAACAGTTTACGATCTTGATGCCCTAACTGCCAATAATCATTCCAATCAATCAATAGACAAACTTCTTTCAAATTGGGATGAACTTCGTGTTGGTAAACGTCACAATGACATTAAACATTTAATGTTTGAATCAAGATTTGAGAGTGGAAATCTGAGAAAAGCAATACAGGTATCAAATTTAATTTGAATTTTTATTATTTTTTGTAAATTAATTATTGTGAAAATTATAGATTGGACCAAAAGAGTATGATTTGATTTTGACACCGGATGTAAATAGCGGATCGAGACATCAATGGTTTTACTTTGAAGTCTCTAATATGGAGGACAATACATTTTATACTTTTAATATAATTAATTGTGAAAAGGCTAATTCACAGTTTAATTTTGGAATGAAACCAATTCTCTTTAGTGTTATTGAGGCACAACGTGGAAGAGCCGGTTGGATTCGAACTGGAGCTGATATTTGTTACTATAGAAATTGTTATCAAAGACCAGGAAAGGGAAAAAATTATTTAACAACATCATTTTCTGTTGATTTTCCTCATGCCAATGATGTTTGTTACCTGGCGTATCATTTTCCATACACCTATAGTCAATTGATAAGCAACATTTGGAAATGGACGAGAACAATAGCATCTGCCAAAATTTATTTTAGAGTAGAAAATCTTTGTGATAGTCTCAATGGTAATGAAAATCCCCTATTAACTATAACTGCGCCAAATTCCACCAATAGTCCCATTCAGGTATTATTTCCATTCTTGATATAAATTAACTAAATGAAAATTTTTAATTATGTAACTAAAATTTATTTGCATTTTCAGTGTTATTATTTTAATAATTATTATTTTAAATATTAATTTAATATTAATTTTTAGAATCGGAAGATAATATTTCTTACATCGAGAGTTCATCCTGGCGAAAGTAACGCATCGTGGTTGATGAAGGGAACGTTAGAAGCTCTTTTGGAGGATTCACAATTCGCCAATAGTCTCAGGGAGAATTATGTGTTCAAAATTGTGCCAATGCTTAATATTGAGGGAGTTATCAACGGTTGGTGAGTACTTAATTTAATCTAGTTAAATTTTATATGGTTTCGTTGAGAAAATTCCCATTAAAAATGTATCTATTCCTTTATTAATGATCAATCATACAAATTATTCATTCATGTCCGTTGAATTAAAAAAAAAATACTTAAAAGTTAGAAAACCTCTTTGAGACGAAATGGATTTTTTTTGCAAAAAGTCTTTTTTCACATTTCGCGAACGTTTCTTGTTTTTTTCTTGTAAAATTGTATCAATATAAAGAATGTGTGGCGCGTGCGGACCCCCACATTTTATTAGATTTCGAATTCTAATAATCTATATAATTATTAAAGTTTAATACTTCGAAACGCTTTCATAAAAACTAATGTCTACAATTTACTTACAATTCACAAGCAAGTAATACAAAATAAAATGAACGAATGAATCAAATTATAATATGAACATTCGTGTCCGTCGACGCCACCCGGTTTATTTCTGATTTCGCGACACTGAATTTTGAATTCTTTTAAATTAAACGCTAGGCAATTTATAATACAAAAAAAAAGAGACTTAATTTCTGGTTTAGATACGAGATTTACGACTAAACATTCAGAATTGTAAATTTTTTTTTTACTCAAAGTAATCTCTCTAGCGTGAATGTGATGAACTTTTTTTTTTTTGAAGCCAATCTCGCTCTCCAAGACATTTTTAGGCACCACTAACGTCTTTTTCTTGAATGAATGAGTGGAAATTGATATTGATTGACGATGATCACGAGCCAGTTGATAGGTTTAGGATACTAAATAATGGAATATAAAAAAAGACTAGACATTAGTGGTACCATATGAGCAACTTGCTTAATTGTTGTAATTTGTTTTTCAAAGGTTTCTCATTTGAGAATAAAAACGCTGAGTTGCTGTCTGGAAAACTCGAAATGATGATGAAATGATGAAATGATGACAATGATGATAAATTAGATTACTTGGACGGAGGATTTAATACTTTGCCGTTGTTGCGCACTTTTATTGCGTACCTATAGCCGGTTTCCGCATCTGGGAGAATGGTACTGGAGTCTTCTTCTTGATCTTTCACTGATGTCACCAATTCGCCTTGATCTGATTGAATTGCCTGATCCGATTGATAGTCTTGCATTGAATTATAGGGCCCAACTGTGTGCGGATCTAATAGAGAATTATTTGGCAATTCAGTTTCGGCATTATCGTAATCCGTTGATTCCTCGCGATGTTCCACATTTAAAATGGGACTTGGTCGCGAGAGTGAGCGAACCTCATGTGTTTCGAGTCCATCGAAGGCGGAATCCTTTTGTACTTGTGATGGAGTATTTGAGAAGAGGCTGGTAATATCGGGAATATGATCGGGTCTTGTATTCTTCTCGAGGATCATTGGACTGGTGTTACCGCGTACTTGATTGTTATTGATGGTGTGATGTCGTGGAACAGCGGGAAGAGCTGATGAAATTCTATTAATAGGATTATCCTCGTGTGATCTTTTGGGCGATGATGTCGCCGAAGAAGAGGCTCGTTGCTCATCGTCATGATTTAATTGTTTTGTGTGTTGATCATCCTCCTGATGGGTTACGGTAGGCGCGGCGGTGCTAGCGATGTAGGGCTTACGATTTCTGAAATCAAACATCCGGACAAACCCTCCTAAAGGGTGATCGAACAAAGGGATTCGAGAACTTCGATCGGGTCAATTAGCGATTTTGCCAACAAATTTTATAAATTTTCTGCGCGTATTGGTCGAAGTTTTTTTTTAGTAATCGCTTATTTAACATGATCGATGATCTCTTTTTTGCCTTTTTTTGCCAGTGTCAAAGTGTTAGTTTGTTAACTAATATGACAAACGCTACTCGAAAACCTACTATATCTAATTACTGAAATCAATAGAAACGTTGATTAGTTGAAATTCTTTGTATCGTAGAGTTTTGTGATAGTGTAGCAATTTTTTTTGGAAAAATGGTTCCAATTATTTTTTTTATGTAAAGTTCGTGTAGTGTTAGATCCAAATCAAAAATAATTACTTATTAAATCAAACCTTTGTTATCTACGTTATGTTAAATATTTCATTACTTCTATTCTCCATTTGCCCTTAATGAGAAGCTGTAAAATACCTGTAACCAATTATCTAAAAAGAATAATAGACAAAAAAATAGCATATCGGAAATAAATTCACAAAAATGATAGTTGTAGAAGAATTTCTAATTAAAGAAAATATGAGAAATTTTAGATAATTCTTTTGAGAATAATAAATCAGATATGCTTTTTTTTATATTAACGACTCATCAAAAATCGCTGATTCTAACAAAAGCTACCCCGTTTTGTGTGTATTGTAACTAATTATCTCACCTCTTACCCCTGTGTCGCCGATACTGGAATACTGCCATAATTGTAGTAGTAGCATCGCGTCTGTTCGCAGATAAAGTCTTTGACAAAAGAGCAATCTTGTGCCATCCATTCTAAGTTTGGTTTTGTCATGGCAACACAGCTGTCTGAACTTCCAATGTTACCACTGAAATTTAAAGAAAAAAGAAAATTTTATTCGACACAGAGTATAAATATATATAAACCTAGACATCTTTAAGTCATTAGCATAGCTCTGTTACGGTGTCACGTACGATCACACACTTCCGGATGAGTTGGCACGTTAATCGAATGCCGAAGGTCCTGTTGCGATTGTACGTGACCAGGAGAGGCTGTGGAATTTTTAATTTACTTTTTCTTTCGAAATAAGTCAATATCATTCTCCTGATTGCTTAGGGTTACTAAAATTCTTCTTCTTCTTCAAAAAAAAATTCTCGAATGAGAAAAATATCCCAACTCTTGTAAATCCAATTTAAAAATTTTATTAGAAGGAAAATTATAAAAAAAGTTGAATTTTTTTTTTTTTTGTTTGGAAAATTTTGAATACCTGTTTTTAAAAGTTGAATGAAGTGGATGAGTAAATGAATTTTCTTTTGTTATATACCTCTCACGGGCTACCCTTTGTGGTTCGGTGCCAGGTGGAACTTCAATTGGTATGCTTCCTGATTGTTCTGTAATGTAGCTGAAACTTGCGTTGAAAGGAATACCAGTACTCATCCATAAGAACATATTTGTTCCTATTTTATTTCCAGATGTCCAAAAATCGTAATTTGTATAGCCGGCATTTTTTAAATATTCCGTCATTGTATCTGCCTTTTCTTTTGTCTCAAATGATACTAATTGAAGTCCCAATGATCGACAATATTGATATGCCAAAAAATAATTCAATTCAGGACTGTAGGGATTCATTCGCGACACAAAATATTGCACGCCATCTAACTGGATTGTTGTAATTCTTTGAGCTAAAAAAAAGGAAAAAAAAAATTAACATTAGAACATAATTTATTTAAATACAATTTTTAATTTATATTTGAAATTTAATTTAATTCAAAAAAAAGCATCTATCTTCTGCATATTAAAATTTTTATTCTACAGTTCATTAATATTTCTGTTTGCTATAAAGGTCTTCATGGCCATTCGCATCGTCATTCTCAATTACTTAACGGTTTGCATAAGATACTTTTTTAATCGTTTAGGTCAATGATCTTCAAATTGTCCTAAATTTTATTGTTTGCATTTTCATTTTGAAAAAAAAAATTTAATTTGAAAATTATTTTTTTATTTAATTTTTAAAGAAAGAATTAAATGATTTATGTTCATTATTTGCGTGATGTAGTTCTTTGTCTATAAGTTATTTTACAATTCATTCACAATGTATTGAATGTAAGCGTAGTGCAAGAAAATAACAGGTTCACTGAACTATGTTGACAATTTAGTATAGTTGTAGTAAAATTAATGGGCTTTCAGAGACTAAGGGCTACTCACTTGTTGAAAGAGTGTTACAATAAATCTTTTTAGAACATAAAAGTCATCATATTTTTTTATAAAAATGGTTTTTATTTATAAAAATAATTTTTCATTTTTGGAAAAAGAAAACAAAATTATAGTTTAAAAATATTTTTTTGTATTTTATAAAACAATGTATTTCGATTAAATTATGGGGATTATTAAATGTGGTTTTAATGACGAAATATGCATAATCACCGAAGGGCAAAAACAGAAATAAAGACTTTTGAATAAATTTATAATTTAAGTGCGCGAGCGTTTAAAGATAGAAACAACTAGGGAATTTAACTGCCACCGCATAAATTTTAAGTGCAGCAAAGAGCCTATTATCTTAAAGCGAGAGAGTTTAAAGCTTTGAAAGCGAATAATTAGACGTGTGTGTGTGTGGGGGTAAGATTTCCCAAGGGGTAGTGTTTCGTGTAGTGCCTGGAGGGAAAAAATTTTTAGATCTTGAAACTGGCAATGCAGGTGGTAAACGACCTGAAGACCTTGAGACGTCTGCCAGTGTTGGCCGCGATGCAACTTAGTGCTTTAACTATAGGCTTCTTCTCTCAATACAAGCCTTTTGAATCGTGTGTGTGTGTGTGTCAAAAGATCTTTGACGAAGGTGCAATAAAGAAAAGATGAGGAACAAAAAAAAAAAAAAAAAAAATTAAATAACTTCAGTTTAAAGTTAATTAAAGAAGGCCCTTTTCAAACGATTATCTTACTAATTTTCAATCTGAAATGAATCACCTCTTTAATATATTATAAACAGAATACCTGTTATTTAAATACATGTAGATACATATCTTTATAAAGAGGATTTAAAAAGATATTTTTAACCCTTCGTCACTCTTCACGTTTCGTAATTTCCAATTATTTAAAATTATTATCAAATTGAAAAATATTTATTTACAATAAAAATATATTTTTTACATTGTATAAATATAAAAAAAAAATAATTATTATTATTTTAGAATATTATTAGTGACTTATTTTTTAATTTTTATTATATTATTTTTTTAATAGTTAAACATGGAAAGTATTATATAACGAAAAATTTCAAGTTATTATTTATTTAGAAGAGAAACTGCTTTATTTTTGAAAAAAAAATTTCTTGGGAACAAAATAGTAAAAATTGAAAAAATATATACTTAATGCACCTCTTTTCACTTTCATTTGGATATTTAAAATGTCCTTAATTAAATATAGGATCAAAGTAAACAGAATTTATCTTGATTTTTTTTTTAATTTTACATTATTTTATAGATACAATAGAAAACAATCTTAAAAATATTCCAATTTATTTATTTTTTTCATTCAGTTACTCTTTTATAAATTGTTATTTATCAATGATAAATTTGAACTCTTCATTTATATTTTTAAAAATTCAAACCAATTTAGAAACATTCCAAGCAAGAAGCAATATAAGCTATTTTTAGAATTACTTCTGCTTATAAGATCACTTGAAATGATTTTTATATTTATTGAATGATTATCATTTTTCAGACCGACAATTTAAGAATTAACCGATTCACTTGACAGAGAAAGAGAGAGAAAGAGAGAGAGAGAGAGGCTGTATTTTATCTTAGAGAAAGCAAAGCAAAGCACTGTTTATATCACTTTGTGCTGATGATGAGTTCACAAATAATGTTCTAATTTTTTTTTTTTTTTTTTTTTTTTATTAATTTGAAGTAACTGAGCCGAAAAAAACGAACGTAGCACACCAACCTGAGGCGAAGGCCGCAACAGCAATGAGCAGCAAGACAATCTTCATTATTTTTATTTTATTTTTTCTTTTTTTTTTTTTTTTTTTTTTTTTATTTGTACGTAATCGAGTTAATTCGTTTCCGTTTCCGTCTCTCGAAATATACCGGATGTTAATGTTAGGGTCGCGTTCTCGAACTGGCCTCGCGCCGCGTCGAGGGCCCCCTTAAGAGTCTTCTGCCCAGACCCTACAGAGAGGGGGATATTGTGAAGATGATTCACTGCATTGCCTAGAGGAAGATAACAAATGATAATACCCTCTTCGAAGAAAGGGATGCATGATACTCGAAATCGACTCTTATATACAACTAATATTTTATTTTCTTCGACTTAAGCTTTTTCATAAAATACAAATGCAATCTTTAATCTTTATATTTTATCTTTAAAAGATGAAAAGGCATTCCGAAGTAATATGGATATGTAAATCGCATAATAGGAATTTAAATAATATAATTGATGGAAAAATTGATTCTACTCATTCTTTATGCGTACAATATAAATAAATTTGTATTTTTTTTGAGTATATACAACTCGCCGGTGATTATCTTAATGGAAAATTAAAAACAGTATCAAGGTGGCTACTATTTTTAGAATTTTTGTCTCCCGGTAAAAATGAGCGATTTCTCCCGATTTTTAAGTTACAATTTAACTGATTTTTTTCTTTTTAATTTTTCATCAAGCCATATTTATGAAATATGAATTTTTCAGGGTTTCTACAAATCGTGGAAAGCATGGATATAATGGAATTTAGTTTTGGATTATGGAATCATGGAAATCTCATGAAATTTTTTTCAATTTTTTGTATCTGGAAATTTCATCATTTTTCAATTGGAAATAATAGAAAAAAAAACTCATGGAATTTCGCGAAGAGGAATTTGTAGAAACCCTGTTTTTTATTTTTCAATTCTCATAACTTTTCGGAATTTTTTCAAAATTTTCCAAAATTTTTCTATTTTATAAAAATATTTCCATTTTTTTTTTTTTTTTTGTACTACGTACTTTTATGTATTTTGTTTTTAAACAAATTCTGAAAATATTGAAAAAATCGTGTTCTCACGAGACCAGGCTCAAAAATTTTTTTTGAAAAGAAGTTTTTTTTGAAAATTGAAAAAAAGAAATCGAAGAATACAATTTTAATGTTTAAATTACAAAAAAAAATAGTAAATTTTAATTGTATAAATTTTTGCATGAAATTTTTGAAAAGTTCAATTAAAAACACATGTAAAAAAAATTTTTGAATTGATTTATAAGGAAGTTATGAGTATTCCAAAATAGAAAATCATTAAAATTCTTCAATTTTAAAAAATTCATATCTCGTTCAAAATAACTTGATGAATAAATCTCGCGGTGTAAAATTTCAATCCCAGTTTTTCTGCCGATTGTATATAAATTGAAAAATCATTTTCTTTGTTTCAATATTGGTTGATTCGTTATGTATAAGACTTTGTAATACTGACAGAACAGGTATTAGAATTTTTTTATTCTGTAAACACATTTCCAATTATTACGATCATCAATATGAAATTTATTGATTTTGAATATCTGTTTACTTACAGTATAAGCAGATTCCTCAATTTTTATATATACGATCTCTCCAAAGAAGTTTATTTTACAAAATTGATTTTAGGTAGGCCAATTACTATTTTTTCTCCCCCCTTTTAATAATAAAATTCTTTTATAAATGACCATCTAAATTTAAACGTTATTTCTATTTTCAACTGTAAACAGATTGACGTTCCCTTGATTTGTTTTTTTACTCATTGGAGAATATACGGTGTTGTTGGCAAAAAAGGGTAGTTGCTATAAGCTACTCAAGGTAGGCTTCATTTCTGATTGCAACAGAAAGCCGGTACCACCTGCTGTATGTATGTATTTTCGATTCTGATTTTTCTACTTTTCACAATCTCTTGACTGGATGGATCGTACCGGTTACGAATGAAACCGATACCGGCTCGACGGGAAGCCGACTCTTGCTCTTTCTATTTTTAACCCTTTCTCTTTCTTTCCTTTCCTTCCGATCGCGATCGGATCCAACACGCACGATAGCAACATACCATCATTGAAAGCGTACACGTAATTATTCACGTAATACGATCTTAATTTCAAGGGTACTGACACTATTAATCGTTGCGTTGGTTCCGAAAAATATATAAGAAACTATTTTAAGAATCTTTGAGGGGGGTTGGGGATGCAGAGGGGAAGTTGCCCTTCCAGTTTTTGATGCGTTGAGGGAGCAAGATTCGTGTTTTGCCTTTTAGAAAAAAAAAAAAAAAAAATTTTTTTTCATTTCTACGTCCGCAGGAGTCGACTAGTTGCAATATACTAAGAAATACTAGTTATAATCTAGAAATTTTCAAATATTTACCGAATTATATTTATTTACCAGAATTGCTACGATTTCTCTCGAACAAAATTCCAGAACTTTTACACATTTTTCCATAAAAGAATGGTTTAAATAAAAATAGTTATTAATTATACAAAATTCATTAAAATACAGTAAAATTTATTTTAAAAATTAATTTTATTTTTTTTCAGGTGTTTTATATTCTTTTTTCCATACTAAATAAAATTCTCTGACTTTTCCAGGTTTTCCAGATTTCCAGAAAGCGTATAGCAATCCTGAATTACATTTTTAGAATAATGAATTGAAAACATTTCAAGAATCGTAAATTTTACTAATTCGATGGTAATATTTATTGGAAGTAGAGAAAAATTTACTAAACTAAATTTTGAATATATATTTTTTTTTCCTACAATTATTTTTTAATGTGTAGTAAAAATTCGATTATATTTGTTAGGAGCAACAAATTGCTATTGTATATATATAATAATATATATATTATTTTGGAACGCATGAATAAGTTCTAAAAAAATTTTTTTTTTACAATTATAATTTTATAGAATATATTATTCTATAGAATATTAATTTTGCAAGAATATTTATTTATTCGAATATTAATGTTTTAGAAAATGCAAATCGATAATCGAATTTTTATTTAGACGAATATTAATTTTACCTGAAAATTCAATTTAATCGAAATTTTGTCTTGTAGAAAAATTAAATATTAATTTTAGCAAAAATTAATATTCTTTTAAATTAAAATTCTGCAAAATTAATATTTAACAAAATAAAATTGCGAACAAATTGAGAATCGATTAAATTAATTTTCGTCTGAATAAAAAATTCTGTCAAATTGATTTTCGACCACTGACATTTTCTAAAACATTAATGATCAAATAAATAAATATTCTAGAAAATTAATATTCTAAAGAATAAAATTCTATTTAAATTGTAATTGTAAAAAAATTTTATTTTAGTAACATGATGCGTCTCATTAATTTCTATATCTCAATTTAGAAAATGATTTCTTTTTATTGCTTTGACATAATGACCTTCAACTAGATCGGTTCAACCTCGAGAGCAGGTAAACGAATCTTGACATGATCCCGTGGGAATGCTAAGATATGGCATTACCCTTGGTCAAGTCTCTCTTTTTTGAAGAGAAGAAGCTACTCCCTACGATCCTGGATAAACAGGCTGTTCTCCTGCATCTTTTTTTTCGATCTGTTTCTTCGCTTCTTCTCTGTCTCCCCTTCAGTTATATACACTCTTTTACTCCTCTCTTGCGGAGTAAAGGAGGAGGAGAAGGAGGGCTAGGAGAACAACTTCTCTCGTTTCGCTTTTTTGCAAAATAAAAGCAAAAAAGGTTTTGCTCTCGCGGAGAGCCTCTTTACGAGGGGGATGGTGGTGGATTCGCAACGAGGTCTATTTCAGGACTTGCTATGCGGCTGATCGCTATATACTATATGTAAGACCCTATACACATTTATGCCACAACAATAACAACAACATCACATGTAGATTGAGAAAGGCTTAAGGGGAGGAAAATCGAAATTAATATTGTTAAGGGGTGTCAATTTTTTTTTCTGACATTATTTGAGATTTAAAATTATTCTAAATTATCAAAATTAAAAAAAAAAATTCATTTTAGAAAATATTAAAATTTTTAAAAATCCATAGGAAAAATTTGATAACTTTTTTTTTTTATAAACATACTTTGAAAATAGTCGATTTTAAAATTAACATAAAATTAAATTGCATTTCTATTAAATATTTTTGATGACTTGTCTCTCCTCACAATCAGATGCATTTATCCTAAATGCTTTTTTTTTTTTTTTATTTTCTTTTTGGTATGAATAAAATGTTGATTTGAAAATTTCATTGAGTGGTCTTAAATGTTCTTGGATACATCAGGTTCAACTCATCTTCACTTGGTCTCGTGCACTATTTATAGAACAACTGCGGAAATTCATTTAAAATACCTGTTTGATTCGCCTATTAAATTCCCATTCAATCGTTCAGTCACCCTTGAGTTGATACAAGCATATAAGAAATTGTTTTTCTACTTTTTCCCTCGCTCTGACAGTTTAATAATTTTCTTTTGCATATATTAAAATGTAAATACCTGGACTTGGAATAGGGGAATTTTATTTTTTTTTTAGTCAATACAGTTGAAGATTTTGTGTTGAGTGTTTGCAATTTGACTGTATTCCCAATATATTTTCACATAAAAATTGATGATGATCATTATAACAAGTTTTAAAAGTTTAAGTTGAGAATTCGTATAATTGGACTTCTTTTGCAAATGGAATCGTATTCTCATGGGGGATTATTTTAAAGTATATATTTCTCTTGAATTAGGAATTTTTCTTTTATGTACAATATTTAAAACTTTAAATATAAAAAAAAATATAAAATTTTGCAAAATATTCTAAAAGAAATACTTAATCATCGCAATAAATTTATGCATCTATCGTTTAGTAATATAAAAGGAAATGATAATTAATTTGAATTTACATTACACTAAGTGTAAAATGTGAATAGAATAATTCACTAAGAAAATTAAAATTAATTTCTCCGATTTGGAATTTTTTTTTTGATAAAATACTGAATGATACCTCACTTCCTATAATGATTACCTTGTGATGAAGGTATATTTCTGTAAAGATATACCTCTCTGGAGAAAATAACCTCCCTTGTAATAATGCTCGCCTGACTGTATACACGAGAGCCACACAAGGGGTCATTTTTCTGGCCTCTTCTATATTAGTCAAGGAAAATTATAGTGAAATTTTTCAAAATGAAAATGACGTTGACTTATGATAATGATTATTTTTAATAACCACTTTTGCTTTTAAGAAAAATATACAAACTTAAAATAGTGGGGATTTTTAAAAAAAAATATATTCACACAAATTTTATAAAGAAATTTTTATGTAATTTAATTATAGAAATTTTTAAGTTACAGGTATAACATCAATTGGAATTTTTGAAACAGAAAAGATTTTTACGATACTACTTTTAGAAAAGCATTCTTGAAGGGGAACCTTTTTTGATGGAAGAGATGTGTAGACAAGAATTTCTATCTAATCGCAATTTTTAAAGGCCATAAAATTATATATTTCAAAAGGGATTTTTTTTTTTGTATTCGATATATTTTTTTTCCATTCATTTTGGTTTTTGGAGTCGAAAAAAAAAGAAAATGTTTTCTATGACTAGCCAATAGAGAAAAGGTTGTGGCAATAAAGTTTTTTAGTATTTTGTAACTCTAATGGAAATCTAGGAATTGGATATTGAAGTTCTAGGACAGTATAGAGAAGGGGTTGAAGAATGATGTGGACCCCCGTATTTCGAACAAAGCAACAACAAATGTTGGTAATAAAATTTCGCGGAAGAAACGCGCGCGCGAGAACCCGAGAAAGGGAATGCTCTCGGTGCCCATGCCCCCAAGGATTTTGCTTTACGATCACAAGAAATGTCTACGCTTTTTCACGCGGCCGCTCCTCCACACCAGCTTCTTCTTCTTTTTTTTCTTTTTTCCTTTTTTTTTTTTTTCTTTATTTCTCTTCTGCTATTCCAAGAAGCGGACCGCTAGTCGCGGTTTAACTAACGAAGTGGCCATTGTAAAAGCCAGTAATTTACTGCACCTAAATCTTGATCCTAGCGAAACTATATATATATACAAGGTCAAGGAGTTTAGCTATCCTCCGGCTCTAATATCTTGTGTTTCAGAAATTCTACAATACATTTTTAATATATATATATATAAAAAAAATTATTTCGATCGTTATTTATTTATTATTTTTAAATAAAATTAATATTATTTATTTTTACAGGGTTGCTACGCTTTTTAGATAAATGGAAAACATGGAAAAGTCAGGGAATTTTATTTAGTAGGAAAAAAAGGATAAAACACCTCGAAAAAAAATTAAATCATAAAATTCATGTGATTCTTCTTGATTGAGCTAAAATTATCCATACTTTTATGGAGTATGAAAAAATATCATAAGTTCTGGAAAAGTCATGGAATTTTGTTCGAGAGAAATTTTAGCATATTAATTCAAAAATTAATTTCTTTTTTTCAGAAATTAAAAATATCCGGAAATTTTTTATATTAATAATGCACATTTGATTTTTAAATTGTCGAGCAAAGAAAAACATTGAATGTGAAATATTTTAATTTGTAAATAAGTTTTTTGACGATAGAAATTCCTTAAAGGAAGAAATTTTTTTTTTTTTGTTGTTTAACTGGTTTTTATGATGTTTAAATTTTTCAAAATGAAATTATCATTCTCTCCACGCAGCATCACATATAGTAAATATATATAAATGACTCACGCGGGAAAACCTCACACCTTGTAAAAAAGTAACTTTAACTTCTTTTGAAACAACTGACAATATATATATATATATATAAGTGTAGGTACATATGAGTATATTCAGACTCATTGTGTTACAAGGGAACTATTCAAATTTATCTTTGCAATGCTTATCTCAAATATATGTAAACATTTTATTGTACAGGGTGATTTTTATGATCCGGATCCTCTAAAAAAAAAATTTTTTTTCGTTTTTTAAACAAAGATAATGGAATTTTAAAAAAAATTCTTTAGGAAGATAAAAATCACAGGGGGGATGTTATTAGAAAAAAAAATTAAATTAATAAATTTTAGGATTTAGAAAAAAATTTTCTCAAATGGAATGTTGCATGCATTTTGAAGTGTCGATTACATCGGGAAACGTAATCAGTACCTGCTTCTCTTGATTCAAGACCCAAACCGCGATAAATTACAGTTGTGGTTTCTAACCCTTAGTGTCAAAAGACGCATGATCCAAGTTCCTTTGCAGTAAAGAATGATGATTTATTCTATGAAGTTCATGTAACTTATATATGATTTATAAATAAAATTACATTTACTCTTTTTTTTTAAAATTCGAAAATTTGGATTTCTTTTCCGAATTGGAAAAAAACTTTGAATTTTCATTATTCTAAAATAATGAAAATTAACTAAGTTTAGAATATTTCGATTTAAATCAAGAGTACTGTAAGGAGTTCAAAAAAAAATTTTATTTTTAATTTTTATATATAGGTATGTATATGCAATTTCTCAATGTGACTTGGCGGTCAAGGCTCCTTCATGAGAGTCATTGACATCACAGTAGAATGCACTTACAAGAGACTGATGTTGTTCATTTACAACGAATGTTGAAAAAAAAAAATAGTTCATTGACAAAATGATTTTCAACTTTTGTCTGTTTTTATCAAACTCATCGTTCAAACTAGATTATTATTTTTTTTTTTTTTTGCTCTAAACAAGATTCCCTAATGTTCGAATCTTTCATCAATCGAATCGATTCATCAATTTTTTTTTTCTCCCGATTCATTTCAGCAGATCATCCTTATTCAACTTTTTTTTTTCTCACTTTTCTTCATTTTTATCTTTTCCAATTAACTCCAACTGGTTTCTATCTATTCTTCGATCAATTCCTATTTCTTATATTTATATCCGCATATATAAATTAAATTTCTAAATCTGAAACAATTTTAATGAATTTATATAAAATTATACTAATTCAAATTAGGTGAATTTTTTTTACTAAAATGAGAAAGAATTTTTTTTTCCATGTTATCGAAAAATGAGAGAATGATTTAAATTGTTGAATCCAGAACGTTGAATCAGCGTTGCAACATTCTACTACCCTACTATTGCTATGCACGACGCAAAAGCGTCATTTCCTGCGACTTGACTTCCGGCCGCCGGAAACGTCCTTCCAACTATACCTGAATCGTTAAATGATTAAATGACAGCTATCCGTTTATTCTTCACCTTGAGATAAAAGGACCAATTTCTATTTCTCTCGAGACAGAAGAGGGAGAGGCTATTTTCTTATTATTATTATATGAGTGATTACACGAAATGGTTGTTACCATACAAAACCTATGTTTAAATTCTACATTTTTTAAGTAACTGACATATTACATAGCAATCCCTTTTGAATCAAGAGAGGATATATTAGATTTCAAACAACTCAAGGGAATTGCCAAGAAATTATAGCTTAGAATCTTCTCTTCTTCTTCTTCTTTCAAAGAAGAAATGTTCAAGTACCGACTTCTACGTAAACATAAAAAATTTATATTTCTTTTAGTGTGAATCATTTTTTTTTTTTCAGAAAAAATATTTTCCCAATGGGGATTTTTCTTTTAATAGAAAATTTTTATTATAAAATATTAAAAAAAAAAAATATTTGTTTTTATTTTTTTAGTAATCGTTATGGTTTGACAAATGAAGATCTCAATAGACGTTGGAGTAATCCCGATTCAAATTTGCATCCAACAATTTATCATACAAAAGGATTGATGGAATATTGTGCGAGAGTATTGTTTCGGCCACCACATGTATTTGTCGACTATCATGGACATTCACGTAGGAAAAACATATTTCTTTTCGGTTGCTCAAGGTCTGGATCCTGGAGTGCCGTCGACAGAGCGAAACCGGATCAACCGGTACACTATTTGGTGAGCTATACAATTTATAAAAATGATCAATTGAATTCTATTATTTCTTCATATTATTATATACAAAAAAAAAAGTTAATATTCTCATCAAATTTTATTTCAATTCATTTGTGATCAATTTTGGAAATTTATAATAAAAAAAAAAAAATCAATTAATAATTTACCATAGATGCTGCCGTACTTGATGCAAAAAATTTCTCCAGCTTTTGCATTATCTTTGTGCTCATTTAAAGTGGAGAGACATAAAGAATCGACAGCAAGAGTGGCCATTTGGCGACAATTAGGAGTAACAAGGTAAAAATAGAAAAAAATATTTTTAAGATATTTTAATGATAAAGAAGAGATAAAATACTGTTTTTTTTCAATTTTTTGAAGGAGCTACACAATGGAAAGTAGTTTTTGTGGCTGTGATCAAGGACCATTGGCGGGTTTTCATTTGGATACAAAAAATTTGAGAGATATTGGTAAAGAATTTTGCCAAGCGCTGTTCTTGATGAAGGACAATAATCAAGATTGGTCCTTTGAAAAGTATGTATTAGACAAATTTCAATTTCAATTAATAATTTAATAATCAATTTTAATTTTTAAAAAAGAACCGTTTTATCAAATAATTAGGAACTTTATAACAGATATACAAAAACACACTTTTTTTTTACAAATTAATTAAAGATAATTAATTAATAATAATAATTAAAGAATATTGTAATTCCTTTTTTCATGAAGAAACATTGCACGAATGTCCGAGGATCGACACTGTTGCCCGTTAAAATGTATTTTGAAAAAATCAAAGCAGTTCCATAAATGTATTCAGGATAAACATGCAAAACAACACATTTTAGGGATCCCTTAGTGTTTATTCGTCAAGTAAATTATAGCTTGATTAATTAGGTACTGGCAAACAAGAGCTTAGTTTAACACACCAGAAACTAAAAAAAAAACTGCTTTTTAATAATTTTTCAAACTAACAATAATCTACTCTTGACTCACAATTTTTTACTATTTAATATTTTTTTTTTTTTAATTTAAACATGTTTCACTCATTAAATATTAATATTTAGTTAGAAAATAAAAAAGGTTCTCGAATTTAAGCTGACATTTAAAAAACAAAATTCTAATTTAATAAATTATAACATTATTAATGAATTTAAAAAAATATGTTTTAAATTTTGGATTAAAGTAAAATTACCTAGTACGCTTCTATTTTTTTTAAATAACATATTTTTATCGTATATTATAATGAAATAATAATATATTTTCTGATTTTATTGACGATGTTTTTCTCAAATTTTTTTCAAGGATTCCTATGGGAGAAACTGTAATTGAAGAAAGAGGCTGTATAGATGATGATGATGAATCTTCTATTTTAGAATCGGAAGAATCAGACTTTGATGATTAAATTTTCTAAATTTCTAGTAATTTTCACTTTTAAAAGTTAGAGCATCTATAAAAGAAGTTTATATGTTACAAGACGATTTTTTATTACATATATTATATATCTATGAGAACCATTGATTGTAAGTTTTACAATATTAAATGAATTCCATTAAAATAGAATAGATTAAATCTATTAGTGTTTAATTTATAATGATAAATAATTATCTACATTAATCTGTGATTGAATAAGGACTTTAACTAACAATTCCGAATTTCATTGAGGAAAAAAAGGTTAAAAGTCTAAATTAAAAAATAGTGAAAATTATAATCAACGTTTTAAAAAGTTTTAAAAATAATATTGTTTAAAACCAAAATCTTCATGTTGATAACAATAAAATGTGAAAATTCGCAATTATTTTTGTGGAATTATGTAAATGGTTCCCGCTTACATCGGATTTTTCCGATCCCCTTGAAATCCGTTATACGTGCGGGTTTCACTGTATTCCATTTAGATTTCACGTTAAATAAAAACTTTATTTCAAAAAAGAATCACTAGGATGTAAACGCATGAATAATTACGATTAAAATAATTATTGATATTTATTTAATAACTTCTTCTGTAAAAATACTATTTTAAACTCTTATCCAAAGAATTTACAAAGTCAAATAATAATTCACTAAATTATTTAAATACAAACATATAACGCATTTATATTTTCATATATAATACTTTCTTTTTTTGATATTCAATTAATTCCATTAAATTGTATTACTAATATACAAATCAGTATTATAAATTTAGTTTAAAGTTATTGTCGGAAATATAAAAATTTTTAATTCAGATATATGTTGGTACTTAATAATGAAAAAATAAAAAAAACAAACTATTTTGTCATGTGAAATAGAATCATATTGATTCTGGACCGCCAGCGATCTAAAGAAGAAAATTTATCTTAATGTAAGATTTTTTTTTATCAAATGTCGGTACTACATGAATATTACAAATTCTTTTCTAGACTCTTATTTTCTTCCATTTGGTCTTCAGTTTTAAAAAGAAATAGAAAAAATTCTCTTTGTTTTCAATTACACACACTTTATAGTGTGGTAAATTTCACTAAACATGTCATTGTTATTGATAATTTAATCATTACTTTAATAATTATCTAAAAGAAAAACAAATAATTATAGCAGTACAAATGTACCTTGTTCTAATTAATTACTTTAGATAATCAAATTTTCTAATGACAAATACAAACTATAAAAGTAAAAAACAGATTTTTAAATTTTGCCTCAATTCCATTATGTAAACCTAAAGTATACTATACTTTTCGTTCAACCTTACAATAAACTATTACATATATTATATTTAGTTATTACATTTAATTTGACTATTTAAAAATCAAATATTAATTTATTTTAACTAAATAATAATTATTTTTGGTTAAAATAAATACTTATTTGATTTTTTTTCACCTGTTGTGCCTGCAACTAATTTTTCTTTCATATAATAAAAAAATGTTTATTTCTCCAACGAATATGCAAATAAATTGGTCGTTTTCAAAAACTAAATATTTATCACTATATATATATGTATATTGAAGAATGAACAGTATTACATTCTTTTCTATTTTTTTTTTAAACCAACAAAACTTAATATCAATTTTTTTTTAATATATGTATATAGGAAAATTATTTTCGAGCATATGTGACGAAAATGTAAAAGTTTTTAGTAAGGTTGTTGAAATTTTTTAGTTTGAATTTTGATTTGCTCGTAAGTCACCCAGAGAACGATGTTCCAAGAAACGAAACGTGCAAAACTCGGTACGAAACCTTTATAAAATGCTTGTGGACCCTCATTGATAAACATTCGACTTGCAGCATCTAGTGCACTTTTATATTCACCCGGTGCACTATTCATGTAACGTGTTTTAACAACATCAACTGGACTTGCTGCAATTGTGGTACATAAACCAGCAGCAACTGCTGCTGCTAAATGACATGGAATACCATCTCGCATTAATCCATTATTTAAAATTAAGTCCTTTATCACGTCGTAGCAAACAATTTCGGCGACGTTTACAATAACATTTCTTGAGACATTGGGACCCGTTCCTGTTTCAATAAAAGAGATTTTTAATATTCTATTTTCTTTTTCAAAATTTTATTATCTAAAAATTTTAATTTATTAAACGTGTCATACCTTTCCATAATCCTCGAACACCTTCTTTAACAGCAATATTTTTGTAAGCTTCGAGAGTTGATTTATATCTTACAGTGGATTTTCCATTATTTCCAGCTTGAAGTCGAATTTTCACTACATCAGTTGGTTGTGCAATTAAAACAGCTAAAGCTCCAGTTGTGATTCCAGATGCTATTCGTGTGAATATATTCACAGAATTACCTGACAAAAAATAAATATAATCCAATGAAAATAACAATTTTTTTTTTTTTTAATTCAAATAATAATTTAATTTACTGATTTGAAAAATAATAATTTTTTATTAATGAAATTGAATTGAAAAAAAATTTATTTTATAAAATCAGTAAACTTTTTAAGTGAGTAAAATTTGTTTTTTTTCAGAAAATAAATTATTCTTAATAATATTCTTCAATAAAAATTTTTATCAAGCCTTTTTTTCCACTTGTGTGAAGAAAGTTTAGAATTTCATTTCACAATAGTCTCTAAAAGAACTGCATATTTGTGGAAATTTGAGCAATTTTTTTTTTTTTTTTTTTGGCAGTACCGTTGGTAGATCCAGCATAGAAGTTCTTCACATTGTCATATAGGCCCAATCTGACACTTGCAAAACACATCTGTCTTTGGAGTCCCGCTGAAAGTCCTCCATACAAGCTCCTGAAGTTTCAAATATATCCCCTCACAATTTAGGAAAATGTCCTTTGGCACATTTTCTTTTGTTCTATTTTTTTTACCTCAACCTTATTTTTAATTTTTTTTTTTTTCAGAAATACCTTTTTTTTCTCATTAAAATTTTCATTTAATAATATAACTTTTTCTTTTATATTTACATCAAATTTATAATATATTTAAAAAAAACAGAAAATAAGTAAAGAATTTAAAAAAAGGTTTCTTATTCTCTTAATTTTATGATAATTTAGTAAAAAAAAAAAGAGTATTCAACCCACCATTACATTGATTAAAATATGAAAAGTAATGAAAACTCACCTTACACCTTCGACTCTCACGATGTTTGTTAATGTTTGCAGTAAACCTGGTTGGGCAGTTCGAATTGCCATCACTGAACCCTCTGGGGATGCCATAAGCATTGCTGCACGTCCTTCACCAGCGATCTTAATTATAATAAAAAATTGTTAGAAATTAATAATAATTAAAAACATTTTTTACAATGTTTTTACAAACTATTAAAAAGTACTTTAGATTGACAACAAAATTAAATTTTATTAATAAAAATAGAATTATATTTATTATAAGGGTGATTCTCTCAAAAAGAACAAATTATTTGTGCACAATTTTTGTTAAAAAATAATAACATTAATTTCAATTAATAAACATTCTCCCAGCCATAAGATAAAATTCAACAAATTTTTATGGGATCACTAAAGAAAATTTCAAAAAAATGGCAAACAACTGAATTATTGAATGAAAACTAGTGTTAAAACTCCATTCCGTAACATCAGTTTTTATTCAATATTTCAGTTATTTTACCTTTTTTTAAAATTTTCTTTAGTGGTCCGATTGAAAATTGTTAAATCCTAACGTATGGCTGACAGAATTTTAAATAATTTCAATTAATTTTCATATTTTTTAACAAAATATCTTAAAAGCGTAATTTGTCCTTTTTGAGAGAATCACCCATAATTATAAAATCATAAATAAATTGTATAGTTTGGGTTTTCAGATAAGAAAAATAATTATATACCTGCATACGAACTTTGGTCGTGTCTAAAGGAAACGTTACCAAATCTGCAAAACAAGCAGCGGTCCCTGCTGTTAATAGCTTAACAGCAAGGGGTGTATTGTCTGCTTGCACTTCCATCTTCATTTTAATCTTTTGGGAAAATATTTTTATGGGCTTCACAAATTTGATTTTAAATGATTTTTAAATATCTTCAGAAGAGGAATTAGTGATAAATTATTATTATTATTATTATTATTATTATTACTATCCTCTGATGTGAATGTTTTGTTTCTTCATTCACAAAATAAATTATACACACAAAAATTTCGATTTTGTACACTATTTACAAGTCCTTTGATTAGGACAAATTATGATATTTCAAAGAATCATGAAGTATTTAAAAATTATTTTCTCTAAAATGATCTGGGAAAACGTAGAGCCCTCCTGCCCGCAGGCATTCGTCTTTATCTTCCTCTTGATGAATTTCCTTAATCATACTCTTCTGTAACAAAGAAAAATTTTCGTTTACATTTTATTTGTAGTACCAAAAAAAAAAAACAGAGAGAAAATCTGTTAATTGAAAAAAAAATTGTTTAACTCGAATTAAAAAGAAAAAAAAATCATTTTTAAAAATTTCTATTATATTTCATTTTTAAAATATTTTTTATTGCAAATTTATATAAGATCCTAACTTGTTGTTATTTTATAAACAATTGTTTAAATTGGCATCTATTTTTTTCATCGTAAATAAAATCTAAATTCAAAAATAAACAAAAACATTACTAATATTATGTCTAAAGATATTATTTTCAATGACGCGGAAAAATTGTATTTAGTTATCAGTATAGTTATTTAACTATCCTTTTGACATATGTTATCTCCAGACGTCACGTGCATTTTGCTTTATCACCAGATTTTAAATTCACACGACTTAAAAAAAATTACTATTTAATTAAATATTTTATATATAGGTATATATGCAAAATTTTTAATTTTATACAAAAATGTACAAATTAAAAAGTATAAAAAATTTCTTTTGTAGTTAAAAATTTTTTTCAATAAAAAATTTACAAAATTAAGTATGACGTCAGTTTAAATAGTTATATTTAATTAAAAGTTGTGAGACAAAGAAGAGAATATGGTTTAGGATACAGTTTAAAAATAGGCTGGAATTTTGCCAAATAGAATATCTTTGCGAAAGCCACAGTTTTCCAATATTCTCAATCAGTTCAAGTTAAAGTTCAATTACATTTCAATTTCTTTAAGGAATTTATCTACTTTTTTTTTATCATACAGGTAATTTTTACAAAATATTAATATATTATAAATTAAAAATATTTTTCAATTTTCTTTAGATAAAAAATTTTTTTCATTTAAATTAAAAGAACCCAAATTTACAAAATTCTATTTAATGAAAAATAAAAAAAATTTCTTTTTATTTCAAATAAAATAAAATTTCGAAATATTATTATAAAAAAAAAAAAATTTGATTTGTTTAACGGGTTACAAATATTGTAAACAATAATAGAAATAAAATATCAAAATAGACATGAGTTTTGATGAAACAGCGAAAATTTTGTTTGGGTACAAAGATCACTGTCAAGTAAGACATCTCATTCAAAAAGTATATAGTTGTTTTGCAAGAACAAAGTCCAAAGCCAAGTGTCTTTGTATATACATATACATCACCTCTCACTTTTCTTACAAGTCATTTTTCAATTTTCCTCTATATATAACAGTAAAAGGTTTTTTTTTATGCACTTATTTTTGAAATAACTCCAAATTGTGCGAGCAAATCAGCCATCTCGTTTAGAAAATAAAATTATTAAATAAAAATAAAATTTTTAATATCATTACTATTATTTTATTATTTATATCTGAAAAAATATATTTTTAATTTTCCAAAAAATTATATGATTCACTAATATTTCCCAATAACATTTCCCAAAAAGATTGAAAGATGATGTAAGTGGGTCATGAAATATAGTCATTGGTCAAAAATAGATTTATAATCACAATTAATCGAAATATTAATAGTAAACTAAAATATTACAAAATCGATTAATTATCATGAAATTTTTCTAAACGACATTTTGTAAACAAAATAATAACAAAGCAAAGTTGTTAAAATGAAAATTTTTTCTCTATTGAAAAATGTCCTTCAAATAAAATAATTGTAGAACCAATAATTTAAAAAAAAAATACAACTTGTAATAATTAATGGAAATTTTCTATAAAAAATAAAGTATAAACAAAGAAACTAGAAGATATTTCTTTTGTTCACGCGCAGCTGTTCTGCCTCAAGACAGAAAATATTGATCACAAGTCCCCATATAAAATATAATGTTCTAGATTTTTAAATATTTTTACATAAATTTTTTTTTAAATTACGAATATTTGTCATAAAAAACAGGAAATACGCGCACATTTCAAATATTTGAACTTTAACATAATATTAAACATTTTGGAGTCAATTGAATGCAATGCACTTTTGTATAATAATGAAGTTTGTTTTTCATTTTCCTACTAATAGAATTTTACAAGAATAATAAAATAATAAAAGAAATAAATTTCATCAAATATTTTAAACAAAAATTAAAAAAAAATTAAATTTTGTTTATATAAAATTGTTATAAATTATTAATTTATTTTAAATAATTTTGTTTTATTTAAATTTGAGTATTTTTTGTTAGAAATAAATAATAAATAATTCATTTCATTTATGTTAGAAATATTGAAAAATAGTAAAAGAAAAATTTAGTAAGGACTTACCAAGTATTCAGGAGCTCAGTAACTACACAACTGTAATGCTTTTTGCTTCCACCGGTCTCGTGTTAACGCACCCAATAGAATACGGTCGAAGGTTGCTTGGTGTTCAGCCAATGACGTTTTAGAACGTCACTTTTGGGGTAAATTATAGGGAAAGAAGCTTCACTTTTAGGTATACCTATTAAAGATCGATCAGAAAAATTATTGTTTTGTATTATATGAATAGGAAAAATTTCCAATACTTTTATGTTAAGGTTGTATTGTCAAAATTTTCCATTATAATAGAAAATGTGAATATAAGTTGGAAAATTCCACTGACCAACCCTTATTGCCTCATGTACTGCTAAATCACTAAATATACCAATCCAATTATCAATCTGATAATAGCAAAGGTTGTTACGCAAGAAGAAGGTTTTAATTTTTAATTATTTTTTTCTTTGCAAATGAAATAGAGCTATTTTTAATAGTTGATAGTTTATTGATGTCTAAGTACAGTTTTTTTTTTTTTTTTTATTAAGAAAATTTATTAATCCTTTATTTCTGTATATTAAAATCCGGAAATAATAATAAATTATACAAATTAGATTAAATTAAAACCATAATTATTAAATAAAAAAAAATATATATATTGTTTATTTAAATACACAAATCACCATTTCAAATGATTATAAATAGTTGTTTTTTCATTAAACTGAATTAATTATACTCTCATGCAAATTATTATTATTAATTATAAACTTTTTCATTTTATCAAAATAAAATATTTTATCTTTTTTTAAAATAATTCTAATTTAGTGAAATTTGGTAGAATTTTACTAACTGAAATTATGTTGACCATAAAAAAAAAATGAAGGATATCGATATTGAAAATAAATGTTAACCAGTTACGCATAAACGACCTTCGCACTGTTATTAATTAGATCTTTCTTTGTGCATATAAAAGACGATGACCTTCAATCTTTGCGTCTCATTGAAATGGTGTCTGTATTATTTGATTGACAATTGTTTCAACCCAATAGACTTTGTACATTGTACTTAAAATCATCAATTTAGAAATTAATAACTGTTATTTAAAAAAAAAAAGAAGCCTTTGGGAAATTGAACCCGCGATCTCTACATTATTAACGCGACCCACTAATAATTTATTATTTTTTTTAAATAATACATTATGTTTGTTATACAGAGACTCAAAACATGTATGTCTTCGAGCTGAATTGAATTTTTCAAATCAAAATTTTTATTTTGTTCTGAAACAAATATAAAATTCCCTTAAATACACCATCGAATTACAAATATTTTACATATTAAAGTTTTTTTTTATTTCAATCATAAAAAGTGATTTTGTTTTGAAGAAATGAGTTTAAAACATTCAAATAAGGTTAAATGAAGTCATATTCTTGTCTTAAGTCAAATGGAATGTCCTTTCTATCCAAAGTGCATCCTAATGATTCTTTAATAAATGTGCAATTTTGAATTAGAATTCTGTAAATAAAGTAACTATCATTTTACTTTTATGAGCAAAATTCATAAAATAAATGTAATTCGGTTTTTTTCTAAGTATGTTGAAAATTAATATTATTGAAATAAAATAATATAAGTTTAATTTTATTCCTTTAGTGGTAGATTATTTATCTAATACTGAAAATGAATAAATTTTTAAATTCAATTAACAAAAACTAAATTTATGAAAACAATTAATGAATTTTTAATATGAAAAGAAAATTTTTTATATTACATGTCATTGATCGCGTCTTCAGGTATCACTTTAGCTACTTTACGATATTCTTTTATTAACGTTTTTGGACACTGCATCTCTGTCCAACTTACTGGTATCATTGAAACACCTGGTACAAATAATATTAAATTAATTTGAAGCATATTTTTTTATTATTTCTTAAAAGATTAACAAAAAAAAATGTACCTTCTTCACTGTGAGCTATAACAACACCCAGTTCATTTTCTGATGTACTGAGTTGATAATTATGTGCTTCCGTCATTGGTAACTAAATATTCGATAAGGAATTTTTTTAATAAAATTTAAATATTTAAAATTTTTTTTACTTAAAAAATTAGAAAAATAATTCCTTTTTCTTATAAATTCGAAAATTACTGTAAAAAAATAATTTTTGGTAAAAATTAAAAAAATTGAAGAAACAACATATTAAAGGATACAACTCGTGCTAAAATGATGTCGCCAGGTCGAAATGATTTGTACATTTCGATTTTATCCTTTTCAGTTGCTCTTACATCGTCTCGACGTAAAACTCCCCGATAAGGTCTTGTCAGAACTACATCACCTATACATTTTATTGTACATTTACACATTCTTTGATTGACAACTGTTATCATTGCTGTCACAATATCACCAGGTGCAGGAACAATACTTTGCTCCATTACCGTATGCACTTCTATTCTGTTTATCTAATTAATATAAATACAAATATTAATATATACATGATATAAATATAAAAATATTTATATTATTTAATATTATTATATATAATATTAAGTTATAATTTAATTTCTCACTGAATTACAGATGATAATTATACTCACTTCCTTTTCTTTAATTACTTTAACAAATCCAGCTAATTTTGAATAAATATAACCAAGCTGTTCATATGTTCCTGAACCAGGTAAATTTCCCTTATCAGCTACAGATAATCTTTGCCCTGAAATAAAAAATTATAATTTAATTTACGAAATTTAATAATCTCATTTTTTGAAATTTAAGGTTATGTTGTACAAGAGAAAAAATAAACTATTTTTTCTAATGATAAGTAGTTATAGTATTAAAATTAAATACTAACCAGGTACACAAATAATCTCTGGTATTTCTAGCATTTTCTTTATTTTTATTTATTTGTATCCCTTTTTATTAAAATTAAAAAGATTTCCACATTCACTGAAAGCACATTGAGTTTATGTTTGGTTATGTTGCTCGGAGAGCGCTTTAAGGAGCAAAAATATAGCTGAATCGTGACTGGAGTACCCTAAAGCAGATCTTGCAATTCAGCGCGAAATTTGAATAATCATTGAAATGAAGAAAAAAAAGTAAATAAGTAAAATGTTTTAAGATTGTTGTAAAACGTTTCTTTTTATTAATTTTTATCTTTTTAATCACGAGGCATGAACGGAATATTTTGGCAATATTTTAATAAATATAAAATCAAGTAATGTAATAATAATATCCACAATAGCATGTATATATAATTTATAAAAGCTGTCGAAGCAATAACATTTGGCAAAGAAGCATCAATTTTTTTTATCTCTTATAATTTTTTTCCAATATCCATATTGAAAACAATAATTTTTTTTTTTTAATATCATTCACTTCAATTTGCGATGATAACGTCTTACCATTAAATTTGAAGCAAAACTTTTAACGATAAAAAATGAGTTTTTTCAAATTTATAATTTTATAATTAGCTGTATATAGATTATAAGCAAATATTTATCACATCTAGAATATAATTACATTATTACTGCAAAAGTAACAGAAATATTATATTATATTACCTCTGTAAAGTTTGTGATTAACAATTAATTAATTTTTCTATTCATATGGCATATATATATATAACAAAAAATGTAATTAATTTGTTAATTAATTACATAATAAATGTTAAAAGAAAAATAATAAACATTTAGTCTCACTGCAAAAGTATTATATCACATCTACAGATAAAATTTTCAGGACGTGTTTTTTTTTTTTTATGAATTTCGTATGAAAATTTTTTACTGAAAGTAATTTTTCGGACGTTTACTTTATTTTCTTGAATGAAAGAAACAATTTTTTCCCCCACTTGGCACTCGCTTTCTAAAATTTGTTAAATTAGCTAAATTTGATTTAATTAAATTTCATATAGCAACTAAATTTTATTTAAGTTAATTATAATTCTATAAAAAATTTTTTAAACTGAAATAAATTTCTAACTTTTAATAAGTTTTTTTTTTTTTTGTTAATTCTAATACCTTAGAATAAAAGTCAATATTTTTTTTTTTAACAAAAGTACTTTTTTTTCTAGTACGTAATAAGTTTATAGAAAACGAGTCTTTACTACGCGTTTATCTTTGTACAGAATGACATTTTTTTTAAAGCAGTATTTTATCGAACTACAAAATTCCTGGCTATATAATATATATTTTTTTTTTTGAATAGTCTGTAGAATTATACCATCAACTTTTTCATATATGTTTTTGGTCCAGAATGACTTTCTAATGAATGATTGTAAATATTTTCGATATTTTTTTTTTTCGATATTATATGTACTATATTCTCAATATTAATTATTATTTCCGATATTTGATATTGTATAATAGATAAATTCGATAATAGTAATAGAAAATTACAAATGTAATAATTTTAAAAAAAGATAAAATATATAGTAAATTTTATAAAAAAAAAAAAAATGTGAGCGCGGTTTATGGAGCAATCATTGTTTTATATCAATGGACCTTGTGCGTTAATTTTATCGAATACTATCGTCTGATATTTCCCCCATTTATCTGAAATTTTAAAGCATATATAGAAAAAATCTGCAGTATTTTATACAAATGAAATGTATAAAATTTAAGCTTTCGGAAAGCAAACTTCTCGTGCAGTTTGTCCATTTTCCACAAGCCAAACGCTTCCGCTTTTTCCATTATTTAATACGTGGATCAAAGCTTTTGCCACGTGTTCAGCTCTAGAATATATATTTATTTTAATATCTAAGTAAAATTATAATTTTAATTCAATTATTTAATTGAAATACTCACTTTTGAGAAACATCGGAAACTGTATCTCGACGCCAAGCATCTTCGTACCTAGGTGAAAGTAATTGTTTTCCAACATCGCGAACTAAATTGCTGTCAGTGGCATTTGGACAAAGAGCCATTACTCTAACGCCGGTTAATTCCACATGATACTGATCCTAAAAATTAAAAAATCAATTAATTTAACACAATTTTAAATTCAATCACTTAAAATGATTTTTTAATTAAATTAACTTCAATTAGAAACATCATTGTGAAATGATTCTTAAAAGATGGATGACAAAATTTTTTTTTTTTAATGAATGGAAATAAATTATTATTACAAATTTGAAAACTCACACCAAATGCTCTGGTAAGACTGACAATTGCAGATTTAGTGGCTGAATAAATTGGAACACTAACGTATGGATTTATACTGCAATTACTTCCGGTATTAACCACAACACCACCTCCATAACCCCTATCAATACCTAAATATCTTTGTGCCAAAAGTGTTCCTCGAATTACTCCATTCTGATGATAAAAACATAAATTAATATTTTTCAAATTAATTTTTATAATAAATAATAATAATTTTTTTATACTCACAAGATTAATGTCTACTTCTAGCTCCCAAAATCTATCGTTCATAATTCCTGCATTATTAACAACAATATCAATCTTCCCATAAGCTGAGAGAGTCGCCTCGAAAGATTCTGTGAACATTGAATAAATATTTTAATTTATTAGTATTAAATTATTAGTATATATATATATAAATAATTCTAAATTTACCTTCAAATTGAGAATAGTCGGTAACATCACAGTGAGAAAACATGACTCTATTTTCGCCATGTTTAGCCGCAAGTGTATTTACTAATTCTTCACCAGCTTCATTGTTAATATCACAGATTGAAACCTGCGAATAAAATTTAATAGCAAATAGAATTAAATTCAAATTTTCCGGCGCACTCAAGCAAATAATTTCCAAATAAGCTTGGAAGAAAATTCGCTTCACTGGCTAAACGAAATTACACTTTCAGAAATTGATTTAAATAGCAATTTATTTTATCCTTTATTGGACAAACAAAATAAAATTTTTTTTTATTCTATTTTTTCGATAACGTTTAATAAATAAATTTTTGTCATAAAATAATTTTTAAAATAAATAATAAAAATAAGCCATTTTCAAAATTAGAGAACGAAAATAAATAAAAAATTTAAAAAATAAAGAATAATAAGTTAAAAGTAAAATACACAATCTATTAAAAATATTATACCTTTGCTCCTTGATTTAATAATTCCTCGACATACGCCTTTCCAATACCGGAAGCTGCCCCTGTTACCAGGGCAACCTTCCCTTTTAGTTCCATTATTTATAAAAAAAAAATTCTTACACTTCTGATCTGTAAGAAAAAAAAACGAAGTAATTAAAGACAAATTTTTTTTTTTTTTGATATGTAACAAACAACAGTAATTTCAACTTTACTCCCGGCGAGAATATTGATAAGAGAATTATTATTGAATATTTACAGTGAATTAAATACACTTGACAAGTGACAGCAACTCGATGACTAAAGCCACAACATAGACATTATCTTATATTCATTCTGTTCGTCGTGGCGAGACGCGCAACAATTTTCTCCTTTCACCTGACCTGATAGTGACACTTTAACGAAAATTCGTAACATGCAAAATAAAATTTTAAATTCAAGAAAAATTTTCAAATTTTATTTTATATTTATTTTAGAAACTCTTTATTTTTTGATTTAATTTTCTCTATTAATTTTTAATAATTCTTTTAGTTATCAATTTTCTCGTAATAAAAAAAAAAGGAATTTTTGAAAACAAGAATAAAACATTTTTTTTTTATTGATTTGAATATAGTTTAATTAAAAATATTTTCACGTGACTTGTTTTGAATTTTTAATAAAGAACAAAAATATATAATAAAGAATAAAAATTCAATTATGGTAAAATTTTCTCAAAAAAGTATATATAATTTTGCATTTCGACCCTTACACTTGATTTCTTTCAACTTCTTTTTAAAAGAAAAAATCTCTTTTATTCTCTTCAAACACCTTTCACCCATTCACTTTCATAAAGCAACAGAATAAAAAAGAAAATGTAAATATCAACCCTCAATTCTATTTTAATTATTTCACATCAAAAATTTCTAATTTAATAAAAAAAAAAAAAAAAAAGGAATAAAAGAAAATTTTGAAAAATAATATAATACACACCAAAGAAAAGTCTTTTTGCCGGTAAATTTTTGCACCCTTTCGCCGGTTGTGTTTATGAAAAGGCAACGCGAGCTAAAGTGAAATTGCCAACCCCTTTTTTTGTGAAAAAGGAGAAAGGTCGGAATAGAAATAATATAGAGGGATGAGGAATGCTGTAAGGGTTGCACTTATATGAAGCAGGAGAGACAGGAAATAAAGGTGTGGTTTCCGGCATCAACTATGCAACCTCGAAGCTCACTTGTGTGACTAGCTTATGGTATGGCACCCACCCTAAAGCATACATATAACATCGTATTGATTGGGCGTCCCTGCGTAAAACCCGTTAAAATTCTCAAGTTGACGCGTGCGTCTATATAAGAGAGCGCGAAGGATTTGCGAATTTCCTTTGAACGTTCAAATTTTCCCGGGTAAAAATTAACTAACAATGCCGGGCAATCATTTGGCAAAAAATAAAAAATCCCCTTTTTTATTTTATAGAAATTTTTTGATTTCTATTTTTAAGAAGAAAAATAAAACAGTTTTTGTCAGACAAATTTGTTTTTAGAAAAGACCAGACAAATTTTATATTTAAATAGAAAATATTATTTTGGTCTGGACAAATTTGAAAAAAAAAATGTTGAGCAAATTTATTTTTAAGTAGAAAAAACAAAAAACTTAATTTTTAAGTAGAGAAATTTAGTTTTCGTCGGACTAATTTTATTTTTTAAAGAAAAAATTAGTTTACTGCAATATAAACTTTTTTCAAACATTTATTTTTAAGTAGAAAATGCATTTTCTGGTATGAATAAAATTTTTAATGAGTGAAATAATCAAATTGTATCTTTAAGTAGAAAAATCCGTTTTTATCAGACAAATAATTTTAATAGTGGAATAATTTCCAAGTAGATAAAATTGTTCTGGTCAGACAACATTTTTCAATCATGTAATTGTAATCAGAAAAACTGTTATCATAATTCATAATTGAAAAATAAACATTTGTGTAACAATGAAAATAATGAATTGTAAAGCCAATAAAAGCGTACCGTGACGTTTAATCGATATTCAAAGGCGTTGATCTTGGAAACGCTCATTCTATGATGTAACGAGAGACGAGTAAAAAAGTTTCCAATTTCGTGTAAACTTGTCAGTTCTATCGTGTCCCCCTTAAAACTCATGGTATCATCCCAATGAGCAACATTTTAGCCATTATTGTCATCTGAAAAAAAAATTTATTTTTATTATTTTTTTTCCACATTTGTTAATTATTTTTTTATTTTTATTTTTAAAAATTATCTGAGGAAATAAAATACGTAAAGTAGCGTGAAAAGGTACTGAAAAAGTTACACCGCGAGAAATATAATATACATAAATATAATAAAAATTCTTTTGTCTCTAATTTCAAAAGCACTTTCCCCGCAGATGAAGTTGTTTGTTAATATGTGGTGAAACAAGCGTTTTCTTACAATTGTCTAAGTCGTCATCTCGCAAGAAATCGGATATAACATGTTTCTCTGACGTATAGCTAAACATGAAACGAGTGCGCGTGTGTCGTCCGCATTACATTCAGAGAGTATCGGTCATTGTAAGATTAGATACGAGACCAGAAGACACTGATAAAGTTATTTTCACTCAACACCTACTTAGACACTTGTCGCTTTCAAGTCTTCTTATTAATTAAGAAAAAAATCAAAAAGTAAGTAACTTCAAAAAAACATTTTTTTCGTTAAAATACAATTTAAAAAAATATAATTATTTTCATTCAAATTACTTTACATTTAGTAAATGAAATTTAAAATTTTTTAAATTCAGTTAAAAATTCTCTATTTAGAATTAAAAAAGAAATTAATTGTAATTTTTATTTATTATAATTATTGAATTGAATTTTCAGTTTTTGGATAAATTCCTCAAAAAATTCTAAAGAGTCTACACATATAGTAAATCGAAGATTGTAAACATATACGAAGAGGAAGATCAAAAACCGGAACGGGAAAGAAGAAATGTAGCGGAAAGAATTTGTTCTAGAAGAAAAATACTAAAAGGCGAAATTGTAAATAAAAGAGAAAAAAATTTTTTTTTTATCGTAGTGCAAGGGAGAGTTTACCGATTCAGTCAAGTGCAAAGAAAAGTGAGTTTCAATCCAAGTGGCATGCGGAAATGGGAAGAAGTTTTCAAGATCGCTTTCGGCAATGGTTAATAATAAATATTTTTCTCTTTCAAATTGTTATTGCATACGAGAGCGATGATCCTTATTTTGAAGCAAGACGTGAGTAAAAAAAAAAAAAATTCTCATTTCCTTTCATTTATTATTAATTATTAGCATTAATTTATAAATAAAAGTAGCAATATTAATAATAATGAAATTAAAGGTAAAATAATATTTAACTAACAAAAAAGTAATAAAAACTATTGATAATTTAATTAAATATTTGAATTTATGAAATTCTCTATTTCGTAATAATAGATAAATATAATTATTTTATAAATGAAAAATAACGATTTTCAAATTTTAATATAGAAAATAGAAAAATAAAATAGAAAATATTTTTCAAAAAATTTATTTTCTAAATAAATTCGTAATATTTCAACTATCAAGTGACTCACGAATATTTTTGTCCTGCATTTTTTTTTAAAAGCTTATTTGCCAGATCTATACATGTACATATATGAATCCAATGCATCGTTAACTACATATATGGCACAAAGCGTAATACACTCATTCTTTTAATGATGTAATAAACGTTTCTTTTCCAATGATTTACGAATTTTTTTTTTGTAACAGGCCATATACATTATAAAACTTGAAAAAATTTGTTTTTATAATGAAAATTCAACTTTTCAAATGTTAAATTAAAAATTTTATCATTCAAATATAAAAAGAGACATTTTTTTTTATTCAAATCAAACATAATTTAATATTAATGTAATGTAATGTATATTTGAAAGAGAACAAAAATTCTTTTTCTCCGCATTTGCCGATTCAACCATGAAAACGGTTTCGCGATTAAAAAAAAAAAAAAGGTTTTGACCTCAATAAAAAAAATATATATTTAAAAAATTCTATACCCAGAGGAACTTTTTTATTTGAAATAATTTTTTTTTTTTTTGTTGGTATTTTCTTAAAAGAAAAAACTGATTTTTCGAAAGAGTATATATGATCTCATTTTGTTTTAAAGAAATTACTGAACCCTTAAGTGTGACATCAAGTAGGTGGAGAGTTGTTAAAATTTAATTTCTAAACAGAGTCAGTGACATAAAATTAAAGTGCAACAAGAGACTTTTCTTTGACAGACGATCCTCGAGAAAAGAAACTCGATTCTTAGCACGAGATCTAAACGCCCGTCCAAGCCGGATCTACGCCTTTGCTAAACAGGGTCGGATTTGTAAACCTTCATACCATAATATTATTTCCCACGATCTTTTCCGTTATCATAAAAAAAGATGTTTCCTTTCCATTGTATAATTAATCACTATAGCGTATTTCATTTTCATCCAGAAAGGCAAATCCCAGGCTTTAAATTTTTTATCAAATTCATTTTCATCCAGAAACGCAATCCCAGGCTTTAAATTTTTTGTCAAATTCATTTTCATCCAGAAACGCAATCCCAGGCATTAAATTTTTTTTTGTCAAATTCATTTTCATCCAGAAAAGCAAGCATTAATTTTTTGTCTTCATTCTGAAATTAAAAATTGAAATTAAAATCTAATTCAATATTAAAAAATTAAAAAGAGATTAGTATTTAAAATAAAATCAATGAAATTATTTGATTTAAAAGAAAACTCTCAACTGGATTTAAAAAGTAGATATTGTGTTCATAAACAAATGATGTATAAAGTTTCCCATCGGATTCATTGTTATGATTTTTTTTTTCTCACATTGAAGGAAGAAAAAAAATACACGAAACGAAACGGTACATTGTGGTATAATATATAATTCGATGCTCAACGTGAAAAAGTAATGTCAGTGATTCTTTCTTGTATATATATATATATATATATATATATATACAAAGAGCGAATAAGGGGTCCCTTAACTTTAATCTACTGCGATGTAGTTCTTTTTTTTTTTTTTTCTTCCATTGGAGGGGACCATCGAGAGGGCCTTGTGGGAGTCCCAGTTTGTCTTTCCGAGTCTGAGCGGGTGGTACTGGGTACCTATAGTACCTCGAGAGAACATTATAAGAGAAGAGGAGGTACTGTATCGGACCTTGCGTAACGCGGATTATTTAAACTGGAGTACTAAACGTTTTTATTTATATCGACGACCTCGATCTAAAACGACGTACATACGTTAACTCGTTAACACCCGCATAAATATAATCAAAGAGACTTTTTATTATTCCTTAATACAATATATATTTAAAAAATTTTATATATTCCTTTCAAAAGATTCTTTTCAGTCGGTCCGTATCTTGGGATTTTTTTTTTTTTTTTTTTTTAACTTCGCCAAAAAGGTATAATACAGAGGAGAAAAAGAGAATCGTCTCGGCTTTTACCGAGAAACAATGTTACCAAAGTTCTCAAGTGTGGAGGATGTTCAGTGACGGTGACCGAGTCCTGTGTACTTTTTTCGGAATTCTACTTATCATCGCTCACTTTCAATTTGTGTCGGTCTACTCGTTCATCACTTTCGTATCACATTGTCCTGATCGAAAATCACTTCGTATGTAAAATTATATATTATTGTCTCTTCAATAATATAATTATAGAAATAAGAAATTGATATTTTTTTGCAAAGAAATTTTTTGCTTTGAACGATAAAAAATTAAAAATTTTACAATTAATTTAGAATGAGGGAAGGATAAAATTAAATTTTTGTACTTTTTTTTTAAAGGAACTTTTTGTGATTTAAAATTATTTTCTGATCAATAATTTTTGTATTTGAAAGCAATACTATTTAATTGATTTAAATAATAATTATTTGTCTATAAAAATAATTATTTATTGATAAATAAATAATAATTAATTAATTGATACAAATATTGTTTTTCATTAATTTATTAACTAATTAATAGAAGTAATCAGTTTATAATTTAAATTAGAATAAAAATTTTAATTCCAATTTTTGCGAAAAGTTATATATATATATGAATGAAATTTATGATAATATTTTGTAAAATTATTCATAACTTTATAATACTATAATCAACTGCTAATGAAACTTTACATGAACAATTATTAATTTATTTCTCTAATATCATTAAAATTCCACATTCAAGACATATGTATACTATTAACGTAAACTTAATTCAACTGTAACTGAAGGTTACAGACATCTGTTTAATGTTATGTAAATTATATATTTTATCGAGAAATTTTTTTTTTGTAATTAGTTCGCACTGTTTTATATTCTTTTTTGTTAGTTTCTTCACATTATTATATATTAATTATTAAATGCAATTGTGATTATGAAATAATCTTCTTTTTTTTGTATAAACTACAAATAAATTATTTTTCGTTATTTTATTTTAAGATAATTAATTATTATTTAATAATTACTTTTTGTATTTTATGCTTGTAATAATGAGAATAATAATTTTCCTTTCAGGAATTTCACTTCCCTGTCAATATGATTCGGATTGTTTAGCTGTTGAAAATGCTATTTGCGAAAGATCAAATTCCAGTTGTTTTTGTAAATCGCATTATGTTCTTTACAAAAATCGTACTCACGTCAAATGCTTACGAGGTCAGTTAATATTATATTTTCATGAAAAAAAAAAAATTAATTTTATAATTATTATCACGATTAAATATTATAATTATTTATAAAATTTGAAACTATTTGAAATAGTGGCTCGTGCATTGGGAGATTTATGCGAGGAAAATATGCAGTGCCAAGTTAAATTTGGAGCTGAGGCAGAATGTCGATTAAACAATTGTCAATGTTCTCCAGGATCTCGTTTCATCGGGGACAGATGTTACGAAACAGTAGGTAAGCGTATAAATTTTTTTTTAAAAGGTAATATAAATGTAAATAAATAAATAAATTTTTTTTTAAATTTTCATTTACAGGATTGGGCGAATATTGCAAAACGTGGAGGAATTGTTATGTTGAAGGTTCAGAAAGTGCCTGTCAAAATGGACGTTGTGTGTGTCACTATCTTTTTCATCCAAGTCTCGATGGAATGCGATGTGTCAAAACAATCGGTTAGTTTTTATTTATAATTTATAAAAAAAAATATTTTTTTTATTGGCATGGATTTTATTAAGTACCAAAGGCATTGAACGCCTTCGTAAGTGCCATTCATAATCCTGTAGAAGCAGACGTGAAGCCATGTTACAGGGGTTTTATGTCAGAGGCTTTACTATTTTTTCCGTTTGTTATATTTTTAATTTTGTCATCTATTTTATTAATTGTTTAAAATTAAACGATAATTTAATTAATTTGTTTTTTTTTAACAGCTTTGAGGGAAAATTGCACAAGTACCGAGGAGTGCGCTGTTAAAAATTCGAAATGTATCGGAGAATGTCGATGTGACATTAATCATGTGATATCTTCGAATAATTCAATGTGTTTAAAAACTGCTAATGCAATTGGTGATCCCTGCGAAGAGGATTTACAATGTCAGGATATTAATTTTTCAAGATGTCATAGAGGAAAATGTTCGTGTTTAAGGGGATATCATCGACGTTCAACTACTTGTCATCTTGACATTGGTGAGAAAAAATTCATTTACATTTTCTCTGATTACAAAAGCAAAGATTAAAAGAAAATTAGAATTTTAGTTTTCATCACTTTTAACAATTAAATGTTTTTAAAAATTTTTTTTTTAGGATTAAATAAACCATGCGAACATCACGCACAATGTGTTACATTAACAAATATGGATTCCGATAAATTTTCACCAACAAATGTCGATTGTATTGATGGTATGATATTTTAGTTTTCAGTAAATAAAAAATAAAATTGAATTACTCACCTAAATAATTGATTCTATAATTTTCTTTTTAGGTATTTGTTCTTGTTCTCTAGGACATACACTGACATCACGTGGACTTGACTGCATTGGATATGCTGAAAATGGTAAATAGTTTAGAATATTGATACAATCTTAATGTTAAGAAATAATTAATCATTATTATTACCTTTAAAAATTATTATAAAACTACTTTAACTATTCTGATTCACATCTAGAATAATTAAATTAAATTCTTTTTATCTAATCACTCCATTGAAAGTTCAATTATCATTTGATCTTGTAACTTATATGTTCTCTTGGAACGACGAGATAGAATCATTAATAAAAAAAAATTTCATTTTGTAATAAAAAAAATGTGTGAAACAAGTCAAAAACATTTGTTATTAAAAAATTAAAGCTTTCTCAATTTTTTTTGTAACAAAGAAAATCGAAATCTATATAGCAATTCTAATAAAAAAATTTTTTTTTGTTCTAGGAGCATCGTCTTGGAGCTTAAGTCCTATTATTACTTTAATTATCACTGCCTTTATAATTATTAAGTAAAAGCAAATCACACGTAGAGAAATTGATCTACTTTATATAGTGAAATTTCTTAAAACTTGACAACTTAATTTTTTTTAACAGCATTTATTTAAACACTAAGAATTATTATTTTTATAGATGTCTAAAAAAAATTGTTTTCACAAATCAAGTAAATCATTTTCTTCGTGTAATGAAGCTTTAAAAAATCGTCGATAATGACTCAGGTTAGCTTTTTGCGTATATTAGCAGTATTTCATAATGCATAATATATAATTCACCAAAGCAAATATAGATTTCTAGAAAAAGAGATATTTACTATAAATTTACTATTTTATAGGACACAATAGTCTGAGTAGACTAAAATCTATAGCAGTACAAAAAAAAGGAACGCATTAACAAAATTTTAAATTAAAAAAAAACAATTATTGTTTTTGTTAACGCGCATTTCAAAAATGTTTTTGTATTATTTATTAAATTTTAACAAATTAGGACAGTGTGAATCACGTACAAATGTCTTCCACTTGTTACACTATATTTATTTATAAAAAAAAGTATTTATTTTTCAACTTGATAATTTAGTTAAATTAAAATTAGAATACCAATAATATTATTTTATAACAGTCAAAACTTATTAATAATCAAACTGTATTATCAGTTATTTAATTATTAATATAACTAATTAAACATAATTAATAATAAATTATTATTAACACCTTTTTTTTAAACATAATATAAAAATATAAAGCATTGCACGCAATCTGAAAATTTTTCTAAGATCAATATTGTTTCTAATTAGAAAAATAAAAAATTTTTTCTACTTTCAGTATTAGATTTACTCCATTTTTCTTTTATTATATCACTAGCTTTTTCTCCAATCATAATAATTGCCGCATTGGTATGACCACGTGTGATTGTTGGTATAACACTGGCATCGACAACTCTCAAATTTGCAATCCCATGGACATTTAATTTTGAATCAACGACCCCAAAATTTTCTCTAGGTGCCATTTTACATGTTCCCGCAAAATGACCTAAACTTACTGTCATGTGACGTGCAACACATGACCAATATTTATCAGAATTAAATGTCAAATGTTCACATCCAAGAAATTTTCGTGGAAAAAGGGTTGTATTAAATTTTTTAAATGGCCTTGTCGATGCAAGTCTGATGGCCTGTAAAAATTAAATTCAAATTTCTTATCTCCATTTCAATTTAATTGCAGACTTTTTATTTTACAGAATTTTTCTAATTTTCATTTGATCGTGATTTTTTTTTTCAATGTTTGAATTTCCAAAATTTTCATAATAGAGATTAAAAAAATAAAAGTAAAAGAAAATAAAAATATAAACAATAAATTTATGTTCTCCGATGGCATTTCGAAAAGATATATTTATATTGAAACTGGTTATTACGTCACTATCATAAAATTATGTCATGATTTTGTAAGGCCCAATTGTAACGCAGTTATGTATTTATGTGTACTGACCTCTTTTATCCCGCGAACCATTGTATCAAGGTCATCTTCTTCTTGGAAATAGTTGGCTTCAATAGCCGGCCAGTGAAATGGATTGGAGCTTCTTAATTGCACGCGACCTCTACTTTTTGGTTGCAATAAAATAGGAACAATACTAAATGCATCGAATCCATCGTAATCTTTAAAAACACGTTGATAAAATTCGTCCGTCAAACCAAAAAGACTTCGTAAACTTCCTGATGAGTCGCCCGTCAAAGCACCAAGGCCCAAAACTAATTCAATGTCAGGGACATCCTCATTAACATCAACTATATTTATTCTCGAGTCCCCTTCACTTCTTCTCATACGATTTCCTTCGATGTCATCACTGAAAACTTTAAAAATGTGTCAATTTTTTTTTTTAAATATTTTTTAAATTGTTTATCTTTCAATTTTATTTTAATTAAAAAAAAAAACTAAACTCATTTTTTATTTGTATATGAAAAAAAAATCGCTAATAACTAACTTCGATTTGTATTAATAAAAGCGATTGCCTCGGCGCCACCAGGTACAGTTAGAGGTCCAGTTCCTTTGAATAGATAATCAAAAGTGTTGACTAGATTTGATGCGATGCGTGACTCAACTATAGTCACCGTATCGTTGACTAGGAAGGTCAATGTCGACAAGCTAATGTGATCTTGAAGATTTTCACCAACAGGTAAATCCTCAAGAACATTGATTCCTAATGATTCTAAATGATTTTTCGGACCAATTCCCGAAAGCATCAAAAGTTGTGGAGAATTAAATGCACCAGCCGACAGAAGTACTTCTTTTTTCGTCAGGACACGAAATTTTTGACGATTTTTTATAAATTCCACACCCATTGCCTCTTTATTCACTGGATCAATTATAATTTTTGTCACGTGGGAAAATTTGGAAATATAAAGATTTCTTCGATATTGAATGGGATTCAAAAATGCTTTGCTTGCACTCACTCTTCGTCCTTTTCGCAAATTTGCTTGAACGACACAAAATCCGGTCAATCTGTGAAAAAGTAACTTTAATTTTTAAAAAATGTAAAAAAAAATAATAATAACACAAATTTATTATTTTATAAAACCTTTCCCCATTGCAGTCACGAACAGAGTAGCCCATTTCTTCGGCAGATTGAAGAAAAGGTTCTCTTAGTTGTGAGACATACGGAGGATTTGTGACATCAAGATATCCTCCTCTTCCATGATATTCGTCTTCCTGATAAAATAATTTACTATTTTCAGATTTTAAAAAATACGGCAAAACTTCACTGTAACTCCAACCTGGATTTCCTAGAATTCAAAAATTTGCCACATTTTCATAAATATCAATTAGCCAAAATTTAAAGAAATATTTTTTTTTCACTTGAAAAAAATTCACTCTACCTTGAGCACTCCAAGAATCATAATCTTGACGATCACCTCGCATGTAAATCATAAAATTAATCACCGATGTCCCGCCAACAACTTTTCCTCTTGGCCAATTGCATTTTCCATCTTTCATCGCTAGACAATATCCATCGTTTTTATTCTTCTTTTCCGAATGTGGCGGAGATTTATAACCCCAATTGTAATCAGTAATATGCCAAATAGATGCCATTAAAGGAATATCAGTGAGAAAACTTTCATCGCCACCAGCTTCCAATAAAAGAATTTTCCAATCAGGATTTTCCGAAAGTCTATTAGCTAAAACTGATCCTCCAGATCCTGCTCCAATTATCACGAAATCATAAATTCCAAAATCTTCCACTTCAGGTTTATAATAATTTGTTCGATGATTGAGAAAATTATTTAATTTATCAAAAAGTAAAAAACACATTCTTGTTGAAATTAATGTTGAAATAATAATAAAAAATTTCAAAGCCATAATTTGAATTCTTTTTTTAAAGATGAACAATTTTTTTTTCAATCTCAGCTTTTCATTATTATTCAAGTGTTAGTCTGCAAAAAAAAAATTATTTTGTATAAAATAACAAATAGCAATAAATGAAATATATAAATAAATTTCAAATTAATACGAAAGACAAAGATACACCTGCGTCATTAAATTAAAGTTGACAAAGCAAGTCATTGAAATCGAAATGACACTTGAATACAAAAATTATTCCTGTTAAATGAATTATCATTACTCATTGAATAGAATTTAATATTTTCCCCATTGTTTTTATAAAGTTTTCAATTATTTAATATTAATAAAATGGTTTATTTTATCTTTATATTTCATAATCATTTTTATGGTTTTATTTATTAATAAGAGTTAATTACCATTATTGTAATAATCTTTGGTAATAATTGTGATAATTGACTTTTATAAAAACAACTCTTGTAATTATTGCATTTATTGTATATTACACGAGGTGAGTAACATACTTTTTTTTATAAACATATTTAAAATGTTTAGTCATTCTATAATAAAAACGCAGTGCATAAATCATCATTCTAATTTTAAATTCAAACGATAATCTCTTTTTCTCTTTCTAAAGGAATTTTTACCCCATTTTTTAAATAGAAATTTGCCTACGTGTCCATTTGTCTATTACAAAACAAGAATTAAATTAAAAAAGCGACTGTAATCTTAATATAAAATCAAAATTAGACTTTTGCATATAATGATATGCATACATTAGATCACGTTCGTTTGCTTTCTTTATAGATAGAAAAAAATTAATCATTTCTCAACGAAATATATTACATATGAGACTTTTGAAGGTAAGGACATTTCAATTTAAAATAATTGGTTATAATATTTAAAAAGAAAATACGTTGACAATGTTAGAACAAAAAAATTACATTCAGTTCATTCATTTATGTCAGATTGAGTAAGAAGGAGGACAAATGCGAGGCATCGTTACGCTCTTAAGTGACAACAAAATGCTGTTAAACAATTTTCAAGTTGAAACTAATTATTGTCATGATAAAATAAAAGACAAAACATTTTTTCAAAATTGATCCAACATTTTTTTCTTATTTGTCATTGACAATGAGGGACTGCTTTATTAAAAAATAAAGTAGAAATAAATATTTTTAATAAAAAATTATTATTAATGAATAATAATAATTGATATTTATTTACATTATACTTTTTTTTATTATTTTTTTTGATTTTTCATTAATTAAATTAATCAATTAATTATTTATTACCTAAATAAACTAATTTTCTATTAGAAAATTTATTTTTCTATTAATTTTTCATTCAATATAAAAATTATAGTAAAACAAAATTTTTCACTAAACTTTAAAAAAAATTTAGATTTATAAAATCAAAAATTTTCTAAAAAGAGAGTATCAATTTTCTATTAGAGAATATATAAGTAAAATAAAACTTTATCTTTAAATAAAAAAAAAAATTTTAATATAAATTTTAAAAAAAATTAAATTCAAACTTAAAATGATAAGAATTGATTAGAAAAAAATGTTTAGTTTTTATCTTTAATTTAATAAAAATCAAACTTACCGATTTGAAAAATTGTTTTGATTTATGGATGACACTTTGATGTAATTTCATTTCTAGATCACTGGAACCATTCGATTCTACCGTCAATTCGATACTGAGATGGTGAACCGTCAGTATCGCATAAGAAAAAGATCCTGAAGGTCGACCGGTGCGATATCTCACCATGCCTTCCTTTTTTTTTTTTTAAAGAAATTCATCTGAAACTGAAAATTAAAATTCATATGTACTTTTGATCAATATTTACCGACAAAAGGTGCAAATTGTTACAAGTTTACATTTAATGTAGTTCAAATAAAAAATTATGTCTATTATTAGTTAAATTTGACTATTTGTTTAATAATTGAAATTAAAAAATTTGATAAAATTTAATTAAATAATTCTTTTACTAATTACATATAATTAATAGGTAAAAATTAGAACCGAATAAATTAAATTTCTTGTTATATTCAAAAAGCAGATAACATTTACAGTAAAAAACACGTAAATTTTAAAGATGTGATAGAAAACACGTATCATTATAAGTCTTATAAAGTTACGTGTTTTCTATCATGTATCTGAACTTTATGTGTTTTCTAGCATGAATATAAATTTCGTAATAAGATCAAAAAAGTTTTAGAATCACTAGATTTTCGGTCCATTTCTTCCGATGATCCTAATTCAAATTCTCCGTTTCAAAAAGGAAACTTTCTTTTAATTAATAAAATCTTTTTCTTAGTGCATTTGTAAAAATTGTGCAAGAAATTTAAGTTTTTTTTTAAAAGGAAAGAAAATATTTTTAATTAATTGTAGATAGACGAAAATTTGACCTTTATAAAAATTAATTTATTCAAATTAAATAATTCATAAAAAAAATACTATGTAATTATTAATTCACTAAATTAATTGTGTAAATAATTTGAATAAAGTTTATTTAAAAAATTTCGTAAAAATGTTGTATTATGAAATATTTTTATTTACCATATGCGAAGAGACAAATTTTATTCGGAAAACAGGATTTCAATGTTTTGATGCAGTAACACATTTTGTTTTTCTGTTACCGCGTATACAAATTGAAAACAAGATAAATGTCCACTTTTCCCATTGACTTCTGCAACTCAACTGCTTCTGTAATAAAAAAAAGCATTTAATAGTTATTAAATAAATATTTTTGAAAGTAAAAATTTAATTTATATAATAAATTTATTATATTTATTTATTGATAAAGCATTATTATAGAAGAAAGAAATTTATTTTGAAAATCATTGAAAATTTTATCAATTTTTTTTATATCCTTTTTCTTATTTTGTTTTCGTTAAGTGTAAATGAATGGAAATTAACGAACTAAACGTTTTAAACCTGCAACTGAATATAATTATTGGATTTATGAGTCAAAGCGCAATGCAGTGCTGCGCATAGAAGGTTCCCTTGACAACGTAAAAAATGTTTTTACTCTTTAAAGATAATTTGTGCCACTTGCCATATAAATCATAAAAATATTTACCAATAATGCAAAGTGATGTTGAGCTCAAATTTTATTCAATAACAAAAATAAAAAATCAATATACATTTTCATTTGCAAGTCTAACAAAATAAAATATAATTATTTACAATTATCATTATATTATAAAAAAAATGGATAGTAATTACAATGCGAATATTTTAAAATGGTTGCCAGTTCAGGGACCAATTTTAGAAAAATGGTTTAACGATTCTTTGGAATTGGATGCAATGCTCAGAAAACTTTCTTGGGATATTGTTTATTATGTGGAAATTACAGTCAATGACAAAGCTTGCGATCAAGAGGTAATTCTTAATAGAAATTTTATGCTAATTTTTTTTTAAATTACGTTAATATTCTTAATTTTTTGTCTAGTTTATAAATAGAAATTATTTTTTTTTATTTTAGACTCTAACTAATTTCGTAAAGAGATTGGAGAAATGCATAGAAGATTACAAATCAATTTGGAAATCAGGAGAAACGTCCCAACCAGTTTATAAAGCTAAAGTCCAACATATCAAAACAAGTTTAAAGCGAAATTTAAATGTGGTTGCTAAACTTATCAGAAATCTAATTTATGACATAATGGATTTGAAAAATGACGAATTCTTAAGGATTATTTTCAGGTTTCTCATTTTTCAAAAATTAATTAGATACATGCATTTCTATTTCTAAAATTTTATTCTTTTTAGATTAGTAAATGCTTATAATAAAGCATTGGAATTAGATCCAAACGTTTCAGAAGCTTCTATAAATATTTTTTCCAACAATTGTCCATCAATGTTGGAACCGTTGAAAAAAATTTCTATCACTCGATTACTACAGGTAAAACAGTATTTCCTAAAACAAAAAAAAAAAAAAATTAGAGATAAATCTAAGAAAATAAAAAATTTCTTTTCTAATTAAAAAACTTTTTAGATTTTGGCAAAGAATAAAGTTGAGGAATATTGTCATGAATTTATCGAATGTTTATTGGCAAATTATCAATGCAATATGGATAAAGAGGATACAAAATCGACGGCCGATGTTGATTTATCAGAAAATTCTAGTATCGAAATCTATCGGTAAGTTTTTTTATAATCATTTTTTTTATGAAATTAAAAATTCGATTGCATGATAAAAAAAAAATTTTCAGTGCACTAACAAAACATTTAGTGCCACCTATTACGTGTTTGCCAACGCAGGAAATGGAAATATCAAATGTAGAATCAGTTCAAATTTTGGTAAACATGCAAAATGAAGAAATTAATCGATTAATGAATATCATAAAAATTATATCTCCTCAACTTTTTGGATCTGATGCTTTAAGAACAGTAAATAATGGTATAATTTTTTTTTTTTTTATAATTTCACAAATTAGTTTCTTTAAATATTTTTTGCCTCACAAAAAAAAAAAAATTTCAGACGAAAAAAAGATTCGAGTGGCTGCAATGAATAAAATAATAAATTTTTATCAAGATGTTGCTTGGGGATCAATTTCGAGTATATTGGATCATGTAATTTTGTGGTGGTCATCAAAGGCATTAGCAATAAGTCACAGTCGTGGAGCTCAACATTTTAAGGATTGGTTGCATCGTTTTTTAAAAAAAAATCAGGGTACAATTATTTTTTTGTTTATTAAAAAAAAAGAAGAGAATCACAAATGGCTACTTTAAAAAATTAACAGGTAAAATTTGGATTCTTTTTTTTTAATAAGTTCCAGCTACTGTGAAACCAACTCTTCAAAATTTGTGTGATACTTTGGGATGTTTTGTGACTGTAACAGCTTGGGATGAACGTTTCAGAAGAGCCTACACTAAATCCTTTGCATGCAAATCTAAACCATCAAGTGAAATTTCCAAGGTCGATTAATAAAACAATTTTAGTAAAAAAAAAAAATTGCAAATTTACAATTTATGTAGGAAATTTTAAATTCGCAAAAATGTGAATTTTCAGGGAACAGATACGGGTCACAAATTTTTAGATCTCTTCAAACTTTTAGTTGTAAATAGTAATGAATGTGAATCTAGCGGAGAATGGGAAATTGGAGCTCCATTGGTACAACTTCCACTTTCTGAACAAATTGTGGTTCTCCATAGGTACATTCTTTTCTTAAATTTGAAAATTACTTTTTTTTTTCTTTAAAACTACTTCTTTTTTTACATTTTATTGTACTAATTATATTTTTTATTATTTTCTAAAATAGTCTATTTTGATTTAAAATTTTTTTTTTAAATTGTATTTTATAATTTTTGAGATTGGATCACTCGATTCACACAATGAGATTGTGGTCATTACAAGAATCTAAAGAAATTGCTCACACTTGGGAACTGAATGTCTTTTTCCTTCTTGTAAAAGGCGATGTGATTAATTGCATTCAGGAGCTTCAATGTTTAAAGGTGATAATTCGATTTAGAAAATTTTGTTTTTACAAATTTGATAAATCATAAAATTTTTTTTTTTTTTTTGAAAGAAATATTTTGACTAAAAAGATGTTTTATTTTTAGCTTACTGATCACACAACGACTTTAGAAACAGAGCCAATAAGCGTTCAAGTTTACGTTTGTGCTAAAATGAGAGCCAAAATTGTTTCCGAAGTGAAAGTTAACATTGAATTGTTGCAGGTATTATAAACAATTAAAAAAAAAAATAACAAACTCAATAAACAAGGAAGTCGAAAAAATTAGAAACTAAAATAATTATTTTTTTTTATTTAAATTTTAACTATTTTTTAAATTAAAATTTTTTTTTCCATCTTTATTTAGTTTGATATTGACAGTAAAAATTGTTCTTTTATTAATTATTTATTTATGTGAAATAAAATTTGTTTTAGAGAGCGCCTTTAAAATGTATAGACACACTGGCAATAATTTGTCGTGTAATTAGTCTCGCGAATTTACATATGTGCTTCCCAAAACCAAATTATTGGCGAAAAAATTGTCCTACAATGCCATCAGTGCCAAGTGTTTACGTCGAGACTTATTTTAGTAAACGATTAAAATATTATTATATTATTTTTAAAATAATTTTTGTCACATTTTCTTTGTATAAAATTATTCGCAGTTTTTTTTTCCAGAAAAAGTACTTTTTCCAGTATTAAAAGTGATTGACAATCACGAAGTTTCGAATATGATTTTTCGATTAATGTGTGAGGCTTGGTTGGATTATATTTATTTGCATCAAGTTAAATTCAGGTGAATAATTAATATTCTTTAATTTTGTTTAATAATAATTATTCTTTTTTTGATAATTACTATATATTAATTCAATACATTTATGAGAATTTTTGTCTGCAGTAATTGGGGTGCTTGCCAACTTTTAACGGATTTCGCGCACGTATCAAAATGGGTAATTGACTGTTCTATAATTTCTGAAAATGTACGGAATCATCTTCTAAAAAATGAAGTTTTACGTCGTTGTGAAGGTGTTGGTCGGCTTCTTTTGCGACATCCTGGAGAAGCCATTGCCATGAACAAGAAACCACGTAATTTTTTTTTATTATAATCATTTATAAAATTTAATTAATTGACTGCTAATTAAATATTTCGTAATTTTATTAATTAAAGTAATAATTCATAAAATTTTTTCAGCTCAAAAAAACAATGAAAATGGTTCTTTAGAATCTTTGGGTTTAGAAAGAATGCCCGCGGAAATGTATGTTCCCAATCAAGAACAATGGCTTGAACTTCGTGCTTCGAAAAATTATAATTTTTGTTGTAATGGTTAAATCTTTTGTGACTAGGTGTTCAAAAAAACATCATAAATGAAAAAAATCATTCTTGAAAATTTTATTACGTCAAAAACATTAATTGAATTTTAAATTAAATTTAATTTTTTCTTTGAGTAAGTTCAATTTTTATTATTTCTGATTTTTTCTTTTCAAAATAAACTATATGGTTTACAAAATATATTGATTGGAGTGTTGTATTAGTACATGAGGGGGGTTCTTTTTATTCCTGAAGCCCGGCGAAGCCCTTCTCTCTTCACTCAGTATCATTTTACACCTCAACTTTAAGACGGTCAGTGACTTGTCGTTACTTTTATTTTTAGAAAATAATAATTAAACAAGTGTATTGGAATTTCGGTTTTAAATTATATATTTTTTTTTTTTTATTAAATAAATTTTGTTCATGATTGTATTTCTGTTTTAGGTCATTTGTGTAAATAAATATTATTAATGATGTATGTCCTCCACAACTAATGGAAAGAACTGGTTTAATTATATAAGTTCTCATTGGTTGAAAAATAAATGAAATATGAGACGATATTAGTACAGCCACTTCAAAGATCATTGTTTCAATTTCAATATATCAATATTCTGATTTATATATTTTTAAGACTTTTATTTTAATTTCAATTTTTTTTTCAATTTTTTCCAAATTGTTTTCTAGATTAAAATTATTTATCTAATTGTAATTTCAACAGGAGATTGTTGAAAAAAATTTTTTTCCGTGTTTCTAAAGAATTTTAAGAAAATTCTGTACATTAAAAAAATTTTTTTTTTTTGAAATGTGAACCTTGTTATTTGAAATATAATTTTTTGAAAAAGTCAACTGAAAAATTATTCAAAATTATAGAAAAAAGTTTAAGGAATTTGGGAAAAATTGCAAATGGAAAGTAGAAGAAATAAATCTGTTTGTGTCGATGAATATCGTCTCATCGGGTTATAAGAGTTTATAAGATGGAAATTCAAGCCATGTATTCGAAATTTGATCTTGCATTCTTTTATTTCCTGTTTGTGGACAATGTCTGTAGCTTTTGCGAGAACATGAAGTGATTCGATGTTTCATAGTGGGGTGGTCAGTTAGTCGGGCTTCCAAGTCTCGTTTCGTGTCATTCGTGGCTCAAATCTAACAGCAACAAGAGGATAAAATTCGATTTTTTTTTTTAAATTTGCAATTGTTTTCTTTTTAATTATCGATAATTTGATTTGTGTGAAAGTGAATGTGAATTTTTGAAAGCAATTTTTAATTTGTGGAAAAAAAAAGAAAAACTAAATGTCTGCAACCGAGAGAACTTATTTAACAAGACCAAATGATCCACCTCATTATATCGAATTTGCCGGTATTATTCGGAATCGACGAAATAGAATTCGACAATTTCAATGTTGTGTCTGCGCTTTTCTTTTGTAAGTTTCAAGATCAATTTTTACTTTTTTTTTTTAATGTCACCTTTTTTTTATTCGATATTATCTTATAGCATTTAGTTTCCTTAGATTTTATTTCGAAAAAAATGAAAGTGCATTCTTTTTTTTAATTAAAATATAATTTTCCAATTTATTTCTTTGTTTTCAATTAATTAATATGGAAAAAATTAAATGTTAATTAAAAGAAAAGTATCTAATTAGTAATAAATTAATGAAAACGAGTAATTTAATTAAATATGTTACTTGTTGCAATATTACGTGAATGGAAATAAATTTTTCTAATTGACTGTATTTTTTTTTTTTTTTTTTTGTACAATGGGAAAATTATTCCAAAGAACAGAGACATGAGTGGTTTGCGGTTTCTCTGGAAAGCCTGACCTCACTTATGAATTTTCAAGTGACAATAAATTATTTCACCATAGATTGCATTGTTTATTTTATTTCCAATGAAAATAGAATGCAAATCAATTTCATTTCAATTTATTTAAACAAAGATAAAAATTTTGTCACATTTTCCCAAATAAAATTTCCATCTTTCTAAAAATATTGAATAAAATTATTTTTAATATTTTTATCAATTGAAGAAATTAATTTTAAAATATACTATCAGAAATATATTTCTTAAAAATTCATTAATTTTCAATTTTTTTTTTATAGAGCACTTTTCGTGATAAGCGTTGTCATGACAATCAGCTATTCGATAAGTCACACGTCAACAAACAATTTAACAGCCGCGACGAATTCGACAATAAATCCCGAGATAAATCTCTTAAAATCTGCCGAATGGAAATTAAATCCAGATCCACCGGATGGTAATTTATCATCCCTTACAGATGGAGAATTAATTGAAGGTATTCAAGCGGGGAATGAGGCAATTGAAAAACGACGAATTTCCGATGCCTACACAAAACCCTTACCTTCACCATCGCCGAATTTTCGTCATCAATTTGCCGTCAGTACAAGTCTTGAGGCAGGTGCATTGGCATTGGCTGGTATCGGTGAAATAGCCGCAACAAAACACATTGAAGAATCAAGATCGCTCCATGGAAAACCATCATCAATTGGAAGTTACTTCAATGGCGGTTGGGCACCAAATGGTTCCTGTAAAGAATTTACAAGGATTAATTGTAAGTCAAATAAATATAGAACGTACGATGGTACTTGTAATAATCCAAAACAATGGGGAGCGGCAATGACGCCATATCAAAGAATATTACCACCAGCCTATGCTGATAAGATCAATTCGCCAAGAAGAGCAACTTCGGGAAAATCACTTCCATCAGCGAGGGAAGTCAGTCTCAAGGTTCATCCACCATCGCCAAGTTCAAATCCAGCTTTTACAGTAATGTTGGCTGTTTATGGACAATTTTTGGATCATGACATCACGGCAACAGCCATCGGTCAAGGAATCAATGGAAGTTCCCTGTCATGTTGCTCAACATCAATTCGTCATCCTGAGTGTTTTCCAGTTAAAGTTGGTCATGGCGATCCCGTTTACGATATTGGCATGAGCTCCTGCATGGAATTTGTCAGATCTGCTCCAGCATCCCAGTGTAAAATTGGTCCTCGACAGCAACTCAACCAGGTACTGCAAATGTTAATCAAAGTTTAATTTTAAATCTATTAAATTAAATTAAATTTCAAAATTTATTTTTTTCAAATTTCAGGTGACTTCTTTCATTGACGGATCAACAATCTATGGATCGGACGAGGTAACAATAAGTAACTTACGTAAATTCCATGGCGGTCGATTAAAGATGCAAGTGACGTCGGATAATAGAACACTCTTACCAAAAAGTACAAATTTCAATGATGGTTGTAATCGAAAACAAGAATGGAAACGTGGTCGTTATTGTTTTGCCGCTGGTGATAAAAGAGCCAATGAGAATCTTCATTTAACAACAATGCACATTTTATGGGCCAGACAACATAATCGACTTGCCGACAAACTCTCATCACTCAATCCCACCTGGGACGATGAGAAATTATTTCAGGAATCAAGACGAATTCTCGGTGCTCAATTGCAGCATATCACCTACAATGAATTTCTACCAATAATTCTCGGTGAAAAATTGATAAATGAGAAGAATTTAAAACCCCTAAAATCGGGTTATCGTCGTGTCAATCACACCGTTAATCCAACGTTGGCAAATAATTTTGCATCGTCGGCATTTCGATTTGCTCATACACTTTTACCGGGTCTTATGAAATTGACGGACACTGAAAAAGGAACAACCAGTTATATTGAATTACATAGAATGCTTTTTAATCCTTACAGTCTCTACAGTGATGATGGTGTCAGTAAATCAGTGACAATGGCAACTTCAAATGTTATTCAAAAAACATCGACTCACGTTACATCACAATTGACAAGTCATTTATTTGAAGATCCTGCGGCTAATAAAACTCTTCCTTGTGGATTGGATCTTGTGTCGTTGAACATTCAACGAGGACGTGATCACGGTTTACCAGGTTATACCAAATGGCGTGAGCATTGTGGATTGAAGAAACCAAATAAATTTTCCGACTTGAAATCTGATCTTGATCCTCAGGCGTTGAATGCCATTTCCAAATTGTACACGAATGTTGATGATGTCGATTTATATACTGGAGCATTGGCTGAAATTCCTCGATCGGATGGAATTGTGGGACCGACTTTTACCTGTCTGATTGGAGAACAGTTTGAGAGATCCCAGCAGGGCGATGGTTTTTGGTATGAAAATTCTGATCATCCTGGTGAATTCACTGAAGGTAAGTTTTTAGTAAATTAAATTAAATTAAATTCTAATTTTTTATTCATGTGTTTTTCAGAACAACTGGTGGAATTGAGAAAAACATCGCTAGCAAAATTAATCTGTGATTGCTCTGATGGAATAACAAAGATCCAGGCTGAAGTAATGAAGTCAGAAGGCGTTAATAATCCAATTATTTCTTGTGAAGATATTTCTGAACCGTCTTTTGAGGCTTGGAGAGAAATTCCAACTCTAGCTACTGCAGAACCTGTTTGGTTGGCTTTTAAAAATGATATCAATAAAACGGTGCAAAACTTTGCCGATTTCATTAAAGGAAATGAACCATCAATTCCAGATGACGACTATCTCACCTTTCAAAAGGAACTTAATGAATCGTTCGAGAATCTCAAAAATGAACTTCAAAGTTTACGTCCCTCGATCGATTCCGAATCATTAAATTCTGATTCATCAGATTCGAATTTAATGTTATTTATGAACAATTCGTTACAAGATGCGACTAATCAAGTGATATCGATAGCGAAAAAACATCATGATTGGGAAGCTTTTAAAACAAACACTATGTGTGTTCTCAATAAAAGTGTTGATCAGCTGAAAGAAGGTTCATCCAGCCGGGACGATTGGTTGGCATTTAAAGACAAGATCAAAATAGAAGTCAAACGAATAAAAGAAGACGTTGCAAATATGAAGAATCAAATTGCTGACATAAAGAAAAATCCAAAACTTCAAAAATTGATGGACGATGACTCCAATTGGAAGATGCTCAAAGGAGATGTTATCAAATCTATCGGTGAGGTTGTTGACGTCATTGAGGATAATCTCCCACCATCAGATGATCCAGATCGCACGACTTTTGTTCAACACATAAAAGATCAGTTCCATCGTTTTAGAAATCAAGTCTCCGAAGATAATAACGATACTGAAATTACTAAAGATATTGAAGATACTAATCAATCAGATGATCAATCAATATCGCACTGGGAGAATGCAAAAAGAAAAACCCTCACATCATTAAACGAAGCAATTCGCAATATCGATACAAATAAACCAGATTGGTACAATTATAGAGATGAAATTAAAAACAAATTTTCGAAAAGAAGAAAAAATTCAAATGAAAATCACGAATGGATTAAATTTAAACGTGATCTTATTGAAATTCTTGATAGAATAATTGAAGATATCAAAAATAATGCTCCACTACCTGATGATCCTTCATGGCCTGAGTACAAAAAGAAAATCATTGACATATTATTGAAATTCAGAAGTGATATACCAGTGAAAACTTCCGTTTTGTTGACAATATCAAATGGTACAGTGTTCGATTGGAAAAATTTCAAGTCAGACTTAAATAAATCTTTATGTGAATTAATTGACGCTAAAAAATCTAAAAATATTACATCAAATGATCCATGTTGGAAAGAATTTAGAGAGAAATTTCACAAATCATTAAATGATTCCAAATACAAGATGTCTCTTTTGAAATTGAATTTTGCAGATAATTCAAAATCTGATTGGATCAATTTTAGACGAGATTTAAAGGAAGCAATAGAAATTGTTGTTCATTATATCAAGATGAATGCTCCGCCTTGCGGTAGTCCGGATTGGATTGAATTTAGAAAAGAGATTAGAACAAAGTTCGCGGATCTACGAAAAGAGTTTGATATTCGAAAAGATGAAATTTTGGGAAGAATATCTGAAATGAAAAAAATAAATCACAATGATTCTGACGGTGAATTTAATTCAAAAAATGAAGATTGGAATTCATTAAAAGATGATTTAAATAAAACCATAAATGAATCATTAAGGCGAAAAAAATGGAAAAAATCTTGGATATGTGATTCAAAATGGATGAAATTTTGCAATTATGTTAACAAATCAATTTCGGAATTTAAATTTAATGTAAGTAAATTATCACCAAAAGTGAATGACAGGCAATTATTAAAATTATCAAACGATTGGAATGATTTTTCCAATCAAATAAATGATTCATTAAAAAGTGCTTTGAAAAATTTTGAAAATAAACTTTTAAAAAATATCGACTGGATGAATTTGCGAGAATCAATCAAAAATAATGTTGCACAGGTAAAAGAAGAAATAGCAAAAATTAAAGAAGAATGGTTATTGGAGACGAAAGAAGAAAATAAGAATAAAAATATTTCCGATCTTGAAGAAATAACTGATAAATCATTTTCGGATCTTAAAAATCAAGTTAAAAATTTGGAAATAAAATCAATTCAATTTAATATTACAGATGATGATTGGAAGGAATTTAAAAATTCTATAAACAAAACTGTCAATAATTACATGAATTCGATAAAACAAAATAATTCAAATGAGTGGATAAATTTTAAAGATTTTATAAAAAAATCAATGGATGATCTAAAGAATCAAATTGCCTCGCTTAAGAATAATATTGACGAGTCTGTTGAAAAAATTGAAATGAAAAAAAATTCTTTACAAATTTTAAATAACACATCATCATCAGTTGAAGCGAATAATGAATCGATAGATGACATAATGAACAATTTTCAAAATACCACAATTATAAATTCTAATTTAAACAAAGTTAGAGAAACGTTGGTGAGTGCTCGCAATCAAATTCTAAATCTTTCATATCAAGATTCCGAATCTATTGAAAATATTCCCAAGTGGAAAAAATATCAAAATTCAGTGAAAGATCAATTTAATGAGTTAAATGATGCCGTGAAAAATAAAATGGATCTTATAAATAATACAAAATCTTCTGCATCAAAATTGACAATTTTTCATATAACGACAAACTCTATTTTAATTCTAACACTGATGAGGCTAGAAATAATTTTATAGTTATTCTTCGACTCATGTATATTTGAATAATTGCCAAATTTTATAAAGTTAATATTAATATTAATTTAAGAATTAGTTTAAAATAATTAGTTATTAATATAACAATAATTATAAATTGAATACTTAATTAGCCGATTTAATAAATATTTATGTATAAATAATGTATATTAATTGGATAAGTATATTAATAAAAAAAAATTAAGTTGCGAGACTTAATAAAAGAGCAGTTCCTCGCTTTATCCAATGATCGGAACCTTCTGGTCCAGAATTTAAATCAACAGTTACAATATATGCAGGTCTACCTTGATCACCACTTCTTTGAGGATAATAATAACAGGGACAATTATAAATTCCTAAATTAAAAATTAAAATATTCCTCTTTTTTCCAATCAATGTGAATTTGGATGGAATTATATAAGTGTAAATAAATACCTTTAACTTTCTTTTTGACTTGTTCCACTGGTCGAAAATGAATTACAGGCATGTTACATACAAGTGACATTGGAGCAGGTTCCACGAGTGTCCCATTTTCTTTATCCCATCCAGCTCCCTCGAGATAAATCGTTCTCACGTAAATTCCATTCTGAAGAAAAATAACTCAATTTTAGTTTTCTCGTTATAATCGAAATTAAAAATTTTTTTTTATTAATCTTAACTATATAATAAATGAAAAAAAAATAAAAACAAAAATTGTTAATTAATGTTCGAAAGAAATTTTTGAATTTCTGTAAAAATAAAATAAATACTTACTTCAGGTGGTTCAATGATCAAATTATCATCCTCGGTGAAAACTTGAAACTCCCAAGATAATGAATCAATCGAGATGTTCCATGATCTTGCGGATGTTTGCAAAACAGCAGTGAGAAATCCAGTGGGAAATGTAAAGGCACTAAGCCAAAATAACGTTGGTTGATGAGTCGTTTCCGCCCAATGTGAAAAATGTTTAACACGACTTATTAAATCTCTGGTCCATGATCCAAGAAGTTTTAACGATGGATACGCAGTCAGCCAGGAAGTTGGTACACGACCCTCGTAAATACACGTGAAAATCTCCTCCAATTCAGAGGACATTAATACCAAACCTTCTATTCCCCGTCTAAGATCATCTAAACTTGAATTAGTCTTCTTTAAAAGAACATTGTATCTCGTTATCTCCTGCAATAAAACCACGTCCAATGGCTTCTTTTCCGGTCCAATTAATTTTTCCGTCAATTCATAATCTATTAAATTTGGCAATTTACTCGAAATATCCAATGCCATTTGCATTACCTGAAAAATTATTTATTTTTTTTTTTTAATTATCTTAATAATTTTTGAGAAATTATGTCAAAATTTAAAGATTCTAACTTTATCTTCTTTGTTGATTTCATCTTCGATGGAACTTGCTTGAACATGAAGACTCATGAGTGTTCCAAACATATCTCTATTGTCAATAATAAGAGATGTAATGTCAGCGTTTGGATGTTGACCGAAAGCTTCTGGTCGATCGTTGTTTGGCAAAAGTGATATAAAATCTCGATAAGATTCAAAGGGTCCGTCACGAGGTACAAAATAAGTTGGCAAAATTGATAAACGATAAAATGGCAAATTTATGACTTCGTCGGTGAAATATTGTTCGACATAGCTCATCAATAGACGTCGATCCCAATCGTCTGTCACGTGACCTCCGTAACAAATTCCGGCTATTAAATATTTCAACGAGTCCCACGGTGTCTCTGGATATTCATCAAGATAAACTTCCAATAGATTTTCTGATACCTTCAATCAATAAATTGAATTATATTAGTATAAAAAATATATTTAATTATTAAAATATAGTAAATTTATCATAAATTTTATATAAATTAAGAATTCACCTCAAAGTCAGAGTCATTGAAGCTATAGACGATATTCCAGCCGAGTTGTTGAAATTTTTTCCTCTCGATAAGAATCGAATGAAAGAAGACGAGTGTGAAAAGAAGTTTTTTGAATTTTGATTTTGTTTGGCACATTTCAAATTGATTTTCCGTCATTAAGCCATACAGTCTCGTCATATTGGCTCTGATTCCTTTTGGTGGTTCAGTTGTCATTTTGATTCCAGCTTGAAGAATTGATATCGGAAAATGTGGAGTTGGACTTGAACTCAACCATAATCTGCAAATTTATATCAAAAAAAAAAAATTTAATCCTTTCTTTAAAGTAAACAAATAAATATATAAATATTGTTTACCTAAAATTTGGATTTAGATTTTTATTCGACGATAAATTATCCACAATTTTATCCAATTGTGGCATCCAACTCAATGACAAATGACAATTGGCCAGAAACACCCAGCTTCCGTCTTTTGTGCCAGTTTCAATCATTCTGGAAATTACAATACAATCAGAATAATTCAAATAAAAATAAAAATAATTCTACAAAATTTTAATAAATATTGATTTAAAATACATTTTTTATTTTAAAGGAAATATTCCAAGATTAGTTTTCAATTATTAAAGACTGAATAACCTGGTAGCGATTGGCGCTTGACCTTGGCCAAGTGACAGGGTCATGATTTGTTGGGGCTCATCTTGATTGTCTGCCAGTTGCAAAAGTGCATTAGTGGGATCGACTCCGGGCGAAAGAACAAAAATCAATGGCGATTGTGCCACTGAATCTTCAAGTGCTGCCTTCACATCCAATACAGGAGGTTCCACGAATTTTTGGCCAAGATTTTTCCCAATAAAAGCAATTAAACAGAATGAAATTCTATCCGAACGACAACTGCGAATGAAAAGCATTTTTTGAAATTCATCACAACTAGTTTCCCAATCACCGGGTAATTCCTGTGTCTCTGGTTCTGTATGAATGTACCTATATACGATTTAAAAATGAAAAAAATTTTAACTTGTAATTTATAAATTAATAAATTTTAGAAACAGTATACCAATTGTGCCATTCTTCGGGTAATTGTTCAAAAGACGCAGCAACACCATGAAATCCTGACAACTTATCGAGTTCTGTTATATTATCCCAGGATTCGTCCGAGAGCCAAGTCACGGATTTGTTCAATTGATTTTCCTTGTCGAGAACAATTCCGCCTTTCAATAAAAACGCATATTCCACAGGGACAATTCTTCCCTCGGCTTCCAATATTTTTATACACATATGAAATGAAAAAAGAAGCTTGTGTTGCTCAAAAAGACCTCTGCATGTATTTCTATATAAATGCACAAAACAAAGATATTAAAATAAAATTCTTCTTTTGCGTTTTATTACAATTTTTTATTTAAAGAAAAAAAAAAACCTGTATAAAGCATAAGTGTGATATTCATTTAATGCTTTGATTCTTTCATTTTGTTTGGGACTCTTTTCAATTGAAATCATGAAAAGAGAGATATATGACTCAAGAGAAAATTGGTACATCGGATCTATTAGACTCATGTCGTTTAGAACAAAAAAGAGAATAGCCGCTCTTTTCGAGCAAGGACGATATCCTGCACGTGCAAGATCAATTTCCTTTTCTGTCTCCTCTGTGACCATTAATGATTGTTGAACTGTATCGGATGTCATTTTTGAAGACTGCAACGTATTTAGTAAATCTAAATCGTCTAAAAGTGATCCAGTTGTGATACTCAGTAGACTGGAAAAAATAAAAAAAAAAAAATAGTTATGAATTTTTTTCTACCATATAAAATTCAAATTAAATTAAATTAATAAATTCTTACTAGAGTATTTTGTCCTCAAGTTCTTTCAAAGTACGCTTCCCGGCAGCAATAGTCAAAACTAAATTATCTTTTTGTTCTTCCAATTGAGGTTTCTCTTTTCTAACGACAATACCCAAAAGTTGTGCTTCCAGCCCTAAAAAAACAATAAAAAAATTTATTCATAAAATTTATTTAAAACGTTTATTTAAATTATTCATCTAATTTAAAAATATAACCTTGCTCTTTGATTGCAAAATTGCATAAAGTAGTTTTGGTCGATATTTCCGGTGCATAATGTGGATTTGGTAGTTTAGTGGTTATAAATAACCGAAATTTATCATTGAAAGTTATCATTTTATCATTGAACTTAATCATTATCTCATTTCCTGCAATATTAAATCATTTGATAAAATAGTGCAAAATAATAATAATAATAATAATTAGAATAGTAAATAAAAAAAGAAACCTGTTTTAATAAAAGCTTTTTGCAAAATTGGATTCAATGCTGGATCTAAAATTTCGCCAACATTTTGCAAAAGTACCGGTTTTCCAAATTGAATCGCCAATTCTAAAACTTTTGTAAAATCAGTTTGTCCGAAGTCAATTATTTTTAAATCCTAGAAAATATAAAAATTCATATTTAAAATCAAGTTCGCATTTTTTTCCAAATATTAATTTTCACTTTATAATTTGATTTAAAATAAATTAAAAATAAATACATTGTCTTCTTCCATATTCTTAATCCATTTTACAGCTTGACATTGAGGATCTGTAACTAAAGGCCATCGTGTTCCTCTAGTAACTATTATTCCATTTTCCGTACTAAAATCATCAGACGGCAATCCTTGAATTCTCCATTCTCTGATTGTTGTAGGATTACTTAAAAATTGTTTAATATCCAAATCGAAAGATATTGGAATTTCCTTCTCAAGGATCTAAAATATTAGTATAATACAATACTAATAAATTTTTTTTTTTTCATAAAAACTGTAATAATTTAATTACTTCATTGGTCCACAATTTAGTTAGATCTTCTCGATAATTAGAGACAAAAGGTCCCAAATAAGAGACAAATGCAGTACAAATCAAACAATCTCCAGGCAATAAATCAAAAAGATTTCCTAAATTTTCAACTGTATTTTCCCATCTTATTCGTTCTTCAGATAGTCCATCTAATAGCATTGCAGCTCTTTCCAATTTTAATTTTAATAATTCTTCCTGTTATGTAATTGACCAAAAAAAAATTTATATTACAATATAATAAAGAAAGAAATAAAAACTGAAAGAGAAAAAAATTAAATACCATTTCAATTAAATCGCTTTTCTCCTTCATTTTTGCATCGTACATTGTTTGCAATCTTTGTAATTCTTGACGTAATTTTTGTAATTGAGCTTCAGCTTCTACCAGGGCTGCTTCCTTTTCTCTTAAAGACACCAAGGCCGCTTCTAATTTTTCTCTTTTTGGTGCTACAATTCTAATATGAACAAATTTGATTCTAATATTTTACTTTATTTCAAAAATAAATTCATTTTTGAAAAGTTTAAATAAATATCACTTTACCTATAAAGCTTTCCATATTTTTCCATAGCAATCACCCACATACAAAGTGATTTTGCAGCCATTGATACAACACCAACTTTTACAGGATCAAATTCTCGATTATTTGTGTATCTACTTATAGTCTTTAAAATTTTATCCGATATATGATCTTTATCAAAATCTCTCAACTAAAAATTATTATAATATATGAAAAGATAGCACAATTCACTGTAAAAAAAAATTCTAAGGTATTATCACTTACAGTATTTAAAAAATTAACGTCACCCAATTGACGTTTTGCCTCTGCCCAAGATTTTTCGGAATTTTTCAAAACCATTATCGCCTCCATTACCATTTCCACTTTAGGTGGTGGTCGCGTAAAAGATTTGATTTCTGATAAATCTTTTTTATTCAATGCATCAAGAGCCTAAAAATATTTTTATAATTTAAAAAATGAAAAATAAAATTTCGAAAACAAAATTAATCAAATGAAAATAACCTTTATAGCTTCAATAATTGCAGGTTCAACAGTAGCTAAATCAGCGCGAGCAATTTCTTCTAATCTTTTACATTCTTTCGATTCCTCAGCAATTCTAATTGATTTTGCAGTAACAATTCTTTGAGTATCGTCCGTATCTTTTTGTTGAATTAAAATAGTTGCTAAAAATTCTTCGCATTCTTTCGTTGATTTTTGCACTTGCAATTGTGTCGCTTCAAGTTCAATTGCCATTTCGTTTACTTTCTCTTTAGTGTCATCAATTTTTGAAAGACCACCACGTAATTTATTCGCTTCATTCTCCAATTCTCGTCTCTTTTCAAACAACATTCTGTGAAAATATTAATATTACATATAATTATAAAAAAAGTAAAAATAAAGTATTAGAAAAATACCTCTTATAACCAGCAACGAGTTCCAAAAAATTTGTTGGTGTCACATAATTAAATCGTTTTAGTTCTAGTGCCATTTTTTTCGACATTTGTAAAACAGAGTCGTGAATAAGGGAAAATGTCGATGAAATTCCTTCGAGCATTCTTTCTTGAAGTGGAGCCAACGGAATTGCTGTCGCCGATTTCCTTGGTTCCTGTAAATAAAAAATTGGTATTTTTTTTTTTTATTTGCATTAATTATAGAAGGAAAAAAAAACCAAACTCTTACAATTTTGTTTTCTCCAGTAATAGTGACAATCAAATTTAAATCCATAAGAAATTTATTGCCCACTTCCAATAACGCTTCTCTAGGCCACTCAAGAAACCAATCAATCGTAGTGCAATTAATAAGAGACGGATATTGTCGAATTCGATTTCGAAAAGCATCACCTATTGGACTCATGCACAATATAATATGCAAATTCGCTCGAATTCTCTCTATCAGAAAATTATAAATTGCTTCTGAAGTTGGCATAATTCCAGCTTTGCCAGCATCTTTCGTTAATTTAATTTTTATCTGTAAATCGAAGTTTTCAATCAAAAAAATTATTATAATTACGACAAAAAAATTATTTAACAAAATAAATTTAAACAAACATCATCGAACTCATCGCTCTTGTATAAATTAGCAACTTCTCCAGTGCTCAACATATTATTTATAATTTCTAAAAATTGCTCTTCCGCAATTTGTGTGTCATTAAACAAAAAATTCGTTGGCTTATTATCAACACCGGCCTTTGTGAACAAAACTTTGAGATCTTCTCGAAATTCCGGAACGCCATAATTCTTCGTCACTTCTATTTGGAATGTGTTCAATTCACACATATAACCAGCAACACGGGAAAGAGATTGTCTTCCACTTCCGCCAATGCCGACCAGTAACATATTTCCTCTTGGCTGTAAATCATAAAGCATTTATTTCAAAAATTTTCCTCTAAAATTATTAATTATTAATTTGAAAATTTGTTATTAAAATTTGTTCTAATTTTTTAAAAAGCTTTAATTAAATATGTTCAGATGAAATTTTCACTTAAATTTATAAATTGAATTAATATATGCAAATACCTGTGAAATTACTCGAACAATGCGACATATATGTTCAATTGCATCTCTGAAAAGTGTGAGATCAAGACGAACAACCCCCGGTGAAGCGTTATATTCATCAATTTGCAATTCTATATAACGACGAACAGCACTCAAGTCAGTAAGATCCTCATAAATATTCCAGGCATTCATGAAACTTCCTGTTGCATAATTTACATAAACATAAATTTTCTAAATATTATTTCACAAGAAATGAAAAACAAATTTTTCATACTCCAAACAATGAAAAAATTCCAATGGAATAAACATTCTTTTATCACATTCTTATGGGAATAAAAATTAAAAAAGAGAATATTAATTAATATTAAATGAAAAAAAATTTTTAGATAGGAAAAACATACCAAAAACAGGACTTCTCTTTTCCGGGCACAAATTATGGAAAATTAATTCAAAATGTTTTCCAAGTTGCTCGTTTAATAGACCAACAAACCATTCTCTATCTCTGTAATAAATTTCCGTTTTCAATAAACTAAATAATCAAATGATTTCTAAATTAAAAAAAAGGGGAAAAATTAAACATACCTCTCGTCTGTGAGTCGATCGCTAAAAATTCTAAATGACTCGTGAATCCAGAGTCTCAAAAATGTCGATTTCGAGTACTGATAATCTTTATGGCTTCTTAATAATCCTTGAAATATCTTGAAAATTAAGATTTATTTAAAAATTTGTAATTTTCAAAAAGTTAAAAAACTAAATTTCAATTTAAAAAAAAATACCTTGGAAATGTCCCTTAAATTAAATAAATAATGCATTTTCGCAGGAGTTGGTAACATTTTCAAAATCACTCGATTGTACATTTCGATCGTCGCCAATGTTATTTCGTTCGCTTAATAATACATAATTATAATTAAAATATAAATATTTACGGTAATTAAAGTTTTAATTCAATAAAAATTTAAGCAAATTAGAATTTCAATTTTAAAAAACAAACTCACAAATTCCTTTAACTTCTGGATGAAAGTCAAAAAGTTGTTGATTAAGCATTGTGCCGTAAATTCGGCTAATTTGTTTTTCCACAGGAAAAGTCATGTTAATAACGTTAAACCTCGTAAGAAGTCTTTCTGTAATTGTATTTCTTCCTCCACCTGGTGGACCCATTGCAGCAATTAATTGCATTTTTTGAACATATTTTCTCGTTTGATTCTGCCGATCATACCTTTAATAAAAAAAAATGATTATTTTTATTTTGTATTATTTTGTTCATATTAGGGTAAAATAAATAGAAAAATATTTATTTACTATTTATTACCAAAATCCATATCCTAGCCACTGACGTATCAATTCTAACGGTGGTTGAGATCCATAAATTTCTTTCATTGACATATTAAAATCATCTATAAATGTTATCATATTTTTTCCTCCAATTGGAACGAAAACTCCTTTCGTACGTTTCTCCACTCTACTTTCAATAGCTTCCTAAAAAAATTTATTCAAAACTTAATAAATAAGAAAAATTCAAATTTTAATAATAAATTATATTTTTTTGAAAATTACCTGAATATTTTTTGATGTAGTTTGAGCCGACATGTTTATAACCAAAATACTATATTTCATACGATCTAAAGATTCGAAAACAGATTGTGCCGTGGAAGTTTTTCCAGTTCCCACCGGACCAACCAAAAGTACTGGAAATTCATGACCCATCAAAACACTAACAAGATATTCGTATCTTATTGTGTCGACCGTTGGGACAACAATTTTATAAAATGGAATTCTGAAACAATAATTTTTCAACTAAAAAAATGAGATTTAAAGAAAACATTTAATTACTTATATAAACAAATAGATAAATTTTGAATTATATTTTTTAAAAATTAATTTTTTTGTAAAGTAATATATAATAAAATTTTTATTCTCACCCTGCTGGAATTTTCCAAGAGGCAGATAATTTTTCCTCCCATGAGACAAAGCTTTTTTGTCGCACATCCACGTAATATTCATAGATTGTATCTTTAATAGGAAAGCTGCTTTCCAATTCTCGTATGAAATTGTCCATTTTTTGACGACCCTCTTCGTTCACTGATGCACATAGTGACCAAATCATGCTAAAAAATTATTTTCCAATTCAATTAAAATTGAAGAAAAATTATTCATTTATTTTTATATTATTAAAAAAGAGAATACAACAAAAAATAATTGTCAATTATTATTGTTTAATATTATTACCAGAAAAGAAACCAATTTTTGCAAATTTTACTATAATCGTCAGGATCATCGCGAAATATAATGCCATTTTTTTGAATTGCCAGAACTTGTAATAATTTGCAAAGTGATTGAACTGCATTTAATTCGGGAACTTGTACAATTTCCTCACAATTCAATCGTTTAAATTCCAGAATTTTATCCACATATCGTTCAAATAATTCGTTCATCTGTAAAGATTTTTAATTTGAATAATTATTTTTTCATTAAGAAAATATTTCATTAAAATTTTTTTTTAATTTTCATCTACCTCTTGAATAAATTCCGGTTTTTTCTCATAATTTTGCAGCCATGATTTAACATAGGGTCGCCATCCTAAATCTTTGTAATCATTATAAACCATTCCAGCTCTGGAGACTGTTGCTGGAGAAGCTACAGACAAATCTTCTACTTCGAACAGTAAGCTAACTTGTTCCGGCATTCCGATTCGATCGTTGTTAATTAACGTTAATAACTAAAAAAAAAAGAAATTTACAGACTAAGAAAATTCTGATTATTTTATCAGTTAAAAATATGTAAAAATAATTGTTCAATAAATACTGACTTTATTGTCGTCCATTACACTATTCATATTTTCAATCCAAACAGCATCAACGGGTCCATCGAAAAGAATCCATTTCTCATCGGGAGAGTCATCTGTCATTAGTTTAAATATGAAACAAAATGTTTAGTGAAAAAAATTTTATTTCTTAAAAATAATTATAAAAATTATAATTACCAGCACATGTATTTCGCATTATTGAAGAAATTACTCCATCATGCCATTCACCAGTCGACAAATTATACTCTCCATATAATTCTCCTAAATTTAAAGCTTTTGGATTTATTGGAAATTCGTAGACAGAATTAAAACCCTGCTTTCCATCTTTGTTTAATGAAGTCAGAGTGTTTTTTAATATCGTCCACGTAGCAGATTTTGCTGTATTCGATTTTCCCACAATCATTGTTGAATGTCGGGAATTTTTCGTCTCAAACAGTTCAATTGTCTTTCGCAAAATCAACGGTATTGGCTAATTTAAAAAAAAATATATAAATAAACATTTCAATAAAAATAATTAATAAAAATTTTGAGTAATTATTGTATTTCTCACTTGCAACTTTAATTTAATAGATTCTTGAACGATATATATATTCATCTCCTCATAATCGATTGTAGGAACATTCACTCCAGGAAATAGATCAGAAGTGATGGCAATAAAAAGAGGCAAATCGTCCGATGTTAGTTTTGCTATATTCATGTCCTTCATTGCAAGAATAATCACCTGTTACAATTCAAATTTTTATATTAATATATCGCAAAAGAAACTCGAATTTATTATTTCAAAATTAAAAAGACCTCTTCTTCAGGTAAATCCGGATAGAGACGTCGTTTCTTTCCAGCGTACCTTGTCAATGTCACAATACCACGAAGACCAAAATCATAATGATGCTGAATACTAAGCTGTTGTTTTGCCAAATTATAAAGTGTAAACACCTGAAAAAAAAATTAAGAATTATATAAAAGAAAGTAATATAGAAAAAAAATGTAAAATCTTTTTAAAAAAAATTTATTACCTTTCTGGCAAGAGAACGAGTATTTTGGAATCCTTCACCAAAAAGATTTATTTCAGCAATCATGCTACTGTCAGGGACCATCATTGATATTGGACGAAACATGGATTTTAGATTATCGGGTAACTCCGTACGTCCAGCATAACCAGGATTCATGGTAATGAAAATACCGCATGTTTTCACAAGTGAAATTTCCATTCCTTCGAATATGAATTTCGTCAATTTTTGCGACAATGCTGAGAGTATCGATAGAATTTGCTGTGCCACTACCGACAATACCTCGATGTTTATTCTATAAAAATAATCAAATTTTTGGATGTTAATAAATTTTTTGTATCAATAGTAAAACTAAATTTTTGTCTAAATTCTTGTAAATTTGATATTAATAGTAAATTTAAATAAAATTAACCATTTTCTTTTTTACCGATTAAATTCATCGAAACATCCCCAGGCGCCTGTTTGGGCCAAGCCAGAGAACTGACGTCCCATACTTTTATAATCTAATCCTTCGGAACAATTTGTAACGATAACATTAAATCCCAATGCTTTTCCTAAATCTTTGACAGTTTCTGTTTTACCAGTTCCCGCAGGTCCTTTGGGACTTCCTCCTCGATTCAAATGAAGCGCAGTGGTCAAAGTTATGTAACATCTAGAAAATTCTCTTTTTATTTAGTAAATTATGTTTTTTAATTTTATTCCTAGTATTTTTTTCCTTTACCAGTAATGTATTTTTTTTACATTAAGAAAATTTTGATAATTCAATTTTCTCTTACCTATCAGTTAACGGAGTGATAACTAATCGTTCTGAATTGCCAAGGTATTCATATCCATAAACGAAAGAAGTATTTGTCTGTCTAACAATACAATTATCGATATTTTTTTCCCAATAAAATCGTAACTGCGACAACCACTCAAAAGCGGAGGTATCTCTGCAGTCTATTAAAAAAAAATTTTCAAATATTCAAAAAACAAATTTAATATTCAGAATAGAAAAAAATGAGACCTACTAATTTTGTACATTTTTTCAATTACATCTCTTGCATGAATTTCAATAACAACAATCGCTTTAAACTTTAATCTCTGCAATTTGCTTAAATTTCCTCGAATAGCTTCCGAATATTTAGCAAGAGCTTGATTTTGCTTTTTTCTTAATTTTTTCAATGGTTTTTTCGAATCTAACAATCTATTAATAAAAAAAAGATTTGGCAATATTAATTAATTTATGGTTTTAATTTTTATAATAAAAAAAAAGCTAAGACTCTCACTTGCAATGCATAAGGGTTCTCGTGCAATCAGTGGTCCACTGAATTTGTGTTGCAGTTATTCCAGGTTGACTTTGCCAATCTTTAACCCATTTATCTCGTTTCGATAACATTTTTCGAAGGGCTGCTCGACATTGACGTAAAAGTTCTCTCAAACACATTCTCATTGCATTTTCTGTAAATGAAAAATTTTTTTTCAATATTTTACTTTTTTATTGATGATGAAATAATTAATTGAAAAAATAAAAATTGTTATTTAAGGAAAAAAAAATAGACTTCCCATAAGATATTAAGAAACAATTTAGAGATACATAAATAAAAAATGCAAGACAATATCATACCAATATCACATAACCATTTTTCAACTGGTCCCTCTAAAAGAACAGGCTTTAAAAATTCAACATATTCACCTTCGCTGGAAAGCATTCCTTCGGCTATGTATTTCAAAGTTGTAGTCTGGTTTAAAAATATTAATCCTTTTTTTAAAAAATATTTTTTTTCTAAATATTAATAATAATAAAGAACAAGGCATTTTTTTGTCTATTCAAGAACCTGTGCAAATTATCTCCATAGTCATTCTAGATGTGTTTTCGGTCGCTGATGAAGGATTTGGGGTCAAAATTGACGATTTAGCAGTTAAAAGTTATCGAGCTGTCAATTTTTTTCTACACTTTTCGGTGTATTTTGTGCAAGAAAATGCAATAAAATAGTCTGCCTAAGAAAAATTGAATTTTTTTGGAATGTTTTTTATGCTTTTAGATGCGTTTTTGGTCATAAAATTAGTGTTCCTCTACTCGGATCGGGCTGACAATTTTTTTCTACACTTTTTGGTGTATTTTGTGCAAGAAAATGCAATAAAATAGTCTGCCTAAGAAAAATTGAATTTTTTTTAGATGTTTTTTATGCTTTTGGATGCGTTTTTGGTCATAAAATTAGTGTTCCTCTACTCGGATCGGGCTGTTTTCCCAAGTGGGGAAATCACTATAGATTCTCCTTACACGCATCTATTTGAACTGTAAGAGTCGATGTGCGATTTCTAGGGGGGATTTTAATTATGGTAGGGATTCCACGCCGGTAGACCATTGACAAATTCATTTCTCCGTCTAATCGACGGGTCTCTAGTTCTAGTCTAGTCTCTAGTTCTAGTTCTAGTCTCTAGAAAATCGCTTTAATGGTCATAAAATTGGTGTTCCTCTACTCGGATCGGGCTGTCAATTTTTTTCTACACTTTTAGGTGTATTTTGTGCAAGAAATTGCAATAAAATAGTGTGCCTAAGAAAAATTGAATTTTTTTGAAAATTTTTTTTTACGAAAATCGCTTTAATGGTCATAAAATTGGTGTTCCTCTACTCGGATCGGGCTGTCAATTTTTTTCTACACTTTTAGGTGTATTTTGTGCAAGAATATGCAATAAAATCGTCAGCCTAAGAAAAATTAAATTTTTTTGGAATGTTTTTTATGCTTTTGGATGCGTTTTTGGTCATAAAAATGGTCTTCCTCTACTCGGATCTGGGTGTCAATTTTTGTCTACACTTTTCGGTGTATTTTGTGCAAGAATATGCAATAAAATCGTCTGCCTAAGAAAAATTGAATTTTTTTGGAATGTTTTTTATGCTTTTGGATGCGTTTTTGGTCATAAAATTAGTGTTCCTCTACTCGGATCGGGCTGTCAATTTTTTTCTACACTTTTAGGTGTATTTTGTGCAAGAATATGCAATAAAATCGTCAGCCTAAGAAAAATTGAATTTTTTTGGAATGTTTTTTATGCTTTTGGATGCGTTTTTGGTCATAAAAATGGTCTTCCTCTACTCGGATCGGGCTGTCAATTTTTTTCTACACTTTTAGGTGTATTTTGTGCAAGAAATTGCAATAAAATAGTGTGCCTAAGAAAAATTGAATTTTTTTGAAAATTTTTCTTTTACGAAAATCGCTTTAATGGTCATAAAATTGGTGTTCCTCTACTCGGATCGGGCTGTCAATTTTTTTCTACACTTTTAGGTGTATTTTGTGCAAGAAATTGCAATAAAATAGTGTGCCTAAGAAAAATTGAATTTTTTTGAAAATTTTTTTTTTACGAAAATCGCTTTAATGGTCATAAAATTGGTGTTCCTCTACTCGGATCGGGCTGTCAATTTTTTTCTACACTTTTCGGTGTATTTTGTGCAAGAATATGCAATAAAATCGTCTGCCTAAGAAAAATTGAATTTTTTTGAAAATTTTTCTTTTACGAAAATCGCTTTAATGGTCATAAAATTGGTGTTCCTCTACTCGGATCGGGCTGTAAATTTTTTTCTACACTTTTAGGTGTATTTTGAGCAAGAAAATGCAATAAAATCGTCTGCCTAAGAAAAATTGAATTTTTTTGGAATGTTTTTTATGCTTTTGGATGCGTTTTTGGTCATAAAATTAGTGTTCCTCTACTCGGATCGGGCTGTCAATTTTTTTCTACACTTTTAGGTGTATTTTGTGCAAGAATATGCAATAAAATCGTCTGCCTAAGAAAAATTGAATTTTTTTGAAAATTTTTCTTTTACGAAAATCGCTTTAATGGTCATAAAATTGGTGTTCCTCTACTCGGATCGGGCTGTCAATTTTTTTCTACACTTTTAGGTGTATTTTGTGCAAGAAATTGCAATAAAATAGTGTGCCTAAGAAAAATTGAATTTTTTTGAAAATTTTTTTTTACGAAAATCGCTTTAATGGTCATAAAATTGGTGTTCCTCTACTCGGATCGGGCTGTCAATTTTTTTCTACACTTTTAGGTGTATTTTGTGCAAGAATATGCAATAAAATCGTCAGCCTAAGAAAAATTAAATTTTTTTGGAATGTTTTTTATGCTTTTGGATGCGTTTTTGGTCATAAAAATGGTCTTCCTCTACTCGGATCTGGGTGTCAATTTTTGTCTACACTTTTCGGTGTATTTTGTGCAAGAATATGCAATAAAATCGTCTGCCTAAGAAAAATTGAATTTTTTTGGAATGTTTTTTATGCTTTTGGATGCGTTTTTGGTCATAAAATTAGTGTTCCTCTACTCGGATCGGGCTGTCAATTTTTTTCTACACTTTTAGGTGTATTTTGTGCAAGAAATTGCAATAAAATAGTGTGCCTAAGAAAAATTGAATTTTTTTGAAAATTTTTTTTTTACGAAAACCGCTTTAATGGTCATAAAATTGGTGTTCCTCTACTCGGATCGGGCTGTCAATTTTTTTCTACACTTTTAGGTGTATTTTGTGCAAGAATATGCAATAAAATCGTCTGCCTAAGAAAAATTGAATTTTTTTTAGATGTTTTTTATGCTTTTAGATGCGTTTTTGGTCATAAAATTAGTGTTCCTCTACTCGGATCGGGCTGTCAATTTTTTTCTACACTTTTAGGTGTATTTTGAGCAAGAAAATGCAATAAAATCGTCTGCCTAAGAAAAATTGAATTTTTTTGGAATGTTTTTTATGCTTTTGGATGCGTTTTTGGTCATAAAAATGGTCTTCCTCTACTCGGATCTGGGTGTCAATTTTTGTCTACACTTTTCGGTGTATTTTGTGCAAGAATATGCAATAAAATCGTCTGCCTAAGAAAAATTGAATTTTTTTGGAATGTTTTTTATGCTTTTGGATGCGTTTTTGGTCATAAAATTAGTGTTCCTCTACTCGGATCGGGCTGTCAATTTTTTTCTACACTTTTAGGTGTATTTTGTGCAAGAAATTGCAATAAAATAGTGTGCCTAAGAAAAATTGAATTTTTTTGAAAATTTTTTTTTTACGAAAACCGCTTTAATGGTCATAAAATTGGTGTTCCTCTACTCGGATCGGGCTGTCAATTTTTTTCTACACTTTTAGGTGTATTTTGTGCAAGAATATGCAATAAAATCGTCTGCCTAAGAAAAATTGAATTTTTTTTAGATGTTTTTTATGCTTTTAGATGCGTTTTTGGTCATAAAATTAGTGTTCCTCTACTCGGATCGGGCTGTCAATTTTTTTCTACACTTTTAGGTGTATTTTGAGCAAGAAAATGCAATAAAATCGTCTGCCTAAGAAAAATTGAATTTTTTTGGAATGTTTTTTATGCTTTTGGATGCGTTTTTGGTCATAAAATTAGTGTTCCTCTACTCGGATCGGGCTGTCAATTTTTTTCTACACTTTTAGGTGTATTTTGTGCAAGAAATTGCAATAAAATAGTGTGCCTAAGAAAAATTGAATTTTTTTGAAAATTTTTTTTTTACGAAAACCGCTTTAATGGTCATAAAATTGGTGTTCCTCTACTCGGATCGGGCTGTCAATTTTTGTCTACACTTTTCGGTGTATTTTGTGCAAGAATATGCAATAAAATCGTCTGCCTAAGAAAAATTGAATTTTTTTGGAATGTTTTTTATGCTTTTGGATGCGTTTTTGGTCATAAAATTAGTGTTCCTCTACTCGGATCGGGCTGTCAATTTTTTTCTACACTTTTAGGTGTATTTTGTGCAAGAAATTGCAATAAAATAGTGTGCCTAAGAAAAATTGAATTTTTTTGAAAATTTTTTTTTTACGAAAACCGCTTTAATGGTCATAAAATTGGTGTTCCTCTACTCGGATCGGGCTGTCAATTTTTTTCTACACTTTTAGGTGTATTTTGTGCAAGAATATGCAATAAAATCGTCTGCCTAAGAAAAATTGAATTTTTTTTAGATGTTTTTTATGCTTTTAGATGCGTTTTTGGTCATAAAATTAGTGTTCCTCTACTCGGATCGGGCTGTCAATTTTTTTCTACACTTTTAGGTGTATTTTGAGCAAGAAAATGCAATAAAATCGTCTGCCTAAGAAAAATTGAATTTTTTTGGAATGTTTTTTATGCTTTTGGATGCGTTTTTGGTCATAAAATTAGTGTTCCTCTACTCGGATCGGGCTGTCAATTTTTTTCTACACTTTTAGGTGTATTTTGTGCAAGAAATTGCAATAAAATAGTGTGCCTAAGAAAAATTGAATTTTTTTGAAAATTTTTCTTTTACGAAAATCGCTTTAATGGTCATAAAATTGGTGTTCCTCTACTCGGATCGGGCTGTCAATTTTTTTCTACACTTTTAGGTGTATTTTGAGCAAGAAAATGCAATAAAATCGTCTGCCTAAGAAAAATTGAATTTTTTTGGAATGTTTTTTATGCTTTTGGATGCGTTTTTGGTCATAAAATTAGTGTTCCTCTACTCGGATCGGGCTGTCAATTTTTTTCTACACTTTTAGGTGTATTTTGTGCAAGAATATGCAATAAAATCGTCTGCCTAAGAAAAATTGAATTTTTTTGAAAATTTTTCTTTTACGAAAATCGCTTTAATGGTCATAAAATTGGTGTTCCTCTACTCGGATCGGGCTGTCAATTTTTTTCTACACTTTTAGGTGTATTTTGTGCAAGAAATTGCAATAAAATAGTGTGCCTAAGAAAAATTGAATTTTTTTGAAAATTTTTCTTTTACGAAAATCGCTTTAATG